AGTAGACATTTACTTTCGATTTTTTGTCGTTTTAAAATAAAAAGCAAAATTGTGAAAAGTTGCCTTCAAATAGCTAAATAAAGCTACCTGAGGTAGGTAAATAAAGCTACGGTAGGTAATTTTAGCTACGTAGCTAAATGTACTGATTGTACTGGACCTGATCGAAGTAAATCTCATAGTTGTTCGAATTTGGGTTGTTTAGATTTTGTCGATGTTTTACTTACGTGATAGAGGGGGCTTATGACAGATTTTATCCCGAAGGCGCCTACAGCAGCCATTCCTAAGGAATAATAAGCATATTTCACACCAAGAGCACTCATTTTCTCATCGTTTTTTCAAGGAGAATTCGAACAGGAAGTTGTAACTCTGCAATAAAAAGAAAATCCAAACAGGCAATCCCTGTTTCCGAAAAATCATTTATAATAATAGACGAATTTTCACATTTGATATTACAAGCAGACTTTCTTCCCAAATCACGAAAATAGCCACTAAAGCCTTATTTATATAAATATATAAATGTTTATTCACCACTCAAGGGCCCTCAGGGGGCATATTTCAGAAGAAATCCAGTCAAAGCGCCCCCTAATAAAACTGGCCGTTGCGGTCAAAGCATCCCCTGATTTTGGTCAAAGCGTTCCCTGATTTTGGTCAAAAAGCCCCCTGATTTTGGTCAGAGTGCCTCCTGATTTTGGTCAAAGAGCCCCCTAATATAATTTTACTGTAAAATGATGTTACAAAACCGCCCCCCCCCCCCCAAATATTGGTCATTTGGTCAAAGCGCCCTCTCATATTTTTTCATAGAAAAATTTCATTTCGAAACCGTCCCCAAGCAATGTGCCCCCTTCTGATTTTGGTCAAAGCGCCCCTTAGATATTTTTGTAGAATGTTCGTTTGCAATTTTTCAAAAAAAAAAAAAAAAAAACTTAAATTTTTATTTAATTAGTCCCCTACCAGTGAAACCGGAGAGGACTATAGGTTTCCTCTGAGTCTGTCCGTCCGTCTGTCTGTCCGTCTGTCTGTCTGTCCCTCTGTCTGTCTGTCAGTCTGTCCCACTTGGTTTTCCGCACTTTTTTCCTAAACGCTTGTAGATATTGAGCTGATTTTTGGTATGTGAGCGTATCTTGATGAGTTACAGATCAAGTTTGCATTTCGTTCCGCTTTAGTGATTTTTGACGGAATTACGGCCTTTTCAATTTTTAGGGGTTTTCCGCAATTTTCTTCTAAACGCTTTCAGAAATTGAGCTGATCTTTGGTATGTGACTTTACCTTGATTAGTTATAGATCAAGTTTGCATTTCGTCCCGCTTCATTGATTTTTGACGGAATTATGGCATTTTCAATTTTTAGCGGGAACCAGATTACACTTGCCGGTAGGGGACTAGTATTGCTAATGCAATACTCTCAGAATGCTTGTTTCATTTTATTTCCCTTTACTTTACTAATTTATGCTATTTATTTCATATCCCGAAAAATACATTTCATACTTTTTAGATAAGTTTTAGTTAATTTTGTTCAGCGTGTCCCATGAAATGTTTCATAGATTAAGTTTGAATAATCTTAAAGAAAACATTTCCAAAGAAATGAGAATGTTCGCCGGTATCATTTAATAACACCCCCCTCCCCCCCAAAAAAAAATTGATACCGATGCCGTTGCTCAGCTCTTGCCACGCGGAGGCCTAAGTGTGAAATGGTCGTACACAAATGTAAAATTTGGAAATTAGAAGTTTATTACACTGAATAAAACCCTAAAAACACATACAGTGTATCAAGATACTATGATATCCTTTTTTTCTCTTTTTTTGATGCATATATTAAAGAAAAATGAAAATGGAGAGTAATCTTGATCGGATTACTTTTTACACTACCGAACAGAAATTTACTCTTGTTAGCTATAGTACATATTCTAATACTGTGATTTACTATGTATCTTCATATGCAAAGATGCATGGGGAACTGAAACTTTCAGACTTGCGTATAGATGTTGTACATAGTTGCATTTAAGTAGTTTTCCTTTCAGGATTTTATATTTAAATTTCAACTTTTTTCAATTTATCTAATTAAAAAAAAAAATTACGCTACTTGTATAAAATACCTCCCTCAAGTATTGGTCAAAGCGCCCCACAATATATTTTTAAAGGGGGGGGGGCAATAAGAAACCGTTTCTAATTATTTATCAATTTGTCAAAATATCACTATCGGTTTCGTTAAGGAATATTCTCCATGGGGCGCTTTGACCAAGAATTAGGGGGCGCTTTGACCAATACTTGGGGACGGTATTTTAACATCAATTTCCTGTAAAATTCTATAACGGGGCGCTTTATCGAAAACCAGGGGGCGCTTTGACCAAAATCAGGTGGCGCTTTGACCAAAATCAGGGGATGCTTTGACCGAGACAGTTTTCTTATGGGGCGCTTTGACTGGCTCCCTTTTAGAATGATTGATTACATATAAATAATATTAAAGTATATTGTAATATGGAAGAACATAAATCATATCTATCATGAAGTTACAAATGAAAGATGTACAATACTCATGAAAATGCAAGATTTGCAACATAATCACAACAGTCTGAAACTGTATCAAAAATATTGAATAGGAAGAAGACTACGGGACGATGCCTCTGTACAGTCAATCTTACTGACACACCTGTACCCTAAGTATTCAAGACACTCATTCAGAATCATTAAGGTAATAGCAAAAATAATAATATATAAAAAAAAAACAAGATGTGTTTGTGAAAAACTGATACCCCCGTATGGCAACTTATAGATTAAACTTCCTCAAATGCAAATCAAATACATGTACATGCTGGTACCCAAAGTAAGGTCTTGTACCGAGGAATATACCTGTGAAATGTGAAAGCCCTAGCAGCAACCATTGAAAAGATATGGAAAAGTTAAAGAACAAGGTTCACTTAGGGCCTTTTTTGGCCCTTTGAATTTCAGAAAAACTGAAACTGCTTGGTTTAAGTTAACAATGCATTAAATATCATTTAGACCTTTGGTGACTGCGTATCTATTAAAAATGACGTAATTTTCTGGCTAGTCAATTAAGAAATAAACAACAATGTTGGTGGGGGGGGGGGGCACTTTTGAAACCGTTACTACGGGCCTGTTTAAAGCAAATTTTTGGTAGAGAAAATTATGTACATGTAGTACATGATATGCCCCTAAATATTAACGTTCAATTTTGGTGCAATTTAACTGTGGAATTTTACCTGTTGAAGATAAATTTGAACCGTTTGTTCTGGAAATAGTTGTATACTAATGTAATGTAATGTAGAAGACGAAATTCATTTTTATTGTACTTTGTACTCTGAATACCGGTCAGGCACGTAGCATCAGGGGGGGGGGTTCTCCCCCCCCCCCCGCCACTTTTTTCCCAAACAAAACTTTTACTGTGAAAGTGTTTATTGAAAGGCCGGTTCCCCCTCCTTTTTGTTGCAGTGTAGTTAAATTAGTTAAATAAGGGTAATGTGCTAGTGTATGAAAAAAAATACTACTCAACAAAATAGGATTTTCGAGATTGGACATAATTTTTTTTTCCTTCACAATTTTTCTTTTCAGGTAAGTTGCATTTTTTTCTCTTGCTGCCCCCCCCCCCATTTAAAAAACGATGCTACGTCAATGTCGGTCAAAAATTTTGAAAACACTGCTTTTTATGGTCAGATATGGATGTATTGCTTATGCTTATTTAAAATTATCTTCAGTAATTGCAAAATATTTGTATTCCTTCGTTTATGCATAGACAGTCAGTTTTTTTTTTCTTCAGAAAACAAGAAAGCAAGTTGTATTTCAATGTCATACACATTTTCCGATATCTTCTAAAGGACACCAGTTGCTGATCTAAACTCAAAGGCGTATACTTACAAATTGTTTTCATGTACTTTCTTTTCTTTTCTTTTTGTATTTGAAATTTGTGTTCAAAGTGGCCTATAGGCCCGATGGACCGAGTGTTTCATTAATTTTTAAATTTGTTATGTAAACAAAACAGGTCACATGCGACTAATTCAGCAATTACCAAAAAAAAAAAAATTGTGCGAATCAGATAAGGGTAAGACTTGAGACCAATATTCAAGATTCAAATTGAAGAGATTTTTTTATGTTTTAAAAGAAGATTTTTATCTTTGGGCTGAAAAAGCTCAGTTTTTTCGGGCGCTAGGTATCGATATAGATTTTATTAATAGGGCTGGGACGATACAACTTTTTCTATATCGATATGTATCACGATATTTGAGCCATGATACGATATGTATCACGATATGTTGAATTGGTATAAAATGTTTTGTTTGTATTGAAATGAACAAAACATTTCTTCGTAAATAAGAATAATTTATTCAAAAAAGTTGTTTATCTGTTCTAAAACAACATAATTTTACACCAGTGGTGTTAATGATTATGTTTTTTTTTTAAATTGATTTTATGTAAGTTATTGTTTGTTGTATTCATGACTATATATGCTATTGTATGATAGTGTTGTCAATAAATAAATAAATTGAAATTGAATTAATGTATTTCATATTCATATTTAGCATATTTATTTTATATATTTTACCCAAAATATTAAGTAGACAAAGAAAAACATGAGTCAGATTTTTTTTTTTTTTTTTTTTGCAATATATTTCGATATTTCTTCATACGTATCGATATGCGTATCATCCACGCATTGAATCGATATCTCGTCCCAGTCCTATTTATTAATATATAGGCCAATTTAATGATTAAAAAAAAACCATTTTATGGTACAGTTCTTTTTATTCAATATTATGGAAATCAAAAGAATTGAATCGAATCACTCATGGGACGAATTATCATAGATTATATTTTCTGCACTCAGATTACTCCGCATAGGCCCATAAGATCGACAAAACATTTTCGATAGAATTATACAGAAAAAGCTTTTTCACAAAGTTTATCAATACGAAATCAATTAAATCATTACTTAATGATATGATTATATGATAGGTAAACTCTGGGTCTCGAACATACTTTTAATCGCGGAAGCATTGTTTTTGTTTATTATGTAATGTGGCTAATCGTAATCAAAGTAATTTCATGACATTGGCTTAATAATCAGCAGATAATTTGGTAAGAAATACAGTCAGAGACATAACCTAAATGATAAAATGGTTTGCATTACAGATTTTATACGGTTACACTTCTGTTTATAGAAAGGAAGATAAATTGTCATGGCAATTACGATTTGACACCATTTCGAATTTCCTCCGTCTATCACTGCTCTGTTTATGTACACTGTACATATTAAAATCGAAAGTGATGCTTTAAAATTAAATAATAATTATTGACATCTTTTACAGATTTGGAATGGGTCAGACTTTGTCTGAACCAGTGACAACGAAGGAAACTTCTAGCTGTCAGAACAACTTTGTAAAAGTTGGGTCATCATGTATGCAAGGATGGCGAATAAGTATCCTTAAATATACATAATGGACCAGTATATGTTTGAAGGAATAAGATTATGGTTTTTTAATAAAAAAAAAAATAATTCGTAATTTTGTAGTATTTAATTTGTTCTATGGTATGACAGCTGTGATGAATTTTAGATTAAATAAAACATTACTACCAATAGGTTGAACTTTCAGTGTTACTGACAAACAATAAGATGACTTAAGCTTAACTCTTTGATTATAAGAAATAATGTTTGCACCAGCTAAGCTTAATAAAATTTTCTCAGTTTCCTGCTGGTAACATTTGCTATGGCATGAAATATACGTCCATGTCACTGATCGACAGTTCAGTATGTAGAATGTAGTATAAGCATGTCACCACCTAATAAAAGTCCCAAACTCAAAATTATCGAAATTAACAGTTATCAGATTGCCTGGGGTAAGTAAATTCTCAGTTCAGGCAATTGAAACTGTCAACTTACCTGTCCAATCAGGCAAGTGAATATTTCTAAAGAAACGTATAATCTTGAATTAATTTGTACTAAATGAAATAATTTGATTTTCACAGATCTCTTGGTAGTGTTTCTAGATATTAAATCATTCATTAGATAATTAGGTTTGTTATTCTGTTTTCTTTCATTTTAGGCCTAGTTTAAAAAAGAAATATTCTCTCAGTATGATGACTTACATTCTTATTATGAAATAAGATATTATAATGTAGTTTATTTGCTTACTTATAGAATATACATAAGATTAGTAATACTTGGCATACAACATATACTGATTATGATAAGTATGTTTTGTATTTTTTTTTAGTATTTAAACATATTTTATTGAAGCATAATTAATAGGATTGGACACAAGTTCTATCAACTTAGGATTGTCCTCTCCAACACAAACAAAATGACATATACATAATTTTATTATGTTTTGTAACAGCTGTCATACTTAAGCATGGTTTTGCTGTCATCTAAAAATATTTCAGGGAAAAAAAATCCAAAATAAAAAGGACTATATATATATAAAAAAAAAAAAAAAACAATGTGTGTATGAAACACTTATCCCCCCCCCCCCCTGAGGCCCTTATGACGGATCATGGCCAAGGTTAAAATTTTCAAATGTGGTCTAACTCCAAGGTCAAGAGTTAAAAAATGTTGGTACCTTTTCAATTGGTATATAATTGTAATTTTCAAAAAGTGAATATTTTGTAATGTCATGGAAAATTATTTTTCTAAATATACATGTAAGAATTGTCTGTTTAAGTGATCAAGTTTATTTCATATGAGACCCTCTCCATTAAAACTGCTTTTATAATCAAAACAATGAACTGAATCACTCATAATTTGTCATTTGTATTTTTAACTGGGTTCATTGAAGCAAAGAGAACTTTTTTGATTTTGTAGTGGAATACAAGATCCACGAGAAAGTATGCTGAACCACTGCGATTCAATTCAAATTTTTGTCCCCTGCTTTCACAAAATCAAGAGGACGTTAAATCTTATTTGTCTGTCAGTCTGTCTTAAAAAAATTAACCTTGGTCATAACTTTTGAATGAGAAAAGATAGAGCTTTCATATTTCACATTACCTGTGACAAGACCTTTCCAATTTCTGACCCTGTGACCTTGACCTTGAAGTTTGACCTCCTTTTCAAAATTTTTAACATTATATATACCATGGTCATAACTTTTGAATGAAAAGAGATAGGGCTTTCATATTTCACATGTAGATTACCCATGACAAGACATTTGCAAATGTACTATGAGTGTGATCCTGTGATCTTGACCTTGAAGTCTGACCTAATTTTCAAAAACTTTAAAATAGGAGATAATTTTTGACTGAGAAAAGATGGGGCATTCATGTTTGGAAAGTGCATTATCTGTGACAAGAAGTTTCCGAATATGCTGTGATATTTGACCCCATGACCTTCAAGTATGACCCAATTTTCTGAAAAAAATTTCATTGCTGCTAACTTTTGAAGGAGAGAAGATAGGGCATTAGTATTTGACATGTGCATTACCTGTGACAAGCCATTTCTAAATGTACCATGAATTTTTAACTCCTTGATCTTGAAGTTTGACCTAATTTAAAAAATTTCAACATTTGAATGAGAGAAGATAGGGCATAATATTTGACATGTGCATTACCTGCTTCAAGACCTTTCTAAATTTACTCTGGTTTTTGACCTCATGACATTGACCTTAAAGTTTAACCTACAGTCTTTATTACAATTTTTTTTTTACCTTGGTAATAACTTTTGAAAGAGAGGAGATTTTACATGTACATTACCTTTGACAATATTTTTCAAAAAGGTGTATCATATTTTACTTCAAGACCTTGACCTAGAAGTTTAAATAACACATAAAAAAGACAGTTACAATATGCCATAAATAATTGCATCCCAACCACTAAGACACTGAAAGTGGAGGACCTTAATCCTTTGAATTTGCTTGTCTCTTTTCTTATGCATTCTTATAAGTCATCAGTGTGTTTTGACAGTCTATCAGATGTCCATAACTGTCAAAGAACACATTTGCCTAGATTGGTTATTATTCTTAAGTATATGTAAAAAGACCTATGTTTGCTGCATAATCTTATTTATAATATCATTCAGCATGTTCAAACAATTTGATTTTTATTATCATTTTTTTTTCTTGAGCAGTATATACTAAAGAAAATGTTTAAAATGTCAAGTAGGCTGAACTTGTGTAAAATAAAAGGAGTTAGTCCTAAGTATGTGGTTAAAAACTCTACATAGCTTGTATTATTTGTTATAAAACCCAACTATAATTAAAATTTATGATCTGATTCTGATTTAAGTATATATACTTCCTGGATAACATCCTCACAACATCAGGAGTTCGGACTTCTGAGTTCACTTGTGGCCGTGACTACAAGTAGACTTAGAACCCCTGAAGTTGTGAGGATGCTGGTCAAATTCCACAAAAATATAAGTCAAGGAATTTTTTGAGTATTTTAACAAAAAAAAACTTCTTGACTATTGGTCTTTTGTTTCGTCTTTTTTTGGCATAGAAAACCAAAGTGTGCATGGAAGTGAAACATAGGGAAAAAATTGAAATGGCTATATCTAAAAACTGTGTTGGGTATTCTTTAAGGATGTAAGATGAAAATACAATAGAATATGGAGTAAAGTAAATAATCACAATAGAAATGATTTTGTGAGTGTGTCAATCAACCTTAACAAATACCAGCTATGGAGGATGCCCACATACATCTGCTCTCACTTCCTAATGATAAGGACACCTGCTTCTTTGGGGTTTTTGATGGCCATGGAGGTAGAAATAGACAATTACTTCTTTTTACAGAGATAATTATGTAACAATAATAAATACATAGATGACCATTAAGTTTTATCAGTTCGCAATAGATCTTAGAAAAGGGTGATAAATGAATGAAACTTTCAATCCATAAAATGATATGTATTTTCCAAGTGATCACTCAGATCATCTGCATGGATTTATGCTTTAAAATTTATCAATATACAGACTGAAATACATGCATCTTCTCCTGGATAAATAAGTACTGTTTTATTTTTTTTGGGGGGTGGGGGGGGGGACTACTATGAAACAATTGTTGAATTGTTATTTTTGTAAGAAAAATTAATTTTTCATTAATATCAATATATAGTAGTTCATACATGTATATATGCAAATATGTGTACATGTATATATTTAAGGCTCAAAAGTTGCTCAGTATGCTGGTGAACATCTGCATAAGAAAGTGATATCCAGGCCAGAATATTGTAAGTAATAAAAAGAATATAGTAAGTACTGAACAGAATGTTGTAATTATTGAATAGAAAATTGTTAGTATGGAACAGGTTATTGTAATTATAGAACAGAATATTGAAAGTATTGAACAGAATATTTTTTAAGAATATTGTTAATTGTTGAATAGAATATCGTAAGTATGGGACAGAATACTGTAATTATAGAACAGAATATTGAAAGTATTGAACAGAATATTTCAATTATTGAACAGAATATATGAAAGTGTTGAACAGAATATTAGTAGTATTGAACAAAATCATAACAAGTCATATAAATACAAAACAGAAGTCATATTAATACAAAACAGAATATTGAAAGTATTAAACAGAATATTGTAAGTATGGAACAGAATATTGTAATTATTGAACAGAATATTGAAAGTATTCAACAGAATATTGATATTGAAAGTATTGAACAAAATCATAAGAAGTCATATGAATACAAAATTTGAAATGAATAAGACCTAATTTTTAGCTCACCTGGGTCGAAGGCTCAATTTAGCTTTTCTGATCAAAATTTGTCCATTGTTTGTCGTCGTTGTTGGCGTAAACTCTTTACAATTTCATCCACTGGGCCAATTTCAACTTAACTTGGTACAGAGTGTCCTTGGGTAAACAGGATTCAAATTTTGAAGGGCCACACCCTCTTTCAAGGGGAGATAATTTAGAAAAAGTAAAAATTGGGTGGGTTCATTTAAAAATCTTCTTCTCAAGAACCACTGGAACAGGAAAGATGAAACTTATATGAAATCTTCCAAACATAGTGTAGATTCAAATTTATTCAAATCATGCCCCCTGGGGGTTGGGTGGGGCAAGAATGGGCGATCAAAATTTTACATAGGAAAAATCGTTAAAAATCCTCTTCTCAAAAACAGCGAAGCCATGATTGGTGATATTTACATGGAAGCATCCTTAGGTAATGTAAATTAAATTTTTTTTTCAAATCATGACCCCTGGGGACAGGGAGGGGTTACAATGAACAATCAACATTAGACATAGGAAAAAGTCTTTAAAAATCTTCTCAAGAACAGCAAAGCCGTGATTAGCCATATATATAGGGAAGCATCCTCAGGTAGTTTTCATTCAAGTTTGTTCAAATCATGACCCACAGGGGTAGGGAGGGGCCAAAATGGGCAATTAAATTTTTACAAAGGAATTTATATTAGGAAAAATCTCTCAAAAACAATAAAGCCATGATTGTTTTATTTATTTGGAAGCGTCCTCAGGTAATGTTGATAAAAATTTTTCAAATCATGACTCCTCGATCTAAGGTGGGTCCACAATGGGTGATCAAAGTTTTACATTGGAATATAAAGGAAATATCTTTTAAAATTTTCTTCCCAAGTTCCCAAGAACAGCAAATCCATGATTAGTCATATTAATTTAGAAGCAACCTTTAGGTAGTGTAGATTCAAGTTTGGTCAAATCATATTCCCCAGGGGTGGGGTAGGGCCAACATAGAAGATCAAACATATAGAAATATTTCGTCTAAAGCCATAATTAGTCAAAGAAATATGGAAGCATCCTCAATTTGTGTAGATTCAAGTGTGAACATACCCCCCCCCCCTTTCCAATGGGGGAGGCTATTGCAATCACACATTTATTTTATCTTTTCAATACTAAACTGAATTTAGCTCTATGTGTAGCCAATGTGCTCAGGTGAGTGATGTGGCCCATGGGCCTCTCTTTTTTTTACACTCCTAATGAACTGCAAAAAAAATGTGACTTTAGTATATGTTAACTTGTAAATTAACATGATGCAAAGGGGAACATGGCCATTGTAAAGTCCAAATACATTGAAAACCAACTTAGGTATAGCATGCAACAAAGTGCCACAAGTTCATCCATGACATGAAAATTACCTGAGTTTTCTCAACTTGAGAAGTATTTTGCTTCAGAAACTTGAAAGCAAAGACAGCATGGGACAAAGATATCGAAAAGAAATTAGCAGGACACATGTTCAAAAAACATAATTATAAAAAAGTAGATAGGAAGAAAAGTTAATCTTCAGCAATTCCTTTTAGGAAGAAGGGATTGCAAAACTTTTTAGATAAACAATTCAATCTTAATTACCACTATGTCCTTTTCAGCTGAGGGAAGAATACCTGATGCTCTTAAACAAGGATTTCTTGATTTGGATGAAGATATGATGAAAGGTATGCATTTTTTTTTTTAATAAGAAGTTAAATCTTATATAAAAGATGATTTGATAATGTTTAAACAGAGGAAATATGTATTATCTGATGCAACAGGGGAATATATCTTCTCACAGATAACGACATGAAGGATGAATTAGCTGGGACAACAGCCAATGTAGTGTTACTCAAAGGAAACAAAATCTTCTGTGTGAGTTGTATCAAAGCTTCTGTCACTTAAAACAAGAATCCAAATTCTGAAAGACAAAGTTCATCTACAGACTGTGATAATTATGCACCATATACAGTATACCATAGACTTTCTTAAGTAGTGTTCTAATTTCAAAATACTTCTCCTTATACTAAGTTGCTTGATTTCATTGAGACAGTTTTAGAGCTTCATCAAGTTGGCTCATGTTTTATGCCAATTTTTGTAAAAACTTGTACATGTATTGCATCTGTTTTGTGAAGATTTGTTTTATTCTGTCAAAAGGCTACTCTTTTATACACAATGTAGTTTTTTCTGCATCCTATATTTTATAGGGCAATGTCGGAGACTCAAGGTGTGTTGCAAGTGTCCGTGGTCAGGTAGAACAGCTATCATATGACCACAAGCCAGGAAATGAAGCAGAAACCAAGAGAATTATTTCTGCAGGAGGATGGGTGGAATTTAATAGAGTTAATGGTAATAATTCATGCAAGATACTCTTAATATCATTCAAAAAAATACATTTACATATTGCAAAACTCTAGGGCTGGGATGATACAACTCTCTTGAAACACTTGGCTGGTTTTGAGAACGTTTTGATGTGATGTTACAGCAATGCAGAGACAATCGTAATTTCATGTAAAAATGATTTTTTTTATTATCGTAATTTTACTTACTAAAATCTTGTGCTGACCTGAATTACATGTAAGTCTATCAGAAAGTGTTTAAACATAGTATTGATGATATTACCTAAACATGTGACAAGACCTTTCCAAATATACAATGATTTTTTACCCCTTGACCTTGAGGTTTGACCTACTTTTTCAAAATTTTAACATTGGTTATGTTTGAATGAGAGAAAAAAGGGCATTCATATTTGACATGTGCATTACCTATGACAAGACTTTTTCAAAACATACTATGATTTTTGACCTCTTGACCTTGAAGTTTGACCCCACTTTCAAAATTTTTTACATTGGTGAAAGAACATTCGTATTTGACAAATGCATCACCTGTGACAAGAAGTTTCTGACTGAGCTTTGATATTTGATCCAGTGACCTTGACCTTCAAGTTTGACCTACTTTTCAAACATTTTATCATTGCTGCTTACTTTTGAAGGAGAGAAGATAGGGATTCATATATGACATGTGCAATAACTGTGAGAAGACCTTTCCAAATGCATGTGATTTTTAACCTCATGACCTTGGCCTTGAAGTTTGACCTAATTTTCAACAGTTTTAACATTGCTGATAACTTTTGTGTGGCAGAAGATAGGACATATATGTTTGACATGTGCATTACCTGTTTCAAGCCCTTCTGAATGTACTTTGGTTTTTGATGACCTCAACCTCTATGTTTAACCTACAGCCTTTTTCATTTTTTTTTGGTTACATTGGTAAGATCTTTTGAATGAGAAAAGATAGAGCTTTTATATTTTACATGTACGTTTTTTATGACAACACCTTTCAGAAAGTTGTATCATGTTTAGCTCACCTCAACGAAGTTGAGATGAGCTTATGCCATACCCCAGGCGTCTGCATTAGCGTTAGCGTCCCGGTTAAAGTTTTAGGAGCAAGTCCATTCTTAAGTAACTATAAGCCCTACCTTGACCAAACTTGCATACAATGATGCATCTAGGGATGGACACTACCACACTTGCTTCAGATGCTGGATCTGACCTACAGTTTCCAATGAGTGACCAATTTAAAGTCTTTGGAGAAGGTCCATTCTTAAGTAACTATAAGCCCTAACTTGACCAAACTTGCATATAATGATGCATCTAGGGATGGACACTACCACACTTGCTTCGGATGCTGGATTTGACCTTCATTTTCCAGATGAGTGACAGGGTTAAAGTTTTTGGAGCAGGTTCATTCCCAAAGTAAATATAAGCCTTTACCTTGAAGAAACTTGCATGGATGATGCATCTAGGGATGGACACTACCACACTTGCTTTGGATGCTGGATCTGACCTAGATATTCCAGATGAGTGACTAGGTTAAAGTTTTTGGAGCAGGTCCATTCCCAAGTAACTATAAGCCCTACCTGGACCAAACTTGCATGGATGATGCATCTAGGGATGGACACTACCACACTTGCTTCGGATGCTGGATCTGACCTAGATATTCCAGATGAGTGACCAGGTTAAAGCTTTTGGAGCAGGTCCATTCCCAAGTAACTATAAGCCCTACCTTGACCAAACTTGCATGGATGATCCAACTTGGGCTGTACGCTTACCAACTTGCTTCGGATGCTGGATTTGACCTAGATTTTCCACGTGAGTGAATTTTAGCCATATTTTAACCAAATTAGCATGGATGTTGTAGCTAGGGATGGTCACTTCCAGACTTGCTTTGGATTCTGAATCTGACCTACATTTTCCAGATGAGTGACCAGGATAATTTTTTTTGGAGTAGCTATATATATAACATTATGGCCTGTTATGATTAAACTTGCATAGATGGTGCATCTAAGGATGAAAACTTCCAGACTTACTTTGGATGTTTGAACTGACCAAAATTTTCTTAATTAGTAAACAGGATAAACATTTTTTGAACAGGTCAATTTCCAAGTAACTATAAGTCGTACTTCAACCAAACTTGCATGGATATTGGTCTTGGGATGTACACTAACTAAAAAAAGAATATGATGTGAAATTTGCTTTACTTAAAGATAACATTAGTCGAGGTGAGCTTCGTAATCTTTGATTACCTATGTTTGACTTATGACCTTGATCAAGAAGTTTAAAGGACACACAAACAAGACAGTTACAATATGCCATAAAAAATTACATCCAAACCACTAAGACACGGAAAGTGGGGGATCACAATTCTTTGAATTTGCATGTTTATTTACAGGAAACCTTGCATTGTCTAGAGCATTAGGTGATTTTGTCTTCAAGAAAAATGATAAAAAGGACTCAAAAGACCAGATTGTAACTGGTAAGTAGATAAAAGTAGCAAAAGAATAACCCTCTATTTTGTACAAATAGAATTATATATGGTGACATGTGAATATTTTGATATTTCAAATGTTTTGCTGTTCATATGTATGCTAAAATTTATATTGTTAAATCATTTCAGCATACCCTGATGTACTAGAGAAACAGATCACTCCAGACCATGAGTTCTTGGTCCTTGCCTGTGATGGTATTTGGGATGTTTTAACTAATCAGGAGGTAGTAGACTTTGTGCGAGCTCGAATTGCTCAAGGAATGGAACCAGACATAGTAAGATTAGTAATCGTTTATATGCTAGACTAAGTTTGGTTTGGTAATACATGTGATACAAGTAACACATGTACATCTAGGGCCTTAAAAAATTAATATCTTGGTTCTCAGGCCAGTTTTCTCAAAAATAAATGCAGGAGGGAGGCTCCTTATTTTTTTTTATCTCATAAAAAACATGCGGGATTTTTTTATTATTTTTTTAATTTCAAAACTAGCAACTTTTAATCAACAGTGATCATGTTGATGTTTGTCAAATGTTCTACTGAAGGGAGTATCTAAACTGCAGTCCAAAGAGATTCCAGATTTTTTTTTTTTTTTTTTTTGCACTGTACGAGCGCATGAGAGAAATTTTATTTTTATTCATTTGAGGATAAAAATGGGTAATGCACATTGTTAAATGAGATGTGGGCAGGCCTGAGAACCAATTATTTACTTTTTAAGGCCTAACACACATAAAATTATCCATAGACATATTGTACGTCTGCATGTAATAGTAAAATACAAATATATATCTTCATTGAGTTTTAAAATGTTTTATATATAATTCACTTGACTTGTGCATTTGTAATGAGCTGATGATATAGCTTTTTGAGGAGCATTGGATATTGGTTTTGTATATTTGTGTGGAGCTGATGATCTAGCTTTTTGTTTTAGCTTTTGAGGAGCTGCTGATGTTGAGTTTTTATCGTGGAGCTGATGACATAACTTTTCTGTTTGTTGTAAATTTGTGAGGAGCTGATGATCTAGCTTTTTGTTTAAGGTTTTTAGGAGCTGCTGATTTTGCGTGTTTTATTGTGCATTTGTGAGGAGCTGATGACATAACATTTTATGTTTGTTGTAGATTTGTGAGGAGCTGATGATCTAGCTTTTGTTTTAGGTTTCGAGGAGCTGCTGATGTTGAGTTTTTTACTGTGGATCTGTAAGGAGCTTATGACATACCCATTTATCTTTCTTGTAGATTTTTGAAGAGCTGATGATTTTGAGTTTTTTATTGTGGATTTGTGAGGAGTTGATGGCAGAACTTTTTATGTTTGTTGTAGATTTGTGAGGAGCTGATGATGTTGAGTGTATTATTGTGGATTTTTGAGGAGATGGTGACATAACTTCTTATGTTTGTTGTAGGTTTGTGAGGAGATTATGACATAACATTTTATGTGTGTTGTAGATTTGTGAGGAGCTGATGATGAGATGCCTTGCCCCTGACTGTCAGATGGGAGGATTAGGCTGTGATAACATGACTGTAATACTTGTATGTTTTTTACTTGGGGGAAGCTATGATGATCTCACACGGAAATGTTCACGGGGTGGAGGACAGAGACTAGGGGGCTATTAGTCCTTCGTAGGTGACATTCACACACCACTGTAAGAAAAAAATCCACCACTTCTGTCTATAATGTCAGACCATGTGGTAAAATTCCATCCGTAATATATATATGGATAAAAATGACTTCAGTGTTATCCAAGAGTATAGCTGTTTACATATTGTTATGAAATTTTAATATACATCTTTATATGTGTGTATTTATATGTGTGAGTGGGTGTGTTCATGTGGAGTGATGAGGAAACTGTTATATGCTGTAAATTTTACAAATTTTAACATGGTACATATTCAGATTTTACAAATGGATAGTCAGTTTTAGACTGATACAAATTCAGGTTTTTCATACAGGAATAAAGAGGCAGCTCTTCTGCATTGAAATTTCAAAATAAATGAAAAAATATTCTGGCACATATTATATAGATCAAATCTATATATTTATGATATTTTTTCTTTCCAACATTTATATTATTTAGTAGAAGAAAGTTTTGGTTTAGATTTTTAATTTTTTTTTCCTGGAAATATTAGAATAGTCATGAGCATTCAGCAATACTGAAAATAATTCAGGTTTACAAATAAATCTTATACATATGAACACAAAGACATACATTTGCCTAGTCTTATATTGAAGATTTTAAATCACACAAGCAGTATTAATTTACGTTTTATCTGTGATAATTAAATAAAAAAACAAGATGTAACAGTGTAGTTACTGTTGTGTACTTAGTCATAAATAACAAGATTTCTTAATTCTGTAAAAAACTTACAATATAAGATAGGAGAGGGTCAATATAGGCTGTGTGCCACTGCAGAATTATAGCATATTGTATTGCTAATTGAATTTAATATAAACACTGTTTTGAACTAAAACCTATATGCTCAGGACAAATATTTATGCAGCCATTAAATTACATAATAAACATGATATTAAATTGAATTGGACAGTATGGATACTTAAATGTTTACATGTATATTGATAGACAAAGTTTTGAAACTACATGTACTGTATAATTTTAAATTATTATTATTTATTTATACAATATAATTTCACATATCCGAAACTTTGGAAGACTTCTAAACAATATATTGGTTTATATCATTGGGAAAATTTATTTGTATTTCATATGAAAGCATGCCAGATAGATGAATTTGATTGATAATCTATAAAATTCAAATCAGGGAATATGAAAGGTTGTGATTGTGAATTCATCTCTTGTTTGAAAAAAAAAAAAAAAAACAGAACAAAACAAAAGCAAAAATTGAGATGATACTTTGAAAATGGGATTAATTACATACTAAGAGCTGCTTTAGATTACACCCTCTCCTTTTGAAGATGTTAATCATGTATTATGTGGTGTGGACAGATCTACATATAATATCTTTAGGGTTGACTAAGTAATTTGATTTCAGGTATAATTTGGTCCTTCAAGTAGCCAACTCATTTGTTATTGGGTATTGATCTTTTAAAACAAAATATTTAATTATTTTTCTTGTTGCCAAAGAGTCTGTTGTATATCTCACATTTTAAAGTCTTTGATAATCTTAATGCTGGTCCAATGTCGTATTATTTATTGTATGTATATATTAATATTACATAATTATGTTTGAATTGTGTGTGATTTATTAGATTTTTTCATTACCTCTTTCTTTTGTCTATGATTTTTGTTTCATATGTTAAACAGCAAATAAATTAACTAAAATATTATGAATTTTCAAAGAAAAATCTTTCTTATTTTAAACATTTCAATTGAATTGTCAATTGTAGACAGAGAATTACCAAATTATTATGTTCATCTGTTTTGACTTTTACAAATGTTGTTATATATATTGAATACCAATACATAGAGTAAGATTCAAGTGTATGCAATCAATTTCCAATAACACACGTGAGCTTGAGACTGTTAATCTTTAATAATAAGCTGCTGTAAAATTATTGAAAGAATCACAAAAAAAAAATATTTTTAAAAAGTTCTGGCTTCATTACATTCACAAACAAATTATGTACATTTTATGTTGAATCTAATCATTTCTGTCCCTTTTTATCCCTTTCTTTTATTGTTTCACATTTAACATGTGTGCTGTTAAGAGGAGATAAAATGTTCTTGAAATATGTGTAGACATGTGTGAATTTGTATGTAAATCTGTCTTTTCTTCATTAGTTTACACAAGTTGAGTGTTGTCAGTTAATTCTGTGTCACTTTATTTCCTAGTGTGTACTTCATGAAGTAAACATTGCTGTTTGAAATCATTGGAGTGGCTACAGTGTTCTTATATTAGCTTTTCATTTTATAGGATATTTTATAAATCTGTATCCATCCCTGACTAGTACTGTGTATATCGTGTGTTAATTCAGATTGATTTTCTTTTTGGGAAGATTCTAAAATTTTGAGTACGTTCTAATTCACAAGAACAGAAGTCTCCAAATTAATGATTTTTATGGCTTTCTGTCTGTTATTTAATAATATTAATTTCCAAAGAACCATACAGCCAATTTAAAAAAAAAAAAAAATAGCACAAGCATCCTGGTGATTTTATTTGAAGGAATATAATTATAGATTACTCTGAGGTAACAATGAAGTATCATGGTACAGATTAATTAAAATGTATAATTACACTGTATCAAGATAAAGTCACAGTAGAGGTTCAGAGGTTTTAAAACATAAATGATTGAATAGGAAGTTCAGGAGCAAAACAGAGGTGTTGAATTTTGTATAAACATTGAATAATTATTGGTAGGAAAGAGATTCAGGAACCATTATCATACTTGAAAGCAAAAAAAAAAAAAAGGGGGGGGGGGGGCTCAGCATCTCCTATACTGTAATGCCAAAATTAGATGGTTGCTAAAAATTCCCATTATACAGTATCTTTTAGAACATGAAGGCCATAAAATATAGACATGCAATAATTTTGAGTTACCTAATTATATATAGAATAAATCTTTGATGTATTTATCCATTGAAAATCCAAAAGAATTTTTTTTTTCAATCTTGTATAGTTAATTTAACCTTTCATGAGTGCATACACTTTGCTGGGAAGTTAATTGATGAATTTGGCCATATTAATTATTATGCCACAAATTTGCAGTTCTCTATTACATGTACTTTAAAAACGGTTTTAATTTGAAATGAAACAGAACTTTGTAAATTAACCTATCATTTTTTTTTAGCTTGGATGTATATGAGAATTTTGTTCTAAAAAGTAAAATTGATTGCAGCACATTTATAAGGAATGGTGTCAATGATTTGGATAACTGATGTAGAGTTAAGGGATTTGAAATAAGAAAAAGTGTAACTTAATTTATGTGCTAGAGGTTTACGAAATTGTTACCAATGTCTTCTTATAAACACTGTATACCGAGTTATACATACAATGGTACACATCTGGTTTTCCTGCAGAATGTGCCAAAAGAGAACAGTTCAGTACATATTTACTTAAGTGTATATAATAAATGTTCTGCTGTTTGACATCAAATGAATTAATAAATTTAGATCAAATCACCCATATTTTGTCTTTACTGCATGCATGCACATAATTGGTTCTCTGAACTTAATTTGTTTCGTTTGAGTATTAATTGAGGCATAGAATAAAGTGCCCCGCCACAGCATGATACACCCATCAAATATTGTTCAGTTATCATAAACAGTTTATTAAAGTGCAAGAAAATCATGTCAACCTTGATACAAAGATTTCAATGATTTTTCAATTCCTTATAGTGTTTGATGTACATACATCTCCTGTGGTGTAGGTATTAATTATAACAAATAAATGAAATAAAACATCATACATTTTTCAAATGCTTGTGTTAAAGCTTAACAAATGCCTCCCTGCAGCTTTGTTTATGATATATTTTATGATTGATTAACAATGTTACAGCCTAACAAAACAAATTATTTTTATTCTATAGACTATAAAATTGTCATCTTTAAGTGAGACATGACACTCTGCAATTTGTTGCAAAGATATTAAAATTAAAAAAAATGTTAATATACAATATCAAATTAGTTTTAATTATATTAATATATAATATCAAATAAGTTTTTATATTATTCAATAACAAATTAGTCTAAATTACTTTACACCAAATTTATCTTGAAAGTTAGGCTTAGCCAACAAGAACTATTTAATCCAACACAAGAGGCTGATTTCTTTGCACAATTCCCAAGAGATATAGAAAACACCTGCTTGATCAGGGATGCTCTACCAGTTATCTCCTCACACTAAAGTCATTAATTTCGCTTTAATTTGACATGCAATTTTCTGTTACCATGCAAATTCTCCTTGACCAGTGCTTGAAAATAACACCCATGACAGAGGTGGAATTTCTCTTTTAACATTACATTTGTTTAGATTAATGCTGTAAAGTACATAATGAAAAAAATATTTTCTTGATTTAACATTTTTTAATAAGGATATTGATTGATGCTGCAATCCTCTTTAACATCTTTTGGGATTGTGTGGTTTAAATGTGTGATTGACATCTTTGTTTGTTTGTTTCAAGTCATGACCCCTGGGAGTAATTTTGGGCCATGATGGGCGATCAAATTTTAAATAGGAATATATAGGAAAAATCTTTGAGGAGGGAACAGCAAAGCCATGATTAGTCATATTTATATGGAAGCATCCTCAGATTCAATTTTTATTCAAATCATGACACGTGGGGGTAGGGTGGGGCCACTATACATTATCTTAATTTTACCTAGAAATATATAGGGAACAAAAATCTGCTGAAGAAGAACAGAAGAGCTATTTAGTTACTTAGGTAAGCAATGTTGCCCATGGGCCTCTTGTTACTGTAACTAGGCTTTGAATTATTAGTGGACTCAACCACGAGCATTTTCCATCCACTAAACAATTTACAAGAAGCAGAATGGACCTAAAACCCTTGGCTGGCAGTGATGTTAGACTTTCAGCATCAGACCAGACTGTCAACCATTAAGCTCTGCTGTATATTTTTCATAAGAGCAGATTTTGGCATATAGGAAAACCCAGCTAAAGTTTACAAAGTTCAGTCAGATCATACAGCATTTTCCATGATTTAAGAGATGAATTTAATTTTTAGCTCACCTGAGCTGAGAGCTCAAGTGAGCTTTTCTGATCACCCGTTGTCCGTCGTCCGTCCGTCTGTTCATCCGTCTGTAAACTTTTCACATTTTCAACTTCTTCTCAAGAACCACTGGGCCAATTTTAACCAAACTTGGTACAAAGCAACCTTGGGTGAAGGGGAGTTTAAATTCTTAAAAAGAAGGGCCAAGTCCCCTTCAAAGGGGAGATAATCAAGAAAATACAAAAATTGGGTGGGGTCATTAAAAAATCTTCTTCTCAAGAACCACTGGGCCAGAAAAGCTGAAACTTATGTGGAAGCATGCTTGGGTAGTGTAGATTCTAAATTGTTCAAATCATGACCCCCGGGGGTAGGGCGGGGCCACAATAGGGAATCCAAGTTTTACATTGAAATATGTAGTAAAAATCTTTAAAAATCTTCTTCTCAAGAACCACTGGGCCAGAAAAGCTGAAACTTATGTGGAAGCATGCTGGGGTAGTGTAGATTCTAAATTGTTCAAATCATGACCCCCGGGGGTAGGGCGGGGCCACAATAGGGAATCCAAGTTTTACATTGAAATATATAGGAAAAATCTTTAAAAATCTTCTTCTCAAGAACCACTGGGCCAGAAAAGCTGAATCTTATGTGGAAGCATCCTTGGGTAGTGTAGATTCTAAATTGTTCAAATCATGACCCCCGGGGGTAGGGCGGGGCCACAATAGGGAATCCAAGTTTTACATTGAAATATATAGGAAAAATCTTTAAAAATCTTCTTCTCAAGAACCACTGGGCCAGATAAGCTGAAACTTACTTGGAAGCATCCAGGATAGTGTAGATTCCAATTGTTCAAATCATGACCCCTGGGGATAGGGCGGGGCCACAATAAGTACTACGGGGGGGGGGGGGGGGGGGAGAGAAATCAGGTGAAAAACAGCAAGGCCAATTTACTCAGGTGAGCGCTGTGGCCCATGGGCCTCTTGTTGAGAATTCATGAGGACATGAACTACGACGCTTCAGGCCAGCATATTTCATAGATCATGTACCTCATGAATTCTTAAAAATTAAATTCATATCTTATATTTATATTATTTTTCTGATGACTTGCTACATATTTTTTGTCATTCAGTGATCATTTTTGAAAAAAAATGTTTGCACTATTTTTGACTTCAATCAAATCACAATGGAAATATTCTTACTCATCACACAGTAGTTCATGAGAACATGAACTTTTTCTAATTTGCAAAGAATCTTAAGGAAAAATATGTGGAAATTTAAATACATATAAAGAGATCAAGCTTTCATCATCTTTTTATATTTACATCCATGCACTGAATACTTTTTCCTGTATTAAAAAAAAAAAACAGGATCTGATTTACATCATATCAATTGTATCAAATACTTCAGTTGATCTTGTAATCAATAATGTATTTCATTATAAACTAACTTTAAAATTCATTTATTCACTTTAGTAAGTGCAAATGGAAACATAAATTTTGCATACTATTGGATGAACATTTTATGAAATTAATATTAATAACTTACCATAGAAAGGAAAACTTTAGTCAACAAGGTCTGTCTGGTCAGATCCAACCATAGAACATAAAATGCCCTTGTTAATGCAGGATTAATGGTTGAAACCATTGCAGAAAAAAATGAACATAACCTGCTTACCTTTTCTTCAATAGTTAATCATCAATTCCTACATTAACAAACAAGGAAAGAATTTTTCTGTTCAACACAAAACGAAATATTGGTGAAGGTTCCCAAGCAGGGCATGAAAATGTCAGTCTAAACTGGAATATTATTTCATGCATGTATTATTTGACTGAATTTAAAGGGGGTGTTAGAGTTTACAGTATACACTTGGAATTTGAAGAACAAAGGAAAAGTGAAAATTGTATCTGAAAAGATAGTACAATTGACATTCTTTCTTTTTTTTTCGTCATAAACAATCTTTAAAGATGCAATTAAAAGTGGTGAAAAAATAAATCTTTAAAAAGATTTTATTATAGTCGCATATTTATTTTAAGAAATAAGACTTCTTGGGTAATGCAAATTTATAACAACATCATATGGAAATGTATAATAAAATATATGTACATGTAAATAAATATCACATATACTTAAAACTTAAAAAGAAATCACTGATTGACATTTCTAGTACATTTATAATTACAACAGGTTAATTCCACATTTCTACATTTATATTTCCAGATTCTATATTTAGACAGAGTTTTTTAGCTTTGAATGCACAGCATCTGGTAACTTATACTCATTAAAAAATCAACAATTGTGCACATTGAGATTCAAAATTTTCAAGGAAGTCCTTTCAAAGGTTTGTCATCAGTAAATTAACAATGGGAATAATCATGTTTAAAAATAATGAAAATTATATGTATTTTTATATTATAGACAAGATTTGGATGCCAGAGATAAAAAAAAATTGGCCTTAAACAACAGATATTTAATATCAGATATTAAATCAACTTCCTGAGGACAAATCTTGTTCCTTTTCTCTTTATTTTTGAATTTTTGTTTTTGTTCGTGAGTACCTTCAGATGGGGGAGGGGGGTCACAACTTATTTATTATCAAAGACATTCTGAAGGAGAACATTGACTGTCTCCTTAGTTTTTAGGACCCTAGGGACTTTGTACTGATTAGCTGAAGCCTGTGTGTTGTTGATGGTAAATTTACGCAGTTCTTCAAATGTCCCAGATTTAACTTGATGAACTCTGACTGGCTGAATGCTGCCTTTATCCCTAAATGACTTGTACACGTAGGATCGAGAACACAATTCTTTGTCAACCTGAAAATAATCAAGCAGAACTGACAACAACAGGCCCAATGACCTTAACGTCACCTGAGAATAAATGAAGATATGTTGCCCAAAAGCAAGAAAAATAGGATAGTCTAGATCAACAAAATAGTTAATCTAGTACTCAGTAACAAATCATAAAGTAGATCTATTTACTTGCCTGTACTTGTCAATGCTATAAACACTCCCAATTGTCACTATCACCATGCAAATTAATTAAACAAAAAATAATTGCTTGAGCACTTAAAGTAAACCCATTCCCTCTCACACTGGCCTCTTTAGATCTTTAAACATGTTAAAGAATGTATAAAGATAAGACATTTTGTCTCATTTATTATTCATTTATTATTCACAAGTCTACCTGACCATTAGAAACCATAAAAGCACTCTTTAATATACATTATAAATTCTTGTAAATTCTTGTATTCAACTGACCTATCAATTATATTACAATGATTAACTATTATAGGATAATAGCAAAAGGGAATAACTTCTATCAGTTGAGTACAAATTTCACTACAAGGATTAATAGAGCCCTGTCTAGAACCAGAATTTCACAAATTTGAAAAGATGCCCTTGCTCATTACATCTTTGTACTGTTTCTCTCCTAGATGTCTGGGAGCAAACAAGAGGATTTTCAAAACATTAATGTATTTTCACTACCTAATCAATTGAGACCCATCCTAACACCAGAGCCCCTAAACCAGTGGCCATGCAATTCACAATGTTGGAAGAGGCACCCTTGCTCATCATAACCTAGCACTTAGTTTTTCTGCTTAATATACAGGAGGAGAGAATAAGGTTTACAAAGAATTAATTCATTTTTGCTATATAATCAATTGAGCCCCACCCTAACTCCAGAACCCTGACCCTGATTTTTACAATTTTGGTAAAAGGCTAATTGTTTGTTATAATCAAGCCAACAGTTTGACCCCTTGATGTCCAGGAGTAAAGATTTTAGAAAACTGCATTTATTTTGATGGTTTTGCACTTTTTTGGTACTTGCACTTTTGATACATATGAGCTGTGTTTGTGATGCTTTGCTGTATTTCAATGCCATTTTACAAAAATTATCTAACAGTACTGATAATACATTCACTGTTTTGATTAACAAAATAATTTTTTTATTAAAAAAAATAAATAATTACCACTTCTCTTTGTTTTTGTGTTAAAAGTTTGGAATCATCTTCAAGTTCCAGGAACAGATGATAGAAAGGGGCATAACTGCTTCCTGGAAAAAAAAATTAGGAACTTGGATAATCTGCATGTATCAGGACTGGATTTTGCTACATATTTTATTCATTCCCCTATCTTTTAACAAAGCCAACTTTTAATGAAAGTGTTTAAGCAATGATCCATTAAGCAATGAAAAGACATTAACATATGTTTATCTTCCTACAACACCCTAAAATTCATAGTTTTGATAATTATCAGGTAGGAGAAGTTTCTCACACACTTTTATAATATATTGGTTTGAAATGCTCTCATGGCATGTAAGTCATGCAATTTCTACAAACTTCAAAACTACGTCTATGTTTTTTTTTTTACGGTCAGCATTTCCTCTTAATACTAGATGCTACCAAAATAATGGTGGCAAATAACTAAATGAGTCTTTTAAAGATTTTTTTTTTACCTTTGTCATCAATCAAGAGACTCTCTACACAACAATAGTTCAGAAGTTTCTGTGGAAACCAGGCAGACTCTGCTTCTGTCAGGGCTTGGTAAAAGAGGGACTCTGATGTCTTCTCCCCTCGTACATTCAAAAACTGACCCTTTCTATAAAGAGATTTAATTTAAATCTGTATAGTAGAGACACTTATAATATTACTGAAAACATTTTTAATGTGTAACATATCATTGGATTACATCATATTTTTTTTGAAATCAACATCAATATCACTAATTATACCCCTATCTTGAAAAGTGGGGGATGTATAGTGATGGGTTTTTCTGTCCATCTGGCTGGGGTACCCATCTCTTATGCAAAACTCCTCTTATAACAATGAATGAAATTTAATGAGACTTTCACAGAATCTATGTTACATACATGTTACATTTTATCAGACACATATTTTCGGTTTCCAATAGCAAAACATAGACACTACCATTCATTCTATAATATTGAGAGACACCCATCTCTTATCTGCAACTCCCCCTATACCACTGAATAAAATTTAATATTACTTTCACAGAATCTTTATTACATAGTGGCATTGTGCACTTCCTATTTTACTTTATGATATGACACTTATTTTGGATCTCCTATAGCAAATCATGGACTTTGCCATTATAATCATATGGGAGGTGGAGGTATCATTTTGTGAGCTCAGTGCCCACAGTACCTCTAGTATAACTACTGGTGTCAGCTTCCTCCAGAAAAAGTTATTTGTGAGTTGTTGAGAGAAATGCTGAATTATGAATACACTTTGAATTTTAGCTCACCTGTGCTTAAATTCTATGACAGGACACTGATAGTAGAAATCCACCATTTTGACTATGTCACCAAAGCGATATCGACACAGGCCACTGGCATTAGTTATTACAAGTTCATATTCCTTTCCTTTCTCAACCTGGAAATTAAATACAAATCTTACCAAATAAAGACATTTCCAAAGCTTCTACAATGAATACCAATACTCTCAGATTTTCCATGGCAGGAAAAAAAATTTAAAATAAATAAAGTTCAAAGTTGCTTTACCAGAAATCACTTCACGTACTAACCTCGTCCATAAAGAAGGTCTTGGGTTGATCCTCATTTGAAAGCTCTACAGGAATAAACTCAAAGAAAATAGATTGTGCAGCCAGCACATATTGACTGGGGTGTTTCTTTGGCCAGATATTGAGTCCCAGGAGACCCTCAGAAGCTGCATACAGTGGAGAATAAATGGGAATCCCTTTACAATACGTCTCCCTCAATATCTTGGCGGGGAGGTCAAAACTACCTGAGTCTGCAGCTAAAACAAGATTACAATCAGGCCATAACAGTTTACCAATCCCAACTTTACTTTTTGTTTTCATTATCTCTCGGATTTCTTTGGCCCTTTGCGGATCTGGTGTTAAACATGAGTTTAGTTCATTTCTGATTGATTCTTCAATATCGAGCTTAGGATTCACTTCACCTCTCTCAATATCATCAGCAAGTTCAGACCAGTTCTGATAGAGAGCATCAAATGAGGACAGAATAATGGAGGAAAAATTGGCTTCTAGCATACCCAAACTTTTATCTCTCAATCCAAACAACAAATGTATATATAATGCCTCTGGTTCACTAAGAATTTCAAATCCAGCTTTTGGAGTAGAGTATATGTTTAGTAGATGTTTAGAGTTAGTGGGTGATGACGAATTAGGGCCTATTAGAATCCCACACTCTGATTTCCTCCATTGTGGTGTGTAGAAAAATTTCAGTGTTTTCTGAAGATTATTGTTTTCTGGAAATTCCCTCAGCAAGCTATGATAAGCCACTGAGATGCCCTGAATAAAGAACAATAACCTCTGCTTCCCAGTCATTGGTAGAATACTGGATTTCCCAGAAGTCCCTGAGGTGACAGCAAATATGACTGGTGGTCGAGTAGTGAGTATTTTCTCCTCTCCCTTCATCATCTGTTGAATGTAGGGATCATAGTGGGAAATATATGTCAGTGGAAGTTGCTTAACATAGTCCTCCCTGCTGTGTATATCAGAAAATCCATACTTCCTCCCATACTGAGTCTCAGCATTCTCTTTCAAATGACTTTGGAGAAGATTGTTTTGTGTTCCCACAATGTCTTTACAGGATTTATCCATTTTTCTTCGGGCAAACCAACCCATCCATGAAAGGCCAGCAATGGCGACATAATGGTCAAACTTGCTGCGGGTTGTGTGGAAGGTCGATGATTTCCGTCGTGCTAAATCGAAGCACACTATAGCTGACACTCCACATACTGGAGTAAGGAGTCCTGGAATGGAAATGTGGCCTAATTTATGTAATATAGAACTATTAACAATAAAATTTGGAGTGTCAGAAACAATTATCAAATAACCAGAAAACAGTTTCTTTTTTCACATAAATGGTATATTCTATTTTCAAATTGTTCTTACCAGTAAATTATTTTTTTTTTAAGTGTTTAAAGCTTGTGAGTGCTAATGTGAAACCCAAAATACAAAAGCTCAGCATGGCAAACACAATGTTAAGGCAAACACAATATTAAGAAGAGGGGTTTTTTTCATTAAATTACTTTACAGAGCATGAGATAGAAAATATCTCTAAAATTAGTCTAAAATACATTTATTTATAGATCAGCAATCCTTAACTGCTGACTTGCACAGAGAAAAATTAATGATGAAACACAAGGTCATTTGAAAATTTATATTTTTAAAGTTTTTGGTATTTACATTATATCTTCCATCTTTTGATTTGATTGAATTTTTTACACATCCACCTTATCTACTGTAAACCAACTTTTATTTGCATGCGAAAAATATCCGCGAGTTTGGCAACCTACTTTAATTCACGAATATTAATCGCCGCGAACCAAATATTTTGCTATATATTTGTAGAGAATGTTTCCTCAGTCACAAAAATTAATTGTCGCGGATTGATTTCCAACTGACGAATCGCAAATAAATGATGACGCGAATAATAGTTGGTTTACAGTATTATTGAATTTCTTCTACCTGAGAAAGGTTACAGCAGAGTTACATGGTAATGTGGAATGAAGCAGACATACTCCTCCAAAGGAAATTTACAAATTATATTCAATATTCAAAAATAGAGAATACTAATCATGTTAATAAAAATATTTCTTTGAAGAGCACAATAATCAAACTTTTCATTTTTGAGAAGTATTACCTAGAAAATGAGTGAAAATATGAAAGAATCATGAAATATTTAATATGCTTTAAACCCATGAAGCTAATGAAACAAGACTCAATGCAGTCAGCAGCGTAAAAGTCTCTCACCAGCCCAGAGTTTAGTGAAGGGTGAGTGACGGGGAACATCAAATACAATATGGTGAAGGAGGTAAGTGACAAAGAGAGACAGGAGAGTTCCACACCAAACCTTCCAGTCTCGGAGGTTGATCATCTCAACAAACAATTGTTTTACCTGTTAAATATAACAATAAATCTGTAAGGCCAACTTTAAAATAATGTTTGCTTGCCCTCTCCCGACCCAGGATGAAAAATTTGGGTCGGTAGGTAGGTGGGGATTTTTTTCCCCTAGAAAATTTCAACATCAATGCAAAATTTTCAAAATAAAATTTATGGAATGCATAAAAAAAAATAATTGCTTCCTGGAGGTTAAAAAAAGTTCTGAGTCGGGCAATTTTAGCCAGTCGGTCGGGAGACAGGGCAACAAAACAAATTTTTAAAGATGGCCTAACAGCATAAAAATTGAAAGGCAAATTGTATTTTAAAAAAACAAGAAAGAAAAGTGTACATTTATTTTAGTTTAATAAATTAAAATAGGCATGCACCATCAGTAATACGTATACATGTACATATCATTTGATCCAGGGGGAGGGGGGGTCCCAAACTCAAAACTCTCTTTTTGAAGGGCAGATGGTTAAGCACAAAATCAAAACCTCTCTTATTTGGGGGGGGGGGGGGGGGTATTGTAGCATTTATTATAGCACCAGTAAACAGGTAAAGGTCAGGTTGTTATTTTCTTACCAGTAGGCTGCCAGTGCAGGAGACAATTTATTTTCTAAAATTTCAAAGACAGAATATTTATTTCAAAAATCTGCCAGCCCCCCTCCCAGTGGCACAGCCCGCCAATTCAAATGGGCGTCCCATTAAACCTATACACCTACATTTATAAACCTATATGGATCTCTACTCCTGTACACCTCTGCTCTTACTTTGGGCTTCCTGTTCTCTTTAATAAACAAGAACAGAAGTCTTGGCAACTTTTGCTTGTGATAATTCCTGTAAATTAGAGTTATTTTATAAAATCCCTAACCTTTAACAACAATTTTCCTCATTAATCTGTCTTCAGTCACGATGTGAAAATAAATCACTAAAAATGAAAGTAGAAATCACTATTGGACTTTCAACGGTTAATATATAGAATTCCGAAATGAATTTTAGCAATTTTAAAGTCAATATTGTAGTGTAAAAAAATTACTTCCATACAATTTTGTTATTTGTTAACATGGTTTTGATTCGATAAATCAAATGAATATTTTTAGTTATTTGCATTTTAATCAGAATTTCCCTTTCCCTTTTCTCTTTTCTCACATTTCCATCACTTCCTGTTAAAAAATGGCGGAGAAAGATAGCACAGGCGAGAGTAGCTTTCTTTCTAGAGTATTCTCTGAACTGTTTAGCAGTCCATTGAATATTGGACTACTTTGTATTTGCGGATTTTTATTGTATAAAATAATAAAAGGTAGGGGTAGCAATGACCCTCCCCCCAAAAAGCCGGAATTACCAAAAATGAAAAAGAGGGATTTCACATTAGAACAATTGCGTGAATTCGATGGAAAAGGTCCAGAAGGAAGAATTCTAATAGCTGTCAATGGAAAGGTTTTCGACGTAACTCGTGGAAAAAGATTTTATGGGCCAGGTAAAAACTTTAATTTTCGATTCAAGAGTACTGTATGAGTTCATTATATGGGATGTTGAAAGAGAGAACGTGAACAATTGCATCATATTGGACAGAGCTTGTTTAGATAAACATGTCACTTGTAATAACATAGCATGAGTACCTTTTAATGAGTGTATCTTCAGATATCAGACGAGGGGGCTTGTCCCTGAGTCTGATATCTGAAGATGCACAAGTTAAAAGGTACTCTATAATTATGTTTTGTATCATTGTTCTCAGGTACTGAGTTACCCATGATCTATCAATTTCATGTTAATTTCACATGATTCAATTATATTTCATGCGCTGAGTTAGCCATGATCAATCAAAGTTTCCTCATACCATTTTATATAATGACCAATGAAAAAAAGAGCATATGATTCGAAAAGTATAGTGCGCTGTATTTTTCAAACTTTCTACCTCGCCCATTGAAGTCTAAAAGCCATGGATGACGGGTGTGATTTTATGCTATACTATCGCAATTCTTAGACATGGTGGAAACTAAAATTATGATGCAAAATCCCTTAGGTCAGTTAGGAAACCAAATACAGGTTGAAGATTCTTTGGGTTTACTTTATTGGATAGATTAATTTGGTGGTTATAAATTTTCAGTGCATCTCCTTTTGTATTTTCCAAAACCATGCTGGAGTGGATCTGCTCAGTTTTGCTCCATTTCAACTACATGGGGCGTATTTTAGCTGTGATGAGGGCCTGTCCTGAGACACAGTCAAATTATTTTGTCTAGCTTAGTTTTGGAAAGGTTATCCAAGAAATCTTTTTTTAAAAAAAAAATTGTGAATTCTAAAACTTTACTCAGGTGACCATTGAGGCCCTTGGGCCTCTTGTTTAAGAACGGATTTATACATGAAAAGGACTGTTGCTGCCAAGTTTGAAAGCGTTGAATGATTATTGAAAAGAAGTGAAAAACTAAGTGATTATAACCACATACAAACAGTTAATTAACAAATTGTTTACAGGTTCTCCATATGGAGTCTTTGCTGGACGTGATGCATCTAGAGGATTGGCAACATTCTCCCTGACAGAGGACGTCTTAAAAGACGAGTTTGATGACCTTTCTGACCTAACTAGCATGCAGATGGAAAGTGTCAGAGAGTGGGAGATGCAGTTTACAGGTAACACATTGAATAAGTAGAAAATAACATGAAAACTCACAATAAACTTTGAATGGAAATATCACAATCTGAGTGAGTGACAATTATAAAATCTATTAAGACATTAGAAATGCTCTGTACCCAAGACATACAAGCTAACTGAAGGAAGTTATGCCCCCTTGCTTATGGACTGAACTTTGATATTTTAACCAGAAACAATTTGTAACAATGTACAAATTAGAGATCTTGACCTTTAATCCTTTCATTCAGAATCAATTAGGGTCATGTTTTGATATCTGGAAATCGTATTATAATGATACTATATATATGATTTTTTTTTTAACGTAAATGTTTGTCCTTTTGACCTAAAAATCAATTGGGGTCTTCCTTAAGTAAAAAAGATTCATCACCTTGTTTCATTTCAAAAGCTCAACAACAAAAAAAATAAACTTATCATCTGGAAACCATTTTATGCCATATATGAATTTGCAACCTTAATTTTTAGATTTCATAAAATGATTCATTCATTTTGCAATCAAATTTGAATTTTAAAAAATCTTTGCAAAAGATTTATAAGATTTTGTATTTTGCAACTGTGACATTGATTTTTAAGCACTAAGATTCAGTCCCTTCGAGGATTTGACAGCTTCTTCAATCTGTATTTTTGTTGATAACTAAAACATGGTTTAGGGCAGTTTAAGGTGTTTTATAAACTACTTCATCATTGTTAGGAATTGAATCTTATGTAAATGATTATGATTTTTAAATAAACTTTTTATTTTTGTAGAAAAATATGATTACATTGGTCAACTTTTAAAACCTGGAGAGATACCACATGACTATACCGACACAGAAGATGAGAGTGCAGAGAAGTCCGAGGCTGATAAGAAGTCGGACTGAAATGTTGACGTGGGTGGTTGCCATTTTATTATTGGCTTAGTTTGTTTCATGGAGTATGTCTTTTCTCCATTATTTTTCACATTGCCATATTTCTTTGTTTAGTAATGTAAGGTATATAATAATCACAAAGGAAAATAACATGTTCATGTATATGTGGTTAATATCACGTTCCTGTAGTCATATACCTAAAATTTCTTTGGATGTTTGAAAATATCCTTTCAGCCACAGACACTACAAATACATACCATATAAGCAGAAATTTAAGCAAGGATCAGTTTTGGCATTTTTAGCAAGGGTATTGAGATTTTAAAATTGAATATCCCTAACAATTCATTCCACATGTTTCTAGGCATCATGAATCACTAAATTTGCTTTTCCTAAAATTTTATATCGCTTTTTTAAAGGAAAATTTACAAAATTTTGTCTCGCTAAAAGTTCCACTTAAGGTACTTTTAAGTATGACAGGAGTTTAAAAAGTGTCTTGGATATTCAATAAAGCAAAAGTATATTAAAAACCAATTATTGTCATGTCCCTAATGGAAAAATATTCAATACCGTATTATAGTATTTATCATTATGTATTAAATAGGCAAGTACATGTAAATGATGAGCACATGGTGCTAATTTGTTATTATATGTAGGAACTGCTTGTAGATTTACATGCATGTTGTCCAAAATGTTGTAAATATACACTCATCATTACAATAACTGTTAACATGTTTATTGTAGGTTAGATGTTGTTATATAATTTTACATGCCTATTAATATCCAAGATATTTGAAGAAAGGGGAACAAATAAAGTATAAAATGTGTAGACAATAATTGAACCTTTGGACTTTGATGCAGTAGGGAGTTTCTACTTGTTTTTTTTTTTTTTGTTTTTTTGAAGTTGCATGGAATTTTCCAGCATTGGAATATAACAATCTTTATTTTCATGTAGCAATACAATTACTGAAGACTAGCTCCTAAAGCCTATGGCTCAAAATACTTTTAGCAAAGTTTGCTCAGAATATTACCTATTAGATGAGAACACTACCCAGTACACATAGTACTGTCAGATTTATATATGTTTCAGTTTTAAACTCCAAGCAATAGAATTTTGTTATTATATTCATCATTTTACTTTATATTGTTCATTTTGTCATTATGTCAGGCACTAGGATTTGAAATGATTTTTTACACAGTTAAAATGTACAATGTAAATATGAACTACATCTGTTATAAAAACATTTAACAGCTACATTGTAGTAAAAATATATTTTTATTCTGAAGAACAGACATACCTTATTGTTGTATTTAATGCTTTTTAAAGATACAAATGTATGTTTATTTGTTCAAGATTCATCTTAAATTTAAGATAATTTTGAATGTCAGAACTTTTCCTTGAATGCTAGTCAGACAATTAGTTGTAAATGTTCAAATTGATACTTAGCAGTAATCAGCCTGAAAAACCAATAGAAAGTCTTTATCTTTTTTTTGTTTGAACCACAGATTTTTTTTCCAAAGATGGTTGCAACTAAGGATACAGAAGGCAGGCTAACATTGTAGTAGCAACATAATATATTCCTCACACCATGGAATCTTTTGAAAATTTAATTCTAAAAGGGTAAAAATACTGCTTGCCAAATGAAGCATATGTCAAGCATATAGTTTTGATCATGCATAATTTTTCTCCTCTCTGCAGTGACAAGTGTTGTATTAATTTAGATTCAAATGCAGTGATACCATATTTGTTATTGAAGAGCTGATGTAGAGAGTGGGGTCTTAAGTTAGCCTTGTACCACTGTCTGTTCACTTGTTTTGAAGTTACATATTAACTTAGAGATTTAAAGAAACATGGTGAGATGCCCTACAAAGAGACAGTCTAAACTCCCTATCTCGGGGGTATGTCCTTAATGCATTGGATAGCTCATGTGTAGCATTGGCAATTTCTGTCTTATTTGAAATCTAAAAATTTTTGCATGAACACATACAATGTAGATGAATTTGATGAGAATTGCTTTACTATTTTTACCTATCGGTATATATACCCATTCTAGAGCTGTCTTCTTAGATCCTGTCTTTTTGCCAAAGGATCAAATTTAATTTAAAATACTTGTACCAGCATAAGATAAACAGCTTACCGGTATAATCCTGTTTCAGACTTGGCACCAGTAATTGTAAACTCAATGAGTATTAGCATTTTTAATTGTACTCATGTTTTAGTCACAGCAGACCAATTACTGTAAAAATAAGTGATGTTTTCAAAAAAAAAGACGAGCTGTCTAGATTTGTATATAGCTTCAATTAAGCTGAAGATGTTGATTCATGTTGACATATACATGCTTTTTTTTAAAGATTCTTTTTTTTTCAAGCTTCTTTCTGCCGTTTTTCAAAGAATGTTTATATCAGATTTTTAGCAAATTAGTTTGTACAGATTACTGATTTTTTTCCCTTTATTTTCACTGTTGCTTAGTTGATAATACCATCCAGTCAAATGTATGTGTACTTTATACATTTGATTGTGTTCAATAAAATATATTTTTGAAATACTTTCTTTTGTGTGATAATTTCTTTTATTTATAATACCTTATCTCCCTTGGTACAGAGCATCTGATCTGGATGAAAATCAAACATCCAACCCCTGGGGGCTATAATTTGAACAATTTAGAATCTACACTACCTCAGGAGGCTTTTACACAAGTTTCATCTCTTCTGGACCTGTGGTTCTAGAGAAAAAGAGTTTTTTTTTTAAAAATCCTATAAATTACAATGTAAACTTTCATCCCCAATTATGGCACCACCCAACCCCTGGGGTCCATGATTTGAACAATTTGGAATTTATACAACCTAAGGAAGCTTTCACACAAGTTTCATCTCTTCTGGCCCAGTGGTTCTTGTGATTTTTATCTCACCTGAGCTGAAAGCTTAATTGAGTTTTTCTGATCACTTGTCCATCTGTAACCTTTTCACATTTTTCAACTTCTTCTCAAGAACCACGGGGCCAATTTTAACCAAAGTTGGTACAAAGCATCCTTGGGTGAAGGGGAGTTTAAATTATTAAAATGAAGGGCCAAGCCCCCCCCTTGCAAGGAGAGATAATCAAGAAAAGATTGATTGATTGATCGTATGTTGTTTTACAACCCATTTGAGAATTTTTCACTCGTATAGAGACGTCACCATTTACCGATGAAGGCTTCAAATTTTGACCTTTACTCGGCACTCAGGGCCATTGAGCAGTGAGGGATCTTTATCGTGCCAACGCCTGCCGTGACACGGGGCCTTGGTTTTTAAGGTCTCATCCGAAGGACCCGCAACTTTCACTTCAAAGTGCCGAGCGCATGGCGAAGGAACAGTTGCTACCCATTTTTTATTGACTTAGGTCAGTCGCGGCCGAGATTCAAACTCGTTCATTAAAAACTCGTCTTCTCAAGAACCACTGGGCCAGAAAAACTGAAACTTATGTGGAAGCATCCTGAGGTAGTGTAGATTTTAAATTGTTCATATCATGACCCCCCCTCCCCCCCCCCTCCCCCCCCCCCCCCCCCCCCCCCCCCGGGTAGGGTGGGGCCACATGAGAGAATCCAAGTTTTACATTGAAATATATTGGAAAAAATCTTTAAAAATCTTCTTCTCAAGGACCACTGGTCCAGAAAAGCTGAAACTTATGTGGAAGCATCCAGTGGTAGTGTAGATTTAATTGTTCAAATCATGACCTCCCAGGGTAGGATGGGGCCACATGAGAGAATCCAAGTTTTACATTGAAATATATTGGAAAAATCTTCTCAAGGACCACTGGTACAGAAAAGCAGAAACTTATTTGGAAGCATACTGGGGTAGTGTAGATTCTAAATTGTTCATATCATGAGCAACCGGGGTAGGGTGGTGCCACAATAGGGAATCCGAGTTTTACATTGAAATACAAATGTATATACAAACTTTTTTTTAAAACATCATCTCCTCAAGAACCACTAGATCAGAAAAGCTGAATCCATGTGGAAGCATTCTGGGGTAGTCTAAATTTTAAATTGTTCAATTTCCAATCCCCTCCCCCCCCCCCCCCCCCCAGGAGTAGGATGGGGCCACAATAGGGAATCCAAGTTTTACATTGAAATATATAAGAAAAATCTTCTCAAGGACCACTGGTCCACAAAAGCTGAAACTTATGTGGAAGCTTTCTGGGGTAGTGAAAATTCTAAATTGTTCAAACCATGACCCTCGGGGGTAGGGTGGGGCCACAATAGGGAATCCAATATTTTCATTGAAATACATGTATATAGGAAAAAACCTTCTCAAGAACCAATTGGCCAGAAAAGCTGAAACTTAAGTAGAAGCTTTCTGAGGTAGTGTAGATTCTAAATTGTTTGAATCATGACCCCCAGGGGTAGGGTGGGGCCACAATAGGTATTACAAGGGAAAAATTCTTGAGAACAGCAAGGCCAAAATTACTCAGGTGAGTGTTGTGGCCCATGGGACTCTTGTTAGCTCACCTGAGCTGAAAGCTCAAGTGAGCTTTTCTGATCACCCATTGTCTGTCCGTCTGTAAACTTTTCACATTTTCAACTTCTTCTCAAGAACCACTGGGCCAATTTTAACCAAACTTGGTACAAAGTACCCTTGGGTGAAGGGGAGTTTAAATTGTTAAAATAAAGGGCCAAGTCCCCTTACAAGGGGAGATAATCAAGAGAAGACAAAAATAGGGTGGGGTCATTAAAAAATCTTCTTCTCAAGAACCACTGGGCCAGAAAAGCTGAAACTTATGTGGAAGCATCCTGGGATAGTGTAGATTCTAAATTGTTCAAATCATGACCCCTGGGGGTAGGGCGGGGCCACAATAGGGAATCCAAGTTTTACATTGAAATATATAGGAAAAATCTTTAAAAACCTTCTTCTCAAGAACCACTGAGCCAGAAAAGCTGAAACTTAAGTGGAATCATACTGGGGTAGTGTAGATTCTAAATTGTTCAAATCATGACCGCCGGGGTAGGGCGGGGCCACAATAGGGAATACAAATTTTACATTGAAATATATAGGAAAAATCTTCTTCTCAAGAACCACTGAGCCAGAAAAGCTGAAACTTATGTGGAATCATCCTGGGGTAGTGTAGATTCTAAATTGTTCAAATCATGACCCCCGGGGGTAGGGCGGGGCCACAATAGGGAATACAAGTTTTACATTGAAATATATTGGAAAAATCTTTAAAAATCTTCTTTTCAAGAACCACTATGCCAGAAAAGCTGAAACTTATGTGGAAGCATCCTGGGGTAGTTTAGATTCTAAATTGTTCAAATCATGACCGCCGGGGTAGGGCGGGGCCACAATAGGGAATACAAATTTTACATTGAAATATATAGGAAAAATCTTCTTCTCAAGAACCACTGAGCCAGAAAAGCTGAAACTTATGTGGAATCATCCTGGGGTAGTGTAGATTCTAAATTGTTCAAATCATGACCCCCGGGGGTAGGGCGGGGCCACAATAGGGAATACAAGTTTTACATTGAAATATATTGGAAAAATCTTTAAAAATCTTCTTTTCAAGAACCACTATGCCAGAAAAGCTGAAACTTATGTGGAAGCATCCTGGGGTAGTTTAGATTCTAAATTGTTCAAATCATGACCCCCAGGGGTAGGGTGGGGCCACAATAGGGAAACATTGAAATATATAGGAAAAATCTTTAAAAATCTTCTCAAGAACCACTGGACTAGAAAAACTGAAACTTATGTGGAAGCATCCTGGGGTAGTGTAGATTCTAAATTGTTCAAATAATGACCCCCGGGGGTAGGGCAGGGCCACAATAGGTATTACAAGGGGGGAAGTCTGGTAATGAACAGCATGGCCAAAGTTACTCAGGTGAGCGATGTGGCCCATGGGCCTCTTGTTGAATGACCCCACTCTATTTTTTGGCTTTTCTTTATTATCTTTCCTTGGAATAGGACTTGGCCCTTCCTTTGAACAATTTAGAATCCCTTTCAACCAAGGATGCTTAGTGTCAACTTTGGTTAAAGTTGGCTCAGTGGTTTTAGAGAAGAAATCGAAAATGTGAAAAGTTTACAGGTGAACAGACAGACAGCTTGACAGACGCCAGACAACAGTGATCAGAAAAGCTCACTTAAGCTTTCAGCTCAGGTAAGCTAGAGATGGATTTTGCTTGAATAGATAATGGATTCTGAGCCTCCTGTTTAATTTTTGCTATGATTCACAATGGTATACTATCATTCTAAATGAAAACATTGTAACACAGAATAAATTTCAACAACTTTTAATACATTATAACTTAATATAATACTTAAAATATTCAAAGCCAAGCTTTAAAATGATACAAAATTTATACAAAAATAAAACAGGACATTTCAAATTTCCAAAAAATTTACAGACTCCTTCATTTTGGAAAACTGATTTACTTGTACATGCCTCTTAATTGTCATGAGATTCATTATCGCTTCAGTTTAGGCAAAAACCTTTTTCCTTTTTAACTTCACATACACGAATATGCAGACTTACAGAAATAAAGGAGAAACTTTGTTATGATTATCAACACTAATGTGTACAGGATGATAAAAATGATAATGTCTTCTGTTTCAGAGAAGCTTAATATACAAGTACTGTATTGAGCCTTGAAAGCATCCCTGAGTATGTTTGCAGATAAAAGCAAGTATTTCATTTTATCACATCAGGCAATTGCAGAGGTGCATAATAACTCAATGGGAACAGATAACTTTTGTCCACCTTGGTACACAAAGTGAGAATCACAGCAATGGTTTCCCAGTAAGACGCACTTATTTGTTCACATCCCATTGTATGCTGGTCCCTCTCCTCCTTGAGGACACACCCAGTTTATATTCTGACTAGGGTCCTTGATATCACAGGTTTTACAGTGTATACAGTTCTGAGCGTTAATTTGTAGTCTTTTACCACTGCCATCCTCCAACTCCACATATTCATATACACCTGTAAGATAAGGAAAAGTTTTCACCAAAAATCTGTGATGTGCACAAAATTATCAAATATTTAAGTTGTTATCAACAATCCATACAGTATCTGTTTATCATGTAAATGTATACAAGTGGGATTTTGGGCTTTATTGACATTGGATATCTGCCTGGATAGCTCAGTGATTAGAGCACCTGACTAGTGATACAGAGGTTCCAGGTTCAGTTCTTGCTATTTATTTTATTTATTTCTCTTTTCCAACTACATTTGGGGGTGGAGGTGGGGGCAGGTTATATGTAAATTAGTAATTCCTGACAAAGTGAGCTTGTGTTGTTGTGAGTTTTCAATTGCAAAGACAGTTCAAGGAGGGAGGAATGTGGTAGTTTGTGCTTTATGAACCATGGATATCGGTCTGGGTAGCTCAGTTGTTAGAGCACCTGACTTGTAATAATTGGTCTTGGGTTCAATTCCTGTTCCAGCCATATATTTTCTTTAGTCATGCCTCTTTTCTTACTACTCTATTAAAAGATTCCTTTTATCAAATGACTGCATTATCAAGAGAATCACAGACAATATTAATAATCCTCATTAACTCTAAAATATAGATCAATCTGATTTCAAAAGACACTAGCCATAACTCTATCAATTTAAACAACATCTTGTAAATCTTAAATTAATTGTTAAGAAATTCTAAAAAGTGACAAAAAAATAAGTAAACGTAGAAAATAGAACAGGTCAGAGATCAATGCTGATTATGCATATATTACACTATTGTCCTACAGACCTGGTTTAATGCGCAGCAAAATTAACATGGGTAGAAAACTTTTATGTACCCAGATACTATTTGGAGTTCCTGTAGTAGGAAAGGAGAAATGCATGAAGAAAACATATAGCTGGACCGGGAATTGAACCCCGGAAACCTGTATTACTAGTCAGGTGCTCTAACCACTGAGCTATCCAGGCCAATATCCGCGATCTAAGCCCGAACTTCTACATTTCCAATATCTACAGTGAAACTTGTCTAATCTGGATGTTGTGTTCTGAAATCTTGCCTAATATGATGTAAACTTAAAGTCCCCTTTGATAAATTTTTAAATTGTTTAAAATGTCTAATCTGGAATCTTTTCTAATCGTGTCAATTCCTATGGAACCAGTGGTGTCCAGATTAGACTATTTTTACTCTATATGGCAAATAAATTTTAATTGAGAAAAATACCCCAACAAAAAAAAGATTTCATAATATTTTATTTATACAGGTTATTTTTTGGGTGGAAGGCACATACAAGTTCAGTAAAGTTTGTTATGATTAATTTGAAATTGGTGGTTATGTATGACATAACTTCATTTGAATTTTTCAAAATCATGCTGTTTTGTTTTGCTACATTGCAACTATATATATGGGACATCCTGTGGAATCCTTGTTGTTTGTGGGGATCAATGTTCTTGGGTAACCAAAATTTGATTGGTTTATGGGGACGTTATTTCCTGGGTAACTTGCATATTATCATAAATAAATCAACTGCTAACTGTATGTGTGTTTCAATTTTTGTGGGGACGTTAATTCGTGGGTAAGGGCTACCCACGAACATTGATCCCCCACGAACAATTATGATTCTTGAGACATGGTTAGATTATTGTGTGAAAGGGACCTGTCCCAAGATATGGTTAGATTATTCTATAAACTGTTGGGGCCTGTCCATAGATATGGTTAGATTATTCTAACTGTACTGGAGGCCTATCCATAGATATGGTTAGATTATTCTAACTGTACTGGAGGCCTATCCATAGATATGGTTAGATTATTCTAACTGTGCTGGAGGCCTATCCATAGATATGGTTAGATTAGTCTAACTTTGGTGGGGACCTGTCCATAGATATGGTTAGATTATTCTAACTGTACTGGAGGCCTGTCCATAGATATGGTTAGATTATTCTAACTGTGCTGGAGGCCTATCCATAGATATGGTTAGATTATTCTAACTGTGCTGGAGGCCTATCCATAGATATGGTTAGATTATTCTAACTGTATTTGAGGCCTATCCATTGATATGGTTAGATTATTCTAACTGTACTGGAGGTCTATTCATAGATATGGTTAGATTACTCTAATTGTGCTGGAGGCCTGTTCCAAGACACAGCTAAATTATTCTAACTGTGTTGGGGGCCTATTCATAGATATGATTATTCTTACTGTGCTGGACGCCTGTCCCAAGACACCATTAGATTATAATAACTAGGTAATACAGAACATACCTGCAGGACAAAATCTTTGTTCAGGACCATCATAAATGGCCAGGTTATGATTCACAGGAACACTGTCATCAAGCAATGTCAAGTGGGCTGGCTGATCATGATCGTGATTGGTTCCTGCCAAGGCCACTGAGGTCAAAAGGTCAAAACTCACAACCCCATCAGGCTTTGGATACTCAATGATTTGACACTCCTTAGCTGGTTTTAATTTTGCATTATCAGGTCCTAAAATAAACAGCATATACAGTATACACATAAATATAAATGTACTGTACATGTACGTGTATCTCTGTCAAAAAAGGTCCTTCATAGTGTACACACAAATTAGTATAAATTTGATCAATTACTTGTAGTGGCATCTGCACTCAAACTTGGTCAACAGTTATAGGAATCAAACTTCAAATACATGTACTTATTGGTCACTTAAGTATTATGATATACACACACCTCCATGATGAAGAGTCCAAGGTTCCTTTCCTCTCATTATCCAATAAAACAGACCAGTATACAGCACGCCACCAAATGTTCCCAAACCTGTGTTAAAGGAAGGTCTAACATTGCGGACAGCATAAAGCTCCTTCCACAACCAACTATTCTTCAGTCTCTCCTCATACTTGACTGGCTCCAAACCTGCTAGGGAGGATGTTCTATACGTAAAACTGAATTTCTCATAACATATACAGATATCAACTGACTATAATGTTAGAGCTATCAAGATTCTAATACCTTATATAGTTAACCTATTATATCTCCATTACATGTACCTGTTGTTGGTGATTGTGAAACTTTTTCCTCATCAGTAACTAGCTCAAACACAGACTCTGCAGCTAAGATTCCACTCTTCATGGCATTGTGGGTTCCCTTGATTTTAGGCACATTCATGAACCCTGGACTACAACCTATCAAACATCCTCCTGGGAACGTCAGTTTGGGGATAGACTACAGTAAACAACAAGTTATCTGTGAATTTAAAGGCATATTCATAATGTCTTAATAATGAAAATCTCTAATTATATTTACATTATTCTGTATCTTTATATTATTACATTACCTGTACACCCCCCTCATTTAGTGCACGTGCACCATATCCTATTCTTTTACCAGAGCGGAACAGAGGTTCAATAGAGGGATGGTGCTTAAATCGCTGGAATTCCCTGAATGGACTCAAGTAAGGATTTTTGTAATCAAGTCCAACCTGTAAAACACAAACATTGTACTATCATGGAAGAACAGACCATTGCAGAGTAGCAGAGAAGAATTTACTGATACATAAAAATCACACTCTTCCCTTAACTGCTTTTTTTATATTCATAAATGTCATCTGGATGGAATTTGCATGTATTATGGAAATTAGTTTTTTAATTACATGTACAAGAAATGACAGGTAACTATATGCATACTAAAATAAATATTTAATGGAGTAGCTATTAGGAAATTTCTGGTCCAGTATTATTTATAGAGTTAATAATAAAATTCATTCCATTCGATTTGAATTATCATTAAAGTGAAACAAATTTTGATAATGGTAACATGGTATAAGTGTACTTACCACAATGCCAACAACAATGAGGGGACCTTCGTCTAAATGATACAAAAATGTTCCTCCATATGTTGTGTTATCCTGAAACATTAAAATTATCTAAGTAACTATGACAACATTACTAGCTAGTTGAAAAAAATACTTCATAAATAAATATTTGAACTGTAAAAATCACTTAGATTATACCCAAATGTCAAGAAATTTTACTGGAACATAAAAAATCTAGCTCTGTAAAGGACTGAGTCAATTTTAACATATACATGTCATCGAAGTCTCGCATTCTAATGTAATGGTGTCAAAGAGATATTGAATGCATTTCTTACACAAAGGATATAAAATATTAAGTGTTTCAGAAGAAACATCTAAAAAAAAAATGTTTGTTTATCTGATTAAAAAGTTATTTATGCTTTTTAGGTGGTATCCTTAGTTTATACAGACTTTCAATTTTAACACAGAAATATTTTCGGACATTCTAAAGCTTTAGCATTTACATAATATATACAAATGAATGTATTTCTATTTAGCAATGGCTAAAGATGAGTATTCCAGCAGAGAGACATAGTATATCTTATTGTTATCTCCCTTGGGAGATGACACATTAAGATTGAAAGCTGGAAGTAAAGTTCTTTTGTAGCTGGTGGTCTTACAAAAATACACATGATCAGGACTGCCTATTGTGAACTCTTGTATGCTATCTGGTGGTCTGGCACTAACAACTGGTGATGTACCTATACATAACACAATTTCTATGGAATAAGTAATAGAAACAGATATTGTTTGTAAATGATTACATGTACAGTGGCCGCAATGTTATATTTGACAACTTACATGAACGGTCACGTTACACGAACGATTCTGCATGATTATCGCACGATGAAATCTGTTACATGAACGATCCTTCACGCACACGATTCTACACGATACATGATCTTACACGATTGCTAACACAAACGCACGATTCATCATGCAAAAGAGTTCAAATTCTTTAGGAATGGATATTTTCAAAACGAAATAAGGCTTTATACTTATTTTAGATTTCAAATAATTATTGATATTATTTCATCGACTTTGAAAAATGAAAAAAAAAAATAGAAATGGATATTTCTGGAACTAAATACATGTAAGACTTATTACTTTTTTTCCTTCTATCATAAGATGTACATGTAGGTGGACCATGAGTTTTGATTGAATTGGATTTCATAATATGCAGAAAGGGATAAGTTTAAAAAAAATTGGCATGAAAATGAATTAAATTATTATAAGTTATATCCATGTTTCATTAGTGAATCTCTAAAATCAACAATTATTTTACAAATCATTTATTTGCAGAAATTATAAAAATAATTAAAAGTAAGCTCCAGAGATAAACACTGATAAACAAAACCCTCACAATCATGTCGTGTACAAGTACATTTGCCGACTAAATATTTATGTAGGCATTGAGAATTGTTTATTTATTTGTAAGATATCTATTTTTGATCTACTGATTTCAAAAATATCTTGACCATAATTAGCAGTAAACATAATTAACATCAGAGAAAAAAATCCTTAAACATCTACATGTAAGTACAGTTTATCACAAAAATTCACGCTATTTGACGAGAACACAATATTGTACGACTTACTATATTGCTTATTTCCAAGCAATAATTAGTTCGTTCTGCTTTCAATTATGTAAATCGCGCTTCACTTATTTTATTTGGATAGAAAAAAAACAGACAAGCGAAATGCTTGTATAACAAATAAAAACCTACAAAACGAAATTTACACGTTTCTAAATGCACGATCATGCACGATTAAAACCGCAAACGATTGAGTCCGATACACGCACAATCTCGCACGTTACATGAACAATCACGCACGTTACAAGAACGTTTCTACACGATTGGTTTGTCAACAATAACGTTGCAGCCACTGTATGTTGTCTCCAGAAAAAAAAATGGTGGTCCTAGCTATTTTAATACCATTTATTTGTCTTTTAATGGTTTTTATGATTTGAATTAATAATGAAAATCTTTACTGCTATACTTAAGTCATTCAAAATATTGTGTCAAACTGAACAAAATTCAGCAAAGGTATTTCAAAGAAAAACAATTTTTAGAACTTAAAATTTAGCACAAGTAGCTGTTATATTTCATTTGAGTTGGAAAGAAGATTTTGGGTGGTTTCATCACGTCACACTTGATGCTATTTGCCTTCTTTTTTTTTTTAAATTGAAAAATGAGTTTCATAGCCACATTGACAAGATTGCTACCTCTGAATAAAAGTTTGGAGAGGGAAGTATTTTTATTCATTGTATTTGATTTTAAGGATTATTTAAAATACTACTAATTAAAGTATTTTCTACAGGCAATTCAGCATTGTTGGTTTATGAAGAAAATCATGAATCCCTTCTTCTTTTCTTGAAATATTGCCAAAAGTATTAAATATATTGTGCTGATTTTCTAGAATAACCTGAAAAATTTGTCATTAGATGGGATTCTTTTCATATTATTTTTTTAAAAATAATTGTACTTAATAATGTGTTTTAACTTTATTATTTACTTTAAAAAGGCACATAAACATTAATTTACTTTACCCATTGTTTTACACTCTTAATTTGATGTTTAATACATAATTTTCATAAAAAATTCTTAAAGTGGTTACTGTGCATTGCAAGAAAATTTTGTTGTTGGTCTTTTCAATTGAAACTGGTATTTTCCTACTAGTAGTGTGTACAACTGTACATGTACTTATATAATGCATAACAGTGATGTATATCAATATAAATTGAAATTGAACAGCAGAAATCTATGATGCAGAGGTGGCTTAGGTCTGCATTCATATCCCCAGTGGCTCCATGACCAAGAGGATTACAAAGAAGAAGCTTCTGAAAGCCATTGAGGACTTGTTTAAGCTATAAAACTTCTCCTCAGATGTCAGAGTAAGCGGCTGATTACAAAAAAAACAAAAGGGACGTAGAGTTAACAGCAGCCTTCTTGTAAAGCAATAGTGTGTTCATAATGGCTGCTCATAATTTCTTTTATAGACATTGATGCATTTCTAATAAATGTTTTCAAAAATCCTCCTTTAAATTCTATAAATATTCACCCAGGTTAATAGCTGAAAAAGAGATACATTTTACTTTTCATTCTGTGATATTATTGAAAGCCAAACTTGAATGTAAAGAGAGAGAGAGAGAGAGAATTTTATGTACCATTTTCAGTTGTGATATACATATAAACATTTTGATGTCCCACACACATGAAAGAATGTCTTTTTACCCTGTATTACAATATTATGTCTTGATATTTTTTTATACTGAAAAATTAAAACAAAATACTCTTCTAAGATAACTTTAGCAGAAATTTGATACAGTCAAACCTCATTATCTCGAACTCAATGGGACAGAAAAACTTCAAGATATCCGAAGATTCAAGATATCGAGGGTAAAATACTTAAAGAATAAGAGGTTGGGACTTCAAAATCACTTTGACATATTCATGGTACATGTATTCGAGATATCGGTGTTAGAGATACTGAAGTTCAAATGTAATTAAAATACATTGTTCATTTTGCTTTTGCTGGAGAGAAAGAAACTTACAAAAGGCCATCCAACTGTGTGCTCAACTCGCCCAGGACGATGAAGTGCAGGGTCTATTTCCCACAATTCTTTGAATCCTATTCCATAAGTCTGTGGTTCACAATCTTTCCTGAGATCAAAAGTTTTGTACAACTGTTTTGCCAAATGTCCATGGCAACCCTCACTGAATATTGTCACTTTTGCATGGAGTTCCATACCTCTTTCAAAAGTTTCCTAAAATTAATGGAAAACAATATGACATATCAGGAACACTTTACAGTTTCGTGTTTTACAATATTGATCTTCTGTATATTTACCTTTGGTGATCCATCTTTATGTATTCCAACATCATTTGTGGCTATTCCTTTCACACTACCATCTTCATGAAATAGTACCTAGATGTAACACAAATGCATCAATATAAATCCTAGATTACATTATAAGTACAGTTCTTTTTCCAGTGATAAATGTCAGATAGATATTCACATTAGATAACATCCAAAATACACTATTTTATTCACACTTTGGTACTAATATGTATACTAATGTACACACATACACATGTATACTCGTCTGTATAAAATTTCATAGTGTACAATGTTTTTATGAAGTAAAGATAGCAGATAGCCTCACTTTTTTATGTTTATACATACATCTGCTGTTGATATAAATTTTGTTGGAAGTGCTCATGGATATAATTCAATCACATAAAATGAGCATACACTGTGGCACACCTATACGATAGTTATTCCATGTTCTCTGGATCCTACCTCACTAGCAGCATAGCCTGGGTATATCTCTACTCCTAATGCCTCCGCTTGCTCACCAAGCCATCTCACAACATTGCCAAGCCTCACTATGTAATTCCCATGGTTACTCATTGGCATTCCTATAATGTAATATTGTTTTGTAATTGTATTTTATCTTACAGTGCAGTATTTCATAATCAAAACAACTGCATTATCAAAAAAAAGTAAATGTAAGTTTTATATATATATATGTTGAAGTGAAATGGAAATTCAAGAACTGAGTTGCTTTTGCAGAATTTTACCATTTCATTCACCATTATGCATTTCCATGACAACAATTAATTGTATTTTTATTATCAAACTCTTGATATACCTGGTAGTACAGGGATAGGGATTCGTCCCTTCTCAGTGAGAAATGCAAATTTGTCTTCTTTCACCTCTGTTTTAAGTGGTGCCTGTTGATGAAGGGTAAACTTAATCAAGGACAATAAATGTACAGGAAATTGTAGTGAGATAACATTTTCACTTTGAATGTAACATAAAAGAAAAACATTTTAAGAAATTTTTTTTAACTCTTGTGAAAGTTATATTTCTGGTTAGGAATTCATTAGGGATTTAATTTCATTGATAGAATGTTGATTAAATTAAACAAAATTTAATCCCCAACTAATATTTCTCTGCATTTACAGTATCTTTAAATGCAAAAACAAGCTCTTACTGAAAAAATATTATTCTAAATATTTACATACTCCCATTTCTCTCCAGTTTGGAAACAATTCCTCCAGAGATCTAGGTTCAATGCAAGCACCTGATAAGGTATGGCCACCTGTATTCAAATAAAACATGCAACTTATTAAAGTAGAACTTCTAAAAAGTCTGATAGGAAAGAAGTGGACCCATCAATATATTGTACTAGGTTCATGGTGTATAATATACAAAACAAATAAACAAAAGAGGATGCATTTGTACTTTATACACTGTACAGAATTACCATTGGTTAATCACCCAATATATACACTGTGCATGTATTTCAAATACAAATGTCAAATGCAATTTCATCAATTTACATAGATTTGATTTTACCTTCTGAGGGAAAATGAATCACACCCAGTAGAATAATTCACGGACATTTTTTCATATAATTACATCACAGTGGAACATGGTTATTACCAATCTCTGCAGCCTTCTCTACCAAGCACACCCTCAGTTCCTTTCCTTGTTCATTAGCCATGAGTTTGAGTTTACAAGCTGCTGACAGTCCTGCTGGACCTCCGCCAACAATAAGTACATCTGCTTCATCTGCATACCTCTCCATATCCACATCTAATCAAATAATATAAAAACTACATTACAAGGCATTCTATGCACTGCTTAAAATAATCATAAGTTATAAAATATCTATTGTAGATCACCAAATTTTTGCCACACCTTATTTTCACAAGACAGATGTTTGGTACATGTATTTATAAGAGAGATAAAATTTTGATGAACTGTTATTATTGTTGTTTTATAATCTATAATAAATCTATAATATATTTGAGTTACAATAGACACACTGTTCAAAAAATTCAAAATGAATTTTTTTTTAACTTGTGTCCAATCCCATTTGATAAAATCAACAACTGGCCCATGGGCCATAATGCTCATCTGAGTCACTCACCTTGGCCCTGCTGTTCTTCAGAAGACAATGTTAAAATTCTCCTAATTATTCCCATGAAAAATGTGAACCCCAAATTGTGGCGCCAACCTTGCCTGAATCCAACACTTTCAAGTTTTTGTACAAAAATATGACTAAGAGTGGCCCTGTTACTCTTGAACAGATTCATTTGTACTTATACATCAGCAACTTTGCTACCAGTGATGAAATGCTATACATCACATCACAGAACACTGTTTGTTATCTTCACCTCTTTGACTTACCTGGCTGACTGGATAGACTTTACCTTTCCAGTCCCCAAATCCATAAGATCTGCGCACTCATTGCACTATGACGTAAGATTTAAGGGTTAGTCTTGCACACTACTAGACTGCTAAGGGTTAGTCTTGCACACTACTTGACTGATGAGGGTCAGACTTGCAACCCCCTGAGAAATTAGTTTTAGTCCTTGCACAAGTATTCTACCGATTAGGGTTAGTCTCGCATCAATCTGAGAGATTAGGGGTTAGTCCTTGCACACAATTTGACTGATTATGGTTAGTCTAGCATTTGCCCAGTTGATTTGTGTAAATCCTCGGATACTGCTTGAAAGATTAGGGTTAGTGTCTTGTTCTTTTAGATTAATTAAGAAATGATTTTGCATCTGTATTTTTTGCAAGATCTTTCTGCTTCAATGACATCTTGCTGGGTTTTTTTTTTACATGAAAAAATGGTTAAATACAAAAACAAGAGGCCCATGGGCCAGATCACTCACCTGAGCACATTGGCTAGACAAAAATCAGTTCAGTATTGAAAAGATTACTGGGGGTTGGGGCGTTGGGGGGGGGGGGGGGGGGTTGAATTTTAAACTAACTGATGATGCTTCCATGTCAATATAACAAATGGCTTTGTTGTACTTGAGAAGATTTTAAAATTTTTTTCCCATATATTCCTTTGTAAAATTTTGATCCCCCATTGTGGCTCCTCCCTATCCCAGAGGTCATCATTTGAATATACTTGAATCTACACTACTCAAGGATGCTTCCATATCAATATGACTAAACATAGCTTTTCTGTTCTTGAGAAGAATTATTTTTTCTTTGTGTTCTTATGTAAAACTTTCGATCCCCATTGGGCCCCACCCTACCCCTGGGGGTTATCATTTGAAAAAAAAAAATTGAATTTACACTACCTGAGGATGCTTCCATATCAAAATGACTAACATAATTTTCATTTCTTGAGAAGAAGATATTTTCCAATATGTTCCTATGTAAAAAAATTTTGATCCCCCATTGTGGTCCATCCCTATCCCCGGGGGCATCATTTTAACAAACTTGAATCTACACTACCTGAGGATGCTTCCATATCAAAATGACTAATCATGGCTTTGCAGTTCTTCATCAGAAGATACCTTCCTATATATTTCTATTTCAGACATTGATCCTCCATTGTGGCCCCGCCCTACCCCAGGGGGTAATGATTTGAACAAACTTAAATCTACACTACCTGAGGATACTTCCACATAAATATGATCAATCAGGGCTTTGCTGTTCCTGAGAAGAAGATTTTAAAAGATTTTTCCTATATATTTCTATGTAAATCTTTGATCCTCCATTGTGGCCCCGCCCTATCCCCCGGGGTTATGATTTGAACAAACTTGAATCTACACTACCTGAGGATGCTTCCATATAAATATGACTCATCATGGCTTTGCTGTTCTTGAGAAGAAGATTTTTAAAGGTTTTTCCTATATATTTCTATGTTAAACTTTGATCCTCCATTGTGGCCCCGCCCTACCCCCGGGGGTCATGATTTGGACAAACTTGAATCTACACTACCTGAGGATGCTTCCATATAAATATGACTCATCATGGCTTTGCTGTTCTTGAGAAGAAGATTTTTAAAGGTTTTTCCTACATATTTCTATGTTAAACTTTGGTCCTCCATTGTGGCCCCGCCCTACCCCCGGGGGTCATGATTTGAACAAACTTGAATCTACACTACCTGAGGATGCTTCCATACAAATATGACTTATCATGGCTTTGCTGTTCCTGAGAAGAAGATTTTCAAAGGTTTTTCCTATATATTTCTATGTTAAACTTTGATCCTCCATTATGGCCCCGCCCTACCCCCGGGGGTCATGATTTGGAAAAATTTGAATCTCCACTACCTGAGGATGCTTCCATATAAATATGACCAATTAGGGCTTTGCTGTTCTTGAGAAGAAGATTTTTAAAGGTTTTTCCTATATATTTCTATGTAAAACTTTGATCCTCCATTGTGGCCCCGCCCTACCCCCGGGGGTCAAGATTTGAACAAATCTGAATCTACACTACCTGAGGATGCTTCCAAATGAGTTTCAATTTCCCTAGCTTTGTGGTTCTTGAGAAGAAGATTTTTAAAAGATGCTATTAATTTTTCACTAATTCTTTATTATCTCCCCTTGAAAGAGGGCATGGCCCTTCATTTGAACAAACTTGAATCCCCTTCACCCAAGGATACTTTCTGGCAAGTTTGGTTGAAATTGAGCCAGTGGTTCTTGAGAAGAAATTGAAAATGTGAAAAGTTTACAGACAGACGGACAGACAGACAGACGGACAGATGGACTACAGACAAAATGTGATCAGAAAAGCTCACTTGAGCCTTCGGCTCAGATGAGCTAAAAACTGCACTAAGCATGCGCAGTATGCAATTTGTTGACAATTATTTTTGTCAATTTTTCACTGAATTAACTAGAGCTGGGACGATATATCAAGATATCAATAATACCAATTCTGTGTGAGGATGATACGCATATCAATACATATGAAGAAATACTGAAATATCGCAAAAAAAATTCTGACTTATATGTTTTTTTTGTTTACTTAACATTTAAGGTTTAATATATAAAATAAATTTACTAAATATAAATATGAAATACATAATAATTAACACCACATATGTAAAATAAATTTGTCTTACAAAAGATATACAACTTCTTTGAATAAATTATTCTTATTTGTAAAGAATTGTTTTGATCAAAACAAAAAAAGATTTTATACCCAATTAAACATGTTAAACATATCTTGATACATATTGTGTCGTGCATCAAATATCGTGATATGTATTGATATAGAAAAAGTTGTATTGTCCCAGCCCTAGAATTAACAATGATATTTATTGAATTTTTTTGGAGAACAAAGGTAAAAACATTTAAAAACAACACATTTCTCAAATATCTGATTTGTTTCTCTTCGTCATATATAAAAAAAAAAAATCATAATATTAACATTATCTTGCGATTTCTAAACAGTTTTCAAAATTCTTACAAAATAAATACAAAAATTGTGATGTTGACAATTCAAGTGATTTCAAATAGGATAATATAGGAAACACCACCCTCTGGTATCTTGCACAAATGCCTGGTATGGTATCTCCATTTTTTGTGAGAAAAGTTGTTAAAGTAGCAATACTTCAATGAAAATTCTTGGGAAAAATTATATATTACTGAGGAAGATGTCTTCTGACCTTAAACTTCATTTTTAACTGTAGATTTAACTGTGTATTATGATTCTTTGGTCAAAATGGCCCAAAACCTGATACTTTTTTTTTTGATGGCTCACATGATATCATATATATTGAAGTCACCTACAATGAAACTATATTTTTGTGCTTTTTTTTCTGGGGACTGGTAAACTTAAGTTTAAATAAACAAGATGTGATAGTCAACCGAAGATAATTGTATGTGACTTCTTTGAATATAGAAGATTTAAATTGAAAAGATATATATGCATAAGTTTATTAATTTCCTGTACAGTTGAGTTTATCACTTCAACTTATTTTCCTGAGATTACATTGCACTTGCTACTGGCAACGGGGAAAGCGACTGCACCCAGCGTCTCGAAAAGAATTCAAATCAAAGTGTCTATTTTAATCAATCAATAAACATACCTTTCCAGCGAGGATCATTTTCCCTTGGATGAACTGTGTAATGCGTTGTGATCTTAGGTGTTGCTACACTGCTGTAATATTTTTCTCCATAGTGATACAGAAACCTTATCCTCTTACCTAAAATATAAAGTTTAAAATTAATCAAAACCATAAAATAACCCTGCAAAAAACTTTTTTGTGTAAATGACTACATGTAAGCTACTTACAATCACTAAATGCCTTTCAAGGGAGATAACTCAACATAAACTGTTTATGTAACTTTGGTTGTGTAACACATTTTCATACATTTAGTCACTTTTCTGAGTCTTTCACAATCTCTACATTCATGCACGATATTTGTGTTCATTTTATAAATATGGCTGATAAAAAACAATTTATCCTCGTCTCAACATTTTACCTGGTTATCTCCTATCTAGCTCAAGAGAACTGATCGGACTTTGACCTGCGTTTTATTCATAGTCATTTTTGTAAACATTTATGCTGCCTTTAGTTAATAAATATATAAAAATAAACTTAAAATGTCTAATTTGTTTTCAGAAACATACAGTTTTATACAAAAGCAACTGCTTAATTAAATTATACATACTTAATCGAGTGCCCTTCGAAAATACGTTCACGAGCGTCGCCATCGCTGAAAGAATACTACCTTCTGGCATGTCGTATACAGGTAAAATCTTAATGAAGTCTCGTTTAGTAATAAATCGATTTATAGGCTAATTTTTCCTGCCGAATTGTTGTCAAAATAGGAAGAGAGTGATTTCCTAAAAGTTTTTTTTTATTTGTTTGAATTTTGGTACTGTAATTTTGTTGTCGTAAATTTTGGGGGAAAAAGAAAGTAGGAAACTTGTTAGTTCGCTTGGTGAAGGGCTGCCTTGCAGCCTAGCCTCTAGGTTAGACGAAGGCACTGTTAGAGTTAACATTTTAACTGGTTAGGCTAGCATATCGTTACTAAAAGTATGTAGCGGCTACGATCTTGAACGCAGTCCAGCTTGATCATATCTCCCACTGAACTCGAAATAAAATCAAAGTACTGAAAGTACTGGGAAGCTCTAAGCATATTGCAATTTTAAAATTCATCAGATTTATTTTTTTTTTAACTTAAATTGCCTGTTGTATTCGAATTTAAGCAATATCTTGACAGTGCGGCTGCGCTAGGGCGAGCACAGTTGTTTGATACATAATCAAACATGGGAGTCATGAAAATTTCCCGTTGGGATATGAAATTAAACATTGTCTTATTTTAAGCATTTTACATTTTCTTCTTCTGTCAAAAGATCAATCAATTTCACATACATGAAATAGCAAGAAAATATTTCTCCGTTTCTTAAAAAAAAAAAAACAATATATACAAATTAAATGGCTTTAATTTTAGAAACTGCACTCAGAAAATAAAGATGTTACCCGGTATTTGTTTATTGCGTCGATAAACATTTCCTTATTGATACTATAATTATTTATTAAAGTTATGAATAAAACATCTCAAAAATATCGAATACTAGTATTCTCACTAAATTGTTTTTAGTATATCTCTTTTTTTATATTCATAAGCGATTTATAAATTTACGATTTCATATAGAAAGGGTTTTATAAGAAATACATTAATGGAGTGTGTAAGATAGTTACACAATCGCTACGAGCGTTCAGCATTTATTAATGATAAATAAAACTTAGACTATATATTACATTTCGTTTTGAATATACTACTGTTGTGTATTATACATTTTTAACACTTCACAGTCATCAGCTGTGCAGCATATTGGCATCATGTTTGTAACAACGTCATGTAACAAAACTCTATGTCAATGAAATGAGCACCCGTAGAGTTAACGGTCTTTTGTCAGAGATAATTGGTAAATATATATTTTGAGTATTATAAGATATTATATTTGTCTTCTTCGTTTGATGATAAAACATTTGCTGCTATCCTTTTATCTCTGATTTTCATACACATGATTTATAATGTATTTGCAACAAAAAATTGTTTTTTCTGTTGATCTCACAATATGTATATCTAATTTGTAAATATATATTTTTTTTAAAATGAAAATTTTATACTTTCCTTCTTCGGATTAAAAATATGTCATTAAACCCCTAAAAGTATTTTGGACTATTGTTGAAATACATGTACTTTAAAATGCTTCAGTATTTTTTTTTACGGACGTTTGATACTTTACACCATTCTTTACTTGTTTATTTGTGATTTTAAATAACACGCAAAACGTGTTTAGAGGGGAAAAATATCCATAGCACTGTTGTGTTAGTTGAAAAAGAATACTGAAAATAATTACCCGCAATTTTTCTGCTATTTCCATGATAAATAATTCAACAGCCCAAGAAACAAAATACAGTATACAATTTAACATTGTTTTATTGTTTTTTGTTTTTTTTTGTTTTTTTTTTGTTTTGTTTTTGTTTTTTTTTTGTTTATGTTTTTTTTTTTTTATGGTCCTCATTAAGTAGCTTAACAGTCAGATCGGCAACACGCGCACATCTGTACATAAACTCTTTCTTCCTAGTTTCCTAGTACAAGTATTACACTGTTTGCTTAACATTTCATCGGCGCTATACCTGTCCATTGCCGTTTAATTAAGGTTTTTGCATTTTCGCCATATCTTGCGCACTGCACACACAATTTTAAAGCACAATATTAAATTAGAAATTAGTTTTCCTATTTGAGTGGATTCGTTGAAAACACAGCCACCATATGCCCTACATGTACGTACAGCCGCAAACTGCCTTTCCTTGCGAATTATTTACATCATATTTTTTAGGGTGTTGCTAAAACGCGGAACGGAAAACGGAACGGAAGCGGAACGGAACGGAAAACGGAAAATCTTATATCAAATTATTTACTTCAGGCATATATAAATCAGACAGGAACCAGTATTCTTTATCATATAGTTTATGTCTCATTAAAAAAAATAACATAACAATGTACATGATGTAATTTATTCATCCCCCCCCCCCCAGAAGTATATGCGGTGGTCAATGAAATACATACTAATTAGACACACAGCCCAAGTATCTATCTAATACTCATTCATCACTTGTCCAAATCTAATTTATAAAGCTTATTCACCAAAGATAAAACTCTCTTTTTTATCATTTATTATGAAACAGGCAATGGTGTTTTAAAACATGGGAGGAGTGGGGGGTCGGCAGAGAAAGAGAATTATAATTATGTACACATTTGTGATCCAAACAACGATCACTGACATTAAGGAAAGAATAGAGGACATGCTTATTAAAACTACAGGCATGTGCGGATCTAGAGTGGGTTCGGGATGAGGTTCGGACCCCCTGAAATTGCGGAGTTATTACGTCTACATTGTACAGTAAATATTTTTTTAGAAAAATTACCCCCCTCCCCCCTAAAAAAAAAATCACGGATCCCTGTGAAGTTGATGGGAAAGTACACATTAACCCACCAACCCCTAAAAATATCCTGAATCCGCGCTATCCACCGTCAGACACTTGAAGCGAGGACAACGTAGGCTACATCTATGCATCATCCCCCCTCCCTACCAAGTAATATATAAATTACGAAAGTGCATTTTCTGGAAAAAGTGTGATTTCTCCATCATAGCAATTTTAATGTTATTCTGTGCAATCGGTCAGTGTTGTTTTCCAGTTTTACAATTTGGCGAAATACGGGGGATGGGGGGTGGGGGCGGGTGGGGGATGCAGAGTTGTACGATATCATGGTTATTCGCGCTTTAGGTGCCTGCTGATTGAAAATTATGTTGTGTTCGCACATATAAATATCGAATACTGGCTATTCATGTTGATCAGAGTGGTCTTTTATAAAGTTAATTCTCACTCATCATATCTCACCACAACGTTTTATATATACCACGTGTATATATTTTATGTTTTCCGTACCCTATGCTTTGCTTTTGTACTCATGAAGAGATCAACTCATTCTTGATAATCAAGGTTAAATCATCTTTGCTAGCCAAGGGTTTCTGATATGCTATTCTCCTCATAAACCCTTGGCATACGGTGCTGACAGAAGACGGGATTGTTTTCGTCACGTGATCACAATTCTTACCAGGTACGCACAGATTGCGTCATCGACAGAAATAAAAAGCGTATTTAAAAAAAAAATAATGTTTTTAAAGAATAATTAACAAGATGGTATTGAGTTATGTTAATTTGTTATTTAAACATGTTAAAATGCAAATCTAGATCTTCAGTATTGATTCTTAATCACATATTTTTGCACGATATTGGATGACACCATATAGCTATTCATAGAATGGCATGTTATCTTACGGATCGTTGTTTACTTGCGTTTTTCATTCCCCTAATTAAAGAGTCAAGATATATCCCGAACGCAAATATCGTCATTTACAAAAAACAATTGCTGATTGGTCGAACGATGTTGATCAACTCCAATCACAACTTGAGAAAAAAATCCCAACTTTTTTTAACACCGTATGCCAAGGGTTTATGAGGAGAGTAGCGTATCAGAAACCCTTGGCTAGCGAAGATGAGGTTAAATATGAACAACAAATATAATTTATATCGTTTTGGTATAATTTGTATTTTTCAAGGGCTTTAAACTGGTATCATATTTTCCGTTTTCCGTTCCGTTCCGCTTTCCGTTCCGTTTTCCGTTCCGCGTTTTAGCAACACCCTATTTTTTACCCGTATTACAAGTATAGAGTACAACACAAGTATAGACAGTCCATGAATGCATTCCATTCCGTTACTAATTGATCCTAAGATGCGAAAATCAACTTCATTGATAGCTCTCTGCATGGTGCAAGGGTGATAATAGGAAGACTTGTTTTTAGTTACATTGCCTGAAATATGGGTCTAGAAGAAGAAATAATAGTTTATATGGATATGTTATATAGAACGTACATATGTAAGTACATTGTAAATCAATTTTATGCGAAATTTTCTACTAAATAACTCATTTCCAGTTTGAGTTTTAAATACTTATTAAAATCCCATCTGAGTTTTAAAAATATGTACTTATTCAATCACTACATTACATGTACATGACATATAATAAACCGTTTTTAATTAAGTATTTGCGCCATAGATGCAGCAATTGTTATAGTTACATGGTACACAAGTGATGAATGCCGACACGATTTTAAATGAACTACAATGTATAGAGATAAACATGACAAGAACCGCCCTTATCTACTAAAAGTGGATTTTCGAACAATGTTCATGCATATCTTTACCTTACTAAGTGACTCCTATTATTAGAACTGCACGTAACTCAGTATTACACAAAAATAGCCGCAAGAGAGTCGGGGATTTCCAGTTGCATATTTTTAGAAAACCCAGTGGAGTTATCTAACTTGCTTAGTGGCGCTGGATCGCGAACGGAAGTAGATTTATGATGACAGTAAGCGCTTTGCGCTGCGCTTAGCGCTTAAAAAAATAGACACAAAGGACTCTGACATATATATGTTTCATGTCTGAAGATATGATGGCAGACTAAACTTTAAATATAGTGCGTTATCATCTGCATATCATTATAGTGTGTTTATCCGAATCTCCCTCTGAACTCGATACGCAAGAGCATGCTCTTGAACTATTTCTTAAGACAGGGTATTGACAAATAAGATTATGATACAAGGGTATCATTAGTCTAGTATCAAGTCATCACTAAGTAGTTCTATGGTCGATACAATGACCTTGTTTGCAAAGCAATCTGATAAAATGTATAAAAGCGATGGAAAGTGTTGTTTTACAGGTAAAATTCTTATTGTTGTTATTTATACCTTATCAGGGATCAATGTTCACAATTTAATCAAAATGAATACAACTCAGAAAGGCTACAACTTTTAACAGTTTTTTTTTTATAAATGCAAGGGGCGTTTATTATAAGTTGTAAATCATTATAGGACTAATTGAAATTTCACAAAAGTGAGCAGATAGATACATGTGTAGATAGAAAGATATTTATTTGGTATACTACATGCTTTGATACAATACATTTTTTTGACATGGTAATAATTAAGAAATAAATATTAAGTTTTACACTAAAAAATAAAAATAAAAATATCTATATCGGAATCAGTCAATTTTAGAAAAAAAAATAATATAATGCATATAAAACATGTTCGTATACCAAGGATAACCCACGTAAGCCAAGGGCTTATTTCCAGTGGGGTCCTTATAGTTATACACGTATACTAGATGTTAAGTGAAAAAGATAATAATAAAGAATTAAAAGAGATAAAGTTGACAACACATTGATCATTTAAAAAAATGAATTGATGTGTTAATATAACTATATATATCGAGCAAACCATAGATGTTTTTGATAAACTAAACCAAGATGTAATAACAATCCTGTGAACTATCCTAAACTTTCATAACTTTAATATAGTTTTGTGACCTTAACGCAGTATCATAATACTGAGCTACGGTTTTAATACTACAATTATTGTCTCATACTTTCATTAACAGTATAGGAAAATCGTTTTGTGCACTTTTAGTTAAGTTTTGTGCACTTTTAGAATTTTTTGTACAGTTTGCATGGAGAGATGGCTTTGGTGTAAACTTTTCAGAATTGGGGGCCAATGGTAAATATTTTACTGTTAAGAAAAAAAGTGTTAAAATATATGAAATCTAGATACAGAAGAACGCTGTCTACATCTGATTTTTTTTTATTGAGTGTTGGTGTTCAACAATGTATAAGTGAAGATAACGAACAGTGATCAATTTCAAAAATCAAGTGAAGAATACAGATCTTGAGTTGGATAAAAACACGGACCCCTGGAAACACCAGGGATGGGATTAGGTGCCTAGGAGGAGTAAACATTAGTCCAGTCAATTTAGCGAAAATATGGACCCAACTTTATACTTATTCCGACACAAATTACTCTGTCATAAATTAAATCTAACGTGTCCAAAATATTTGAAGTAAATTCTAAGAAAATATGAAGAGCCGAAAACATATTTTTTTTTTTTACATGATCTAATTAGCTATGGGAATGACTATAGACTAAGGGCATAACTCTAAATTCATCCAATGTTTTGTTGAAGTAATCAAAAGAAAATTCCCATTTTTTAAAGAGCATAATCTGATTTTAACTCGTTGGACGCAATTTAATAGCTTATTATTTAAAATGGATAATATTAATATAGGATCTTCCATGATTTGTAGTTGGATATGATTTTTATCCAACAAGTTGCGTGTGTGTGTGTGTGTTTTTTTTTATCCCCGAGCCTCGGCGAGGGATAAATTTAAAACACACAACAAATTGGATAAAAATCATGCACATCCAACCACAAATCATGGGAGATTCTTTTTATCCCACGTTTTACACATCACTATCAATGTTTTAAACTGTTTTATATATAGGACTCCACTTTATTATTTTACTTCATCACTCTCACGAAAAACCCATTGTGACGACACGGCAGTGGGATATCAAAAAATATCCAGTGACTGATATCCACTGGATAAAAGGGTAAACATGGGATAAATTTCATTTTGAAACGTATACTGTGAATTTAATTTCATATCTTTTTTTAAATTTGGAAATACTAACATTTTTCATAGATCGTTTAGATTCCTTTAGTACATAAATACTAAATGTAATATAAAACATAATTTTGATTTTTGAGACAAAAATTGACCTATGTTTGACCTATGTTTTGATAATCTCTAAACTAAAATTTTATTATAAAAGGTGAGGAAATGCAACATACACTCTGAAGTGAGCTTAAACATTTGCAAAAAACAACAACAAAAAAACAACATCAACAAAACAAAAAAAAAACAAAAAAAAAGAAAGAAAATTCCTTATTTATAAAAGGTTTTACTGCACTTATATATATCATAATGAACATTTTATGTCACTTCCTTTTTCATCAAGGTAGAAAAAGCACCAAAATGTAACCAAAATTTACGAAACCGACAAGAGATATGCCTCTTTCCTCTTGTAATTTTCATAGAAAATCTATTAAGCCCAAATAATGCTTTCCCCTCATCCAATTTTGTTATATTTTTATTACATAAATATTGTGCACTCTACAGTTTATTTGTAACAAAATATATTGTGTCGCAATTAGTTTAATGTTTCATGCTAAATTGACAGGACTACATCCCCACCCGTTGTGAGGCCTCTGTACAGACAATCTATATTCAAAATGATATAAAAACGACGACCCAGCAACTGGTGGGAAACATGTCCGTCAAAATATGCGACCAATTTAAGGTTGTCATTGCAAACAAGGTCATCATACCGACCACAAAATTAACAAAATGCTGAGTTTAAATGAGATATTTGAAAACCCTGTAACATCAACTTACTTGTTGGTAGCTGTCTCTTTTTAAACAAGAGGCCCAAGGCATAGAATCGTTCTTCTGATGAATTGTACAACCCTATCACTTCTTAATAGCATAAATATTTAGATAAAATCTTGAAATTACAAAAGTAGGTCAATATGACCTACATTTTGACTAACATACTCCTAGAACCAAGATGCATCAACTGACAACGTTGGATGATTATAAGCTTCTTAATATTTTAAATATATAGTTAGAGTCTTGAGATTCCAAAACTAGGTCACCATGATCTACCTTTTAGTTGACACGCTCTGAGGACCCAAGATGCAACAACTAACAGTTGCCAATAAGTATCTGAAATATTAAAATATACACAGGAAATTCCAAAAGTAGATCACAATCACTACTTATTAGTCGACATGCTCCGAGAACCCAAAATGCATCAACTGACAAAGTTTGATGATTCTAAGCTAATCAGTATCTGAAATATTAAAATATAGTAATGAAATACCAAACCTAGGCCAGTGACCTACAATTTGGTTGATAGACTCCAAGAAACAAGACACCAACTGACAAAGTTTGATGATTCTAAGCCTCTTAATATCCCAAAATATTTAGATATAGCCATAGAATTCTAAAAGTAGGTCATGGTGACCTACTTTTTGCTTAACACACTCCAAGGACCCAAAATGCATCAACAGAGACAGTTTGATGATTATAAGTCTCTTATAATCCAAAATATTTAAATATGGCAATTCCAAAAGTAGGTCACGGTGACCTACTTTTTGTTGACACACTCCATGGACCCAAGATGCATCAACTGACAAAGTTTGACGATTCTAGGCATCTTACTACTTAAATATTCAGACATAGCTTTCAAATTCATCTTTGAGCCTTTGGCTAGAAGAGCTAAACAAGAGGCCCATGGGCCAAATCACTTACCTGAGCACTTTGGCTAGTAAAAACCAGAAATAAGTTCAGTATTGAAAAGTTTAAATAAATACATGTAAATGATCCATACCTATTGGGGGGGCATGATTTGAACAAACTTACATTTACACTATAACTTAGGATGCTTCAATTTCTTTGACTATAAATAGCTTTAAAAGATTTTTAAAAATTATATTCCTATGTTTTATTTTCTGCCCCCCCCCCCCCCTTGCATTTACTTTGCATGGGTTATTGATAAATTTTAACAATCTTGAATCTACATTATCTGATGATGCTTCTGTATTAATATGACTAATCATACATGGCTTTGCTGTTCTTGAGAAAAAGATTTTTAATGATCTTTCCTATATATTACTATGTAAAACTTTGATCCTGAAATGTGGCCCACCCTACTCTCAGGATTTAAACAAACTCGACTCTACACTACCTGATGATGCCTCAATATTAATATGACTAATCCTTGGTTTGCTGTTCTTTAGAAGAAGATTTTTCCTATGTATTCCTATTTAAAAAACTTTGTTCATCCATTGTGGCCCCACCCTACCCCCGGGGATTCTGATTTGAACAAATTTGAATCTACTACCTGAGAATGCTCCCAAATAAATATGACCATTCGTAGCTTTGCTGTTCTTGAGAAGATTTTTAAAAATTTTCCAATTTATTTCTATGTAAATTTTGATCGTCCATTGTGGCCAGACCCCCCCCCCCCCTTTTTTTTTTCCGGGGTCATGATTTGAACAAGCCCTGATTTAGCAATAGGTCACCTGAATAAATTATACATTCTGAGATAGCAAAAGGTCACTTGATTTTATTATAGCTATGAGATCACAATAGGCTCCAAGATTGAAATAGGTCACCTGAGTTAATTATAGGCTCTGAGATAGCATTAGGTCACCTAAATTAATTATAGGCTCTGAGATCATGATCGTCACAACCTAAGGCTCCTCATTTTCTATAACATGGAAAATGTTACCAATGTAAGCAACACAGGAACAATTCAAAGCTCACATTGTATTAATTGTATGTATAAAGAAAAGAATACAATACAGGTACTTTTGTATCATTCTTTAATAATTATTGAGGGTTGGGATGATATTGCCCAGCCTATATGAAAAGAAACCATGTATGATAGAAAATGGTTTTAAAAAAATCAATTTCATCTTTAGCTTATTTTGTAAAAAGTAAACTCCTGGTGTTGATAAATCAAAATAACAAACATTTCTTACACTGCATGTGAAATATTTCTTCATCCTTCTTTTATTTATCAAAAAAAAAAAAGAAAAAAAAGAATCAACCAATAACAGGGAAACAAATTACATCTGTAAATCTGACTTGGACAGCAGGAATCAACTTCTGTCATGTTTTGATAGAATATGTATTTAATTAAAACTTAAACTTTCAGCAAATTTTTGAAGTGAGAATCTAAGATGTTTTGTAAACCAACAACTTTAAGACAAAGTTACTGCCCTGAATCCAGGAATCATTGATAATTTAAATCAAGAGTGCTAATTGACTGGAAAATCTGTGTTGAGAACAGTAAATTTAACTAGCATCAGGCTTAAATGAAAATTCTATGGTGATTACTGTGGAAACATTTATATTTCATGGGGTTTCCAGATTTTGTGGGCCCCCTTTCCTAAGAATTTGCAGCCTCAACCAATATTGACTTATATACTGTATCTTTCACATAAATCCAAAACAAATTACATCCCCATGAATCTAAAAATTATACTAACTCGGTGAATGAAAATTGGCCCCCATAAATTAAAATGATTCCTCAGTAGCAGGTTAGATTGTAACAACAGTGTCCTTAGGAACAAAAGCAACAACATTCCAATCCAATTTAGTTTCTATGGAAAACATGAGAATTCAAATGAAATATATCCTTGCTAAATAAAGAAAATTGACTAGATACAGACCTGATTTCTAACAAGCATGATTTAAAGGCAATAAAACATGCTACTTATATAATAACTTTAAAACCTTTTGACATTTATATCTTTTAAACGTACAAAATTGAAATGACTTAAATGTAGAAAAAATATCAAGCATATTTTGAACAGTTCAAACTGTTTTATGTTTAAAGGTGCATGTCTCCATAGTGAGTGTATATTTAATCATGATACATATTGCTTTGTAAAATATTACATAATATTCCTTCTAAGGCAAGTTTTCCTTTCATGTTAAATTGTTAAAGCTGAACACAACTCATGTATATTATATAGCATCCATATTATTTTTCTGATCTCCCAAATCAACATTGGGTATACCCTTTGCAATTGTTACACCTGATAGCTTTCTGGCCACAGCTACCTGGAATGGATGACAAGTGGCTGAGTTGGTTTATATCTTACATTGCCTTTGTTGACATTTATTGGAGTTTGAGTTTAGGTGTATTTGAGTTTTTTTTGTGCTGCACTGACCTGTGCAATTGGTGTCATGTTTCTTTGGTAACTTTTCCTTCTGTAGTGGAAGAAGCATGAATTTGTTCATTTTGACATTATCAGTATTTTACAATGGCAATGTAGGATACATCCACACAGGATGCTGAACCATGACCAAATTAAAGGTTTATATAGGGGCTCTAGGAATAAAGATTAATGAAAAGAAATGCAGCAGACAAAGATAAACATCTTCCTTTTATGAATCATGTTCAGCTTTAATGAACTTAAAAAAAGTATTTTCCTTCAATAATTCTTAAAATAATAATTAACATATATATAAACTCCATTTATAAGCAAAATGAGTATTCTGAGAGACAACTGGCTCTTCACAACCAATCAGTAAGACAACTCTATTTCCTGAAAACCAAAGTCAACATTTGTTTTAAAACTAGGAGTATCAAGCTGTGTAGTAATAAGCCAGTACATATATAGTAAATATGCATAGTATTTAACATTCATAATTATGTAGGTACATGTATACCACTTATATAAAAATACTTTGTGTACATCCATAAACATTAAAACAAAGCACAAGATTTCATCTTGTCTGTAAAACATCCATAAAACACTGAAAGGAAGAAAATGTGTCAACATTAAAAGAAAATGCAGTACAAAATAAGAATCTGTAATCAATAAAACAAAACACACCTATTTTCTGTTTCTTTGGTTACATTTTAAATTCAAAGCTGTGATAGATTGTTAGAAACTCTAGATACCAATGTGAACATAATCTATTTCTGAGCACCAAGGTAAGGTCTGTGATGTACATGTGATTCATGTATGTTGATATAACCACCACATCTAGATATATTTTAGGATAATATCATTAATGCATTCTGTAATGATTAAAATTGGCTAATTTTCACAATAATTAGTTATATAAAAAAATTAATCCATGGCTTTACATCCTATGCCTTTAATATCACAAAAATAATGACGCAAAACTGACATGACAAATATTTTGCAAGCATCATATGGCTGACTCCTAGTCTAATTATACAAAATAACTGAATTAGATTCATTTGATATGTGCTCTAGAGAGAGAGAGAGAGAGAAATATGTCTGGACACTTAACAATTTACAAAAACAATATCACTCCAGACTGGGGTCAGATTTCAGTGTGAGCTAAAACAGCTTGCTCCTGGCTGTAAGCTGCAAGTTCTTTCACAAATTCCTCCAATATCACAGCACAGAACACAGCATTTCTAATTTTGGGGGCATCCATGGGGTTCTGAGATATTTCGTGAGGCTTGTTTTGGTAATTAATGTATCTGAATCCCTTTGCTCCCTGAAGAACCTGCAGTTGAGGGCCTTTTTTATTTGCTCTTTTATCTGGAGATCGACGAGAGAAAAACTCTGCTAAACTCGACTTCCTTTTGTCTGTAAAACAGAAATACATAAATACAAAATTAATGCATGCAGAGTTCATTAAATTATCTTTCAGTGTACACTGTGGTTTTATAATCTGAATGTATAAAACTTTGACAGAGTGATACTTTTGCTACTGTTTTCTGTGACAGGGTCTCCAATTTACCTATACATGTACTACTGTATTCTCTGTCAGCAGCAGGGTTCGACACTAACTTTTTAAGGCTTTAGTCCAGCCGGACTAGTGCTTCATTACTTTTACTAGTCCGCACGCGATTTTATTAGTCCGTCAAAAAAAAAGAAATCAGTATTTTTAACATTAATTTAACATGACAATTACTATACGTATTATTTTTTGAAATAAACAAAGTATTTACGTGAAATATATTATTCCACAGATTCATTGAAATCTCGCAATCAGCAAGTACGATGGTATTCCCGATCTCGGGTTTTTTTTTTTTTTTTTGGTCTTTACATTACATCCAAAACGTCAAACATCTTTCTTAAAAGTGTCATACTAAATCATGATCGCTAAAACCTTATACTTCATATCGATCAGTCGAAAAATTAGGCGCTGAATTGACCCAGCATTGCGTAACTACCCGCCAAAAGCTAGAAATCTAAAAATACACGCGGGGTTTTCCAGTAAAAGTTGTCGAGAATCGGACATCGGTAATTTATTCATATTGTTTTTCAGAAATTTTTATTGGTCCGTTCGGACTAATCAACCACATATTTGATTAGTCCGAATGAAAATGTATTAGTCTGAGACTAACGGACTAACGTTAGTGTCGAACCCTGTCAGCAGTAAGATTGGTCAAAACTTTGTGTTCTCAGTCACTGGTTTTAGGGGACATATACACATATCTTTGTGTTTTCTATCATTGGTTTTAGTTTGATTGGCAATACATTTCTTTCCATTTTATCACTTGATTTTAGTTTGAGAGGCCATACATATCTTCCCATTCTTTGTCACTGGTTTTTAGTTTGATATCTACACCTTTACTTTCTTTGACAAAAGTTTTAGTTTTAGAGATCCTACCCATCTCTGTGTTCTTGTCACTGGTTTTAGTTTGACAGATCCTACCCATCTCTGTGTTCTTGTCACTGGTTTTAGTTTGACAGATCCTACCCATCTCTGTGTTCTTGTCACTGGTTTTAGTTTGACAGATCATACCCAGAACAATTGTAAGTGTCCATTGTCTGGAATTTTACTTACCTTTGTAAATGGATGTCTTTGTCACTGGTTTTAGGATAATATACCTTTGTATGGTTCTTCGGTTTATTTAGATGGGTAATATCTTTGTATTAATCCTTCCTAGTTATACTGGAAAACCTTTATTACTGTTTTCTTCTCACAAGTTATACTGGACATACTTGTTACTGTAATGTCCTCACTAGTTATACTGTGCATAGCTTATTTCTGTTTTATCCTCACAAGTTATGCTGGACATAGCTATGTCTGTTTTATCCTCAATTTATACTGGACATAGCTTATTTCTGTTTTATCTTCACAAGTTATACTGGGCATAACTTATTTCTGTTTTATCCTCACAAGTTATACTGAACATGCCATTATCACCGTTTCCGTTTTCACTGTTTATACTGGACATCACCTCTATTACTTTTTCTGTCCTCAGTTTTAATTCTAGAATACCTTTATTGCTGTTTTCTATCCTCACTTTATACTATACATATCTTTATTATTGTTTCCTGTCCTCACTATTTATACTCCACAGGAATGATTATTACTGTTTTGCCCTCACTTTTTATTTTGTACATACCTTTATTATTGTTTTCTGCCACAGGTTTGGGTTTGATGGGACTGACAGTGTTAATCCTGTAGGGACTAATTGTGACACACCCGAGCCTCCACTCCTCTTCTCGAGCTATAAGTGTCCGCTTGGCACGGAGGAGCAGTCCATCAAAGTTTGGCACAGTGTAAGCAAAATGGTCCACTTTCTGTTTTAGTGAAGTCAGCACCTATTACCAAGCCAAAACTTTTGAGTTTGTCAAGCATTACAGCAGTCATTCAGGCAGAATTAAAGATTGGGGGTGGGGGTTAGAGTAATCAAAGTTTTTCTGCTTGGCAGACATTCAAAGAGTGGATTGTGTTGAATGCATGACAAAATTTAATTTGCATAATTATGGTCATTCAGATAAGTACTAAATATGTTCTTGTATATAAGCATTATGACATATCAAAGTTTATTTTCCTTTACAACATATACTAAACAGTAGATCTTTAAGGATACTGTCTAGTCTTGTCCCATGATCCCTTGCACTTCGTTATTGGGGTCATGTAACGGCTGTATCCATGTTTAATGGCGGCGCCCATGACGCATCTAAACGTGCGAAATTCGTAGCCTGTGGAAAAAAATGGAAAGCCGTCGAATACACGATTTTTCACATAAACTGCTTGTAAGTATTGATTTTCCCGGTCTCTGGTTGTCTTTTTCTGAGTTTATTAGGACGTGACAAGCTTTAGTTACTTAAATTACTTAAAAATAAAAATGTAAACAAGTTTTGCTCTACATTTCGTAACAGTTCAAACAAGTGTTTAGAGGCGTAGCTTAGTTTTCCTTTTATCATGTAAAGAAGTACTTTAGGATGCTTTTTAAATTTTCAGTGCCCAAATTTCCAAGACATTTCGAAATAAATCATTTTGGGGCTACACTACGTTCGAATTTTCTCCAACATGTCGTTGCTCGCGTGTATTGACATATTTTTGGCAGTTCCAAAGTACACATACATGCAGCGAATTTTATTAACATTATTTTATACTCACAGATAATTTATTATGTCATTTAAGTTAACAAGCAAAAATCTGATTAAATCAATCAGCATTTTTAACAAATATTTGAGGCATTCTTGCCTTTCTCAGCTGTTTCTGTTCATATGAAAATACTTGTAGCTGAATTCGTGAATTGCATTATTAACAGAAAAGGATCTCTCTCTCTCAGGAAAAAAATGCATGTAGACCCCCATAACTGATAAGAAGAACCAAGTCTGAGTTCCCCCAAATCCACTGCAACCCCTAATAAAACATTTTTCAGGCACTCTTTTTATCCCTTATTGTTGTACTTTTAGATGAATTAAAACTAAGAAATTAAATACCTGTCTACAGCATAAAATGGAATACATAGTGTCATACTACACAAAAGATCACATTACTTTTTTGTAATAGGATTAAAGTCTGAAAAATATGCTTTCTGAAGATATTCATTCCTGAAGCCAAAGAAGTGCCATAAACTGGAGCCAATGTATTTTGGAATGATTCTGCTCGAAAACCTTATGAACCCTGTGGATCATCTGTAACTGGAATTTTAATTAAGATTTTTATACTGGTATGTGCATGTAAATGATGAATTTCAGTGCAACTATGTTTGTTTTATTTTGATATCCTTTTGCAAATATGTTAAAGTATTCCTTAATATATGAGAAAATTACGTACATTTGTGTTGTTATAAAATACATGTACTTTACCTTGCATTTCAATTTTTTTTATGCGCCCGGATCGATAGATCGGGGGGCATATTGTTTTTGTCCTGTCTGTCTGTTGTCAACTTTAACCTTCACCATAACTTTTGAACCATGAGAGATAGAAACTTCATATTGGGTATGCTTACTCCACTAATTAAGCTCTTTTAAATGACACCAAGGTCAATGACCTTGTGACCTTGACTGTGACCTATATGCTAAAAATAGCTTTTTCGAACTTTGTTGCCACCAGGTGCATAGTGTTTCACAAACACATCTTGTTTTTTACATAATATTAGAGCTTTATTTTTGTTTCAGTTTTACATGCATTTTCATTTTGGCACTTGTTCTCTTTTCTGGTTTGAAGATGTTATTAATTTCTCTTAGTTTTTTTTTTTTAAAGCATTATTAGCGATAAAATGCTTAGAGTGTTAATTGTAAATTATCGGATTGTAAACATCAACATGGACACTGAATTATAAAGATATCATGTTGAGATCATATACAGGATGAATAGTAATATGTTTTGATAAGAGATTCAAAACATATGTATTTTATTTTATTCATTAAAATCAGGAGTATTTATACTGATTTCCTTCCATTTACTCCAGGTCATCACTGGTCACTACTGTAAGGACACATGAAAGAAGAATGGTGTTGCAGCTTTATCTATAACTTGTCTATAAGCTGTAATAAAGTATTAAATCTGTATTGTTTTTTTTTTCATTTTAAAAATGAATATATAAGGATTGCAAAGAAGCAGTTGCATTCAAACCTTCCATATTAGAAAGTGGGCCAGCTAGGACCAGTGTTCAATCATTTTACTTGTCTTTGGCCACCCCCTATTTCTAATTACAGAAATGAACAGTATTGGAGAACCAAGACTGGTTATATGCTATTCACCATTGCTTGATTTAGCTAAAATATATTAGACAAATCTTAAAAGTCACAATAGTGTTCAAAATAAAGCAAATTTTCTGCTGTGGCATTTTGTTTCTTTAATTTAATTGTTTTAAATTGGAATTTTGGAAATAAAATAGAAGGTTCAGTTCTAAAATAATGAACCTCTTTTGGATTCTGAACATAAAATGGCAAGGGAAAAATCATATGTGTTCAGAATAATAGAAGGAATGAGCAGCCTTTCCAACACCACTCCAAAGCCATACAAATGTGAGTTTATATTTTACAGTGTATTTGTTTGTTTGTTGTTTAATGTCCCTCTCAAGAATTTTTCACTCATATGGAGATGCCACCACTTGCTGGTGGAGGGCTGCAAATATTGGACCTATATTTGGCACTCAGGGCCATTGAGCAGTGAGGGATCTTTTTGTGCCAGCACCTACTGCTACACGGGACCTGGGTTTATACAGTCTCATCCGAAGGACTGGTCTCCACGTCCCGCAGTGGGATTCGAACCCGTGATGTAAGGATCAACTCCTTACTTCACAACTCTAGAACAAACGCTCTAACCCCTGCGCCACGTGGGTGACAATATATTTTACAGTGTGTAGCTCTCTTAAATGTATGAATAAAATGGGGGTGGTTGGATGGGTCATACACATCTGCAGGCATTCAAAACACTGTCCTCCTACTTGCTAAAGGCTTTCTCTTGCTGATGAAAGTATGAACACAACTTGTGATTAATTTGCAATCAAAAACACAATGGGTTTCATCTACAACAATGAAAGTGCCTTGAACATTTCTTGTTGCCTGCAACATGTATTGAGAAGAACTCAAAAGATCCCCAGCGTGTCCAAAGTATAATTCGTTTGTCAGAAAAAGGCCAAACATGATCATATCTCTATCTCATATTAATTAGTTAATGTTAACAACTGGTTGATGTCCCAAAGAACTAAAAAGACAACCAGGCTAATAATACTACCTCACCCCCCTCCATTACACACACAGAGTATTTCTGCAAGCATGGTAAGTGTGTGTGTGTACATTGTATCTGTCAGATATATGTCGATACACGCGAGCAACAACATGTTGGAGAAAATTCGAACGTAGTATAGCCTCAAAATATATTATATCGAAATGTCTTGGAAATTTGGGCACTGAAAATTTAAAAAGCATCCAAAAGTACATCTTTACATGGTGAAAGAAAAACTAAGCTACGCCTCTAAATATTTGTTTGAGCTGTTACGAAATGTAGAGCAAACTTGTTTACATATTTATTTCTAAGTAATTTAAGTAACAAAGGCTTGTCACGTCCTACTACACACAGAAAAAGACAGCCAGAAACCGGAAAAATCAATACGTACACGCAGTTTACGTGAAAAATTGTTTATTCGATGGTATTCCAATTTTTTTCACAGGCTATGAATTTCGCACGTTCAGATGCGTCATGGGCGCCGCCATTAAACATGGATACAGCCGTTACATGACCCCAATAACGAAGTGCAAGGGATCATGGGACAAGACTAGGATACTGTCATGCATTTAATATAAAACATTCATATCCTTAAGAGTAGATACTTTTAATAGGTATCCTTGTGTAGTAAACAAATGTAGAGTACTTCATTTGAAAAACAAGATACTCAAGGGCAACATTGCCCAAGAGGCAGACTAACAGTCCTACAGACAACCATATATATGTTCTTGTAGATCCTTAAAATGTCTTAGGATGTAGGATGAGGAGTGTATAGAAACGCTGTACAAATGCATGCAAAAACTGTATTCTATATATATAAGACCTGTAATTGCATGCATCTTTGTGCTTATTCAATATGCAAATACATCAAACAAGACATATATACCTGAAGCAGGGATTTGACTGTGGGTTGGAATACAAGATTATGACTAAGTAAGAAAGACCTAAGAAGAGGCTGGGGATAAGAAGCCAGGCGAGCTATGAGGCCTGTGAGCAGAAGGTTGACAGGGAGGCTGTTCTGCATCATTCCATCCAGCTTGGAAAAGAGGGCCATCAAAAAGGGGCCTGTAAAATACAACATTAACACAATCAGCAATTTTTTTAAAAAAAAGTTATTTCCAGAATGTATAATTTGTTTAAAAAACATTAAGAAGTCTAAAAAGACGATCAAATTGTATCAGGCCCGTAGGAAGCAATTTCAGTTTGGGGGGGCACAGCCAAACATTTTTCAGTTTTCAGCCCCCCCCCCTTTCCTACGGCCATGTGTATTCCAATCAATAGCAATTTGAAAATGATCTTCTTGATATTATTCATGGCATGGGTTGTAATTCTTTTAAAATTTCAACTCGAGGTACTGTGAGTGAGCACAAAAAAATGAAATCCCCCACTGGATTTTTTTTAAATTGTCACATTTAATGTTTCTCTCTTAGTTACCCCTCAAAGTTATGGACCATACAAAAACAAAACTAATTTTTCTGCCAGTGACCTTGAACTTGTCCAAATGACCTTGTGCTATGTCACATGAGCTCCGAATGATTCTCATTTGCAATTATTCTGTTCTTGTCCTTGAACTTGCACGAATAACCTTGGGTGATGGTTGTGACATATCCTCAATTTCTACATAATCTTTGTGTGAAGCAAGTACTTTCAATATCTCTCAGTTAGAAAGTTATGGGCTAAGACATGACTTATATTCTTTCTATGCAAGTGACTTTGAACTTGCCCAGATTACCTTGTTTCAAATTCATGACACTCTCAGATGATAAACAATGTTTCTGTCAAGTATCAGCTTTCAATATTTTTCCATTACTAAGTTATGGTCTGGACACATACAAGGTTCCAATGTACACATTGCAAACATACAAGGTGGTTCCAATATACCCCTAAAACTTTGTTGGGGGTTATAGCAAAACAATGTATGAACACTTATTTATCAAACAGTAATAATTATATCAAAGTACTGATACAGTACTGAAAGACGGGGTCAAATACTTAACTTCACTATTTTACACATTTCATAACTGCATGTTGAAAATTTTATGTAGAGCTTTGATACTAAATTATATATTTTTTTTATAATTTAATATTAACATTTAAAAAAAATGTGAAAAATTTATCTGCACATTTTTTTCTTTTACACTGTAATAGAATAATTAGTAACCGCTAATCAAGAAACCTTTTTGAATTGTCCGAATGTCACTGGGTCCGAATTAATAGGACATTTCCAGAAGTAAACAATCGATGATGCGTATGCAGTCTTGTATTACGCAGCTGAATAGTTTGTATACTAAAGTGGTTCAGTATTATGTTTTTCACGTTAAAAATTTTCAAAACGGTTCTTTAATTTGGGTAAGAAAAACTTCATAAGGCTCTCTTTAGTTTGATACAGAGTTTTAGTATTTTAATCAAAACAATTTCTGCACTCTTTCATGTAGCGTAGATTAAATTCATGTGTTCTCCCCACGGCTTCCGTTTTGAGGCCTCGACTGACAGTAAACTAACAGATGGGGTCACATGACCCCACCTAAAAATGGCTCAGAAAGTACTACGTGTACTTTAGTTTAACATGATTCATTTCATGAAAATTAATATGAACTGTTTTGCATACAAACTTCAGTAAATTTATTATCATGATTTTTTATGAAAGTTGATGTTCCTGCAATGGCAAATAAAGGCAAATTGTATAAAATTGTGACCTGCTTGTAATAATATTGACATGATATGACACAGCACAAAAGTATGTTGCAACCTCAGTTAACAATAATATCATAATTTAATTCCTATCTTAATTAAGTGATGTATTACTCTTACCAATATTTGGTGCTAACTTTTCCACATTAGACACAGCAGGCACAGTGGTGGTATTTTGCATAGAAGAATCCGTTAAGTTAAAACTAACAGACTTTACAGCTGATTCATCCCGAGAGGATTTACGATCTGTAACCATGTCAACAGAATTCACAGACACCCTATGGGGCATGGATGAAAGGGCAGTCTGAACATTCACTTCACTGACAAAGTTTGACATGGAGATCTCTACGTAGCTGGCAGTGTCCTGTGAGGAATTTCCTCTGAAAGGCTCCAGCCCCTCCCCATCTTTAGTGTTTATGACTTCAAATGTTGTCCCATCACACTTGGCTTTATTGGAATCTCCTTGATTAGAATCAGTACAAGTCACAGGTGTGCTATCACTAGTATTACTTAAACTGCTGCTGTCTGTTTCGGAACAAAAACTTCGAAGAACTGAGTCTAAAGAACCTAAGCTTTCTTCAAAACTGTTCTCCATCTCTGGTGGAGTTGCCACCTCATCCAGATATTGGATAAAGTCCTTTAGATTTTCTGGATGAGCCTTGTAACTGTCTGAATCATAGCTCCTAAGAATGTATGATAAATCGGGAACAGATGACTGGCAAGAACCAGATATAAAGACCTCGTCTACCTCAGAGGACCTAAACAGGGAACCTCCGTCAGAGCCACTCAGGTCCTCTGTCAACAGAGAACTGGTACCACCGTTACACAGTCCTGTATCAGTTAATGAACTCATTTGCCTGGAGTCTGACTGATTGACCAAGTCCTCTAAGGCACTCATTGTGGGGGACTGACCATCATAGGGATAGGCCCATCTCTGGCAGGCTTTGGCACAACTTTCAAGTTGACGTCTAGCTTCTTCTAAGTAGTCATAATAATTAGTCTCATAATGTTCCAACTTGCTTCCAAATGTCCCTGGTGGAAACGCTGTACTTGGTTGTTCTGTAGCTACTGTGGCTGACCTTTAAAATGTACATATTTAAAGTCTTAGAATAAACAATCACTATATTTTCTGTTATTTATATGAATAACTAGCAACCTCCCTCCCCCCCCCCCCCCCCATGAATCTGCACCTAGTTGAATATGTTATATGCATTCATAAAGACATGTTGCCAGTGTTTCAGATACCTACACTCTACCAAGATGCTTAGTATACTTTTCAAAAAAGCATGAAATTAATCAAAAGCAATTATTAATTATATTTAATATAATGGTTGTTTGCATTAAGAATTCAAAATCAAAAATACTTTTACTTCTGAAAAGATGTTTAACTATACCCCAGTATAATATGACTATAGGATTAATTGAAAAATTGAAGTTTATCTAAGTTCAAAAGTTGATTTTTGAAGGACTCCTTTAAATACATGTACTTGTATAATACATAAAGCTACAGGTGAATGCATTGTAAACATCTTCGCTAGCCAAGGGTTTCTGATACGCTACTCTCCTCATAAGCCCTTGGCATACGGTGTTAAAAAAAGTTGGGATTTTTTTCTCAAGTTGTGATTGGAGTTGATCGACATCGTTCGACCAATCAGCAATTGTTTTTTTTGTAAATGACGATATTTGCGTTCGGGATGTATCTTGACTCTTTAAACGCAAGTAAACAACGCATCCAATATCTTAAGCTACGTGCAAAATATATGATTAAGAATCAGTACTGAAGATGTAGATTTGCATTTTAACATGTTTAAATAACAAATTAACATAACTCTATACCTTCTTGTTAATTATTCTTTAAAAACATTATTTTTTTAAATACGCTTTTTATTTCTGTCGATGACGCAATCTGTGCAGACCTGGTAAGAATCGTGATCACGTGACGAAAACAATCCCGTCTTTTGTCAGCACCGTATGCCAAGGGTTTATGAGGAGAGTAGCGTATCAGTCTATCAGAAACCCTTGGCTAGCGAAGATGGCATTGTAAAATGAAATGATAAAGCTGTGGAACAAAGATGACAAGGGAATTAGGAACTGTGACATGGTTGTTAGTGTGTTAGTAACAAACAGATTTACCTCTGTTTTTGATAGTCTTTCTCCTTTTTTCTTGCTCTGAGAAAACTACTCAGGCCATGTTTAGGGCGGTGTGATGTGTTAGCGTCACTATGGTTATATCTACATACAAAACATACACACATGCCACACCCTCTGACAATTATCTGCACTTCCTTAACTCTGACTAATGATAACATTTATACTTCCTTAACTCTGTCCAATAATAACATTTATACTTCCTTAACTGCCTAATAATAATAACATTTATACTTCTTTAACTGCCTAATAATAACATTTATTCCTCCTTAACTTTGCCTAATCATAACATTTATATTTCCAAAACTCTGCCTAATAATAACATTTATACCTAATCTACCTAATAATAATAACATTTATACTTCCAAAACTCTAATTATAACATTTATACGAGGGTTGTCCCAAAATTCTGTAAACTAAGTTCATATCTATTGCAGAAATCAAGGTATCTTTATATAATTTTGTGGGCGTATAAAGTGTGTTTTTAGCTGATAAATTACGAAGTCTTAACATCATTACTTGAAAAATGTACGTTTAATTGAATTTTAATGTTACCATGTCCTACCACCCGGCGCAATCTTCAACGTCAAAAAATACGTAAACGTCACAGGTACGAATTTTGGTGGGAAATGCATTAATTATCAGTATCACATTTTCTACTTTAACATAAAGATTTGTGAAATAAATATGAAATATTATAATTGTTCTGATGTACTTAACATTAAAATATACACCAAAAAAGTTTTAAATTTCACGCATCTATTAATAATTCATAAAAATCTCCTTATCTCCGAGGGACTTTTTGTTCGTCTTTCTGAATGGAGTTGCACTGTGTAGCTTTGTCTATTTCTTTCGGCTGGTCTCTTTATTTGCTTCGTTTTCCATATATATACCTTGAAAAACTTCTTATGTCATTCAAATAATACATACTTGAATATATGTATATGTTCCAAACATTTGTGTCTTCTAATGCACCTCTATTAAAGTTCCAATCTACATTTTATCATATTCCATTGTGCCGCCTGTGTCAATGCAGCGTCATTTTTTTTTGAAACAGTCAAGTGTCTAACCAGTGCAAATAAACGTTATAACATTCTTATTAATAATGAAGGCATATGTGTTAAAATTGGAATAAAGATAGTTATTTATGTAATTTGAGAAACTATCTTTTTTATCCAACGAAATTTTGACAAGAAATTTCTTTTTTGCAAGATTTTATATTTTATATACCGATTATTAATAGCAAATTTTGAGATTGCGCCACCTCTTTACATCAGACATTGAATTATTTCATTTGAATAGGATAAATCTGTGTAATTACGCAATGTTTTACACTAAAAATATTAGTTGTTAGTAGTTTTAGTTATTTTGAAAGTTTCATTAATTTATGACACTGGGTTTCTACAAAACAATGCTTGTCTACGGAATTTTGGGAAAACCCTCGTACTTCTTTAACTCTGTCTAATAATAACATTTATCCTTCCAAAACTCTGCCTAACCCTGCCTAATAATTACATTTATACTTCAAAAACTCTGCCTAATAATTATATTTATACTTCCTTAATTCTGCCTAATAATAATAAAATTTATACTTCCTTAATTCTGCCTAATAATAATAAAATTTATACTTCCTTAATTCTGCCTAATAATAATAACATTTATACTTCCTTAATTCTGCTAATAATAGAATTTATATTTCTTTAACTCTGTCTTATAATAACACATATTTACTTCTTAATTTTTTCTTGTTTTATTCCTTTATTTATAATGTCAGAAAAATGGAGATTAAAGATGAGACATAATACCACACCAAGGTACATTCCTTAGTTATCCTTTTAGATATTTTACTCTCATATTAATTGATATGTCTAATCTAACACTGTATGTACTTGTTTGTACTTCTTTTCAGAGACAAGAGTTACAGTCCCTGTTTACATATCATCAGAATGGATCTACAGAAGTGGCTTGTTCCACTATCTTTAATCATTTGTCAATCATAATAGAGCCACAATATCATCATATATAAAATCAAACCACCAACATGCAGATAAAAAGTCTTATTAATGGATTATTGACATTTTATGACATATGCCAGCAAAACCAAATAAAGCAAATAGCAGTAATATTCTTTAATTCTCAAAACCCTAAAAATTTTTGAAAAATGTAAAACAGCAGAGAAAATGTGTGGTAAAATTAAAAGTAAAATTTGTCATACAATGCAACACAAATATCAAACTCTGCAGAGAAGTGTAGTATACATAGTATGATAAAATCTGAGGCCTCTGCTGAGTCTGCTAGCATAGAGCTGAGAAGTCTACAAGAACTTGTAATATTTTTTTTTAATTTGACAGTTTTTTAATGAGAGATGATAATGCTTCCTCTTTTAAATAAGACAGAAATAAGCAATACATTTAATACCGTTTTAATTTAATAATTTAATTTGAAATGTGAAAGTTTTTCTTCCCTCTTTATAACAAGAGATAGATATTACTAAATTTATATGTGAATGAAAAAATAAAATCAGCAGGAAGAATTATTTAAACTAAATGATACTTAATTTGCATACCAGGTTTTACTGAAATCTTACAAAAACTAGCAGGAGTTGCAATTTGAAAAATTGTTTATAGACAGATGATACACACTCTACCGATGCATAACTTCCCTGGTCACTGACCAGTAGAGCAAATAGTGTACAAAATGAGTCTGTATAGTAAATCAGTGTGACATATTGTATATAATTATATAAAATACCCTGTATTATAAGGGAATTAGCTACTCACTTCTCTTGTACTGGAGTTCCTTTCTTTTCAATTAATTCAGCTCTGCAGCAATTTGGACGGAGTGAAAGAAAGCGTTCTGCACTTTTACAGTGTAGGTCAAGGTCGCTGACATTACGTCGTTGACTGACCATGACATGTGTACATGGAATGAGGTACCTGTTAATTGTAGAATCATTTAATGTAAATATATATGTACACCCAGGCATATGAAAATTGTACAATTTCTAGTGCAAATATTTTAAAATATTCAACATTCGTTTGGAGACAGAAACATTTTAAAGGATTTAAATCTTATCATTCTTAATCATGTTTAATGAAATAACTTTATTATCTAATTTCTTATTCAAAGTGACGTTTCCCATTTCAAAGATACAATTATATGAAAAGTTATGGACCATTTCTGCATTCACAACAATTCCACAAACTGGTACAGTAAGTGTGTCGGAATACATGAATTAAAACAGTCAAGCTTATATACAGTCCCTGAAACGTTCTACTTTCCCATTTTTCTGTTCACTCACCGTTCGTTCAGCGTGCGTTCACCGTTCGTTCACCGTACGTTCACCGTTCGCTCTCCGTTCACAGTTTTGCGTTCTCCGTTCACCGTGCGCTCGCGTTCGCTCTTCGTTCCGTTCACTTTGCGTTCACCTTGCGTTCAGCGTTTACCTATCGTTCAGTTTTCATTGTCATTCGGAACTCTGAAGTGAAAGGACTCATCTTTTTGTAGATTAGGAGTTACAGGTTTTTTAATTTAATAACTAACATATCGTGTTTGAAGAATCATTATTTCATTGGGAAAAATATCTACGATATATATTTTTATTATTCTAACTTAGCTGTTAGGTTATTTATTAAATTACTTTGGAAAATAAATGTTGTTATAAGCACATTCTGTACCTATGTAGAACGATGCTGAAATATTAAATTCAACTAAGGGCAATGTGCAAATACTTCAAGCACTGCAACATTTTGTTGTTTTGTTAAAGACGACAAATCTTTAATGGAGATACATGTATAATTATCCAAGTCAAATTATTACGCAGCAAAATTACGAAAATATTTTATTTCTAACACGTTTTTTTTTCAATTACTACAGAAAATATGATAGAACTAGTTCTGAGAAATATACATATTACTGCGGATATCGTGTTAATTTATCATCTTTGGAGCGAATTAAATTGATAGTGTGGTTAAAGGAAATATTTATTTAAAATATAATGCACTAAAGAATTTTCTCTACTATAATATGTAAAGTCTATAGTTATAGAGAAAAAAAATCTTTCTTCACCGTAACTTTATATGTTTGCCATTCGATATGATTAATACCTCCCCCCTTTCCCCCTAAATCGGTTACTTAGTCAGTATTGTATTTCCAGAATATTTTAATTAACATTTTTAAAAAAAAGTTAAGGTCTTTTTTAGAACAAAAATTTCAGTCTCAAAACAAACATGCATCTAAAAAGTCACAAAACAATAGTAGTTCAAAATGTACACGTGTCGGCGGTAGTATTTGGAATTGGCAGAGAGTATGTTTCAAATTCAAGTGTTAATGCCCAATGTATTTTATTCAATTATTATTCAAATGTTGGAATCAAATCTAGAAATGATAAAAATAAATGTTATAACTTGTTGGAAATACTCGCACTTCGTCTTCGATGTGACGAAAGTTTCACACCTGCACAGTGTCGAATGATTTTGATTGACAGGACAAGCACGTGGACTTCGTGTGAACTTGAAGCAGGAAAATAAAAACGAGTGTGACTGTCAAACAAATGAATATGATTTGTTCATAACAAAAAAGTTACTTTCACTGTCCGATATATTTAGAAAAAAAATTTCAGAGTTTTTGTTTGATATAGGTACAAACATTTAATGAAGCCTGAAATGGGGGGGGGGGGGCTAAAACGGAATATTTCTCTCTCTCTCTCTCTCTCTCTCTCTCATTTGTCTGTTTAATAAAAACTATAACAGCATATTACTTGAATATCAAGTTCTGAAAATTGAATTTATAACAAGTAATATGAATGTGTATCTTTGTATTATCTTGTCCGAGTATAATCACAGCCATCTACAGATAAATGTAGAAGTCTGTTCAATAAACATGGCCGTAGGAACCGGGGGGCAAGAGGGGGCCATGCCCCCCTCCCCCACCCCAATAATTTTGCCGATATATAGATTACTATAGTAAACATAGATACTATATGCTTGTGCCCCTGCAATAAAAAGTCTGAAGACCTTTTTTTTTTTTTTTTTTTTTTTGCTTGTCAGGAAATTTTTGGTAGTGCCCCCTCAACGGTGTGTTCCCCGAACGTCTACTGGACAAAACAAACATCTAATTATCACACTCAATTAAGGGGCCCTCTAAGGGGTAAAGGTAGAGTGAAAAAATTTTCCCATGTTGAATATAGATTAAACAAAGCTTAAAATGTGATATAAGTAATGCGTCAAGTGCCAAGTGTTAGGTCAATAAAGTAATATTTGAAAATAATTCATAAACATCCTATCTATTAATTCACATGTGCAGTAATGTTTCTTTTACGAATTTTAAATGTAAATTAAATAAAAATATTTATTATAATTATATGACAAAATATTTGTTCATTGTCTTCAATTATAGCAAGTATTTAATAAATAAAACTGTGCTTTAGTACACAATTATATCAGTAAATATTATCATTAATTCATTTAGACTACTTTGTTAAATCAAGGTAACACAGGTAACTCTACCTGGACCCCTTAGAGGGCCTCTTAATTGAGTGTGATAATTAAATAGTTGTTTTAGTGAGTAGACGTTCCGGGAATAAACCCCCTCAACTATCAACTGAAAATGTATGGCTGTGCCCCCCCCCCCCCCCCCCCCAAACCGAATTTGCTTCCCACGGGCCTGAATAAATCATCATGAAAAATAGAAATGACACATTATATATTATTATATTAAAAATTTAAAATACGAGCGTATAAATGCAAAACGTCCACTGACCTTTGTAATTATTTTTTTTTCATTACTTTACACAAAATCGCCTTAACACGGAGATATATGAATGGATGTTACAACCACTTTATTTCATTCTATAGGTCAGAAGTTTTCTCTGATTTGTTATCAAATAAGAATAAACATTTTTATTTTCCAACTTAAAAAAAATATCTCTTATACTTCAGCGTTCGGCAACAATTGCAATGTTTTAATGCAAAATGTTTTAAAAATTTGATTAAAAACTTAATGTGCAAGCATCGTCTTTCTCAGGACAATTTTGGAAAAATTATTTTATTGATTAATTTATTCATTCATTTACTGGTTTACTTATTTATTATTGATTGATTTATTTATTTATTTTTTTGGCACCTGACATTATAAAACAATAAAATAGTTTCAATGCAAGGAAAAGATCAGAGGCATTCTGAATATATCGTTCATCTTGCGTTCACCGTTCGTTCACCGTTCACTTTGCGTTTGCGTTCCGTTCGCGTTCTGCGTTCGCTCATCGTTCAGTGTTCACACATCGTTCACCAAGTTGCATTCAGCGTTCACACATCGTTCACTCACCGTTCGCTCTGCGTTCGTTCAGCGTTCATTCAGTGTTCGCTCACCGTTCAAGTGGGAAAGTAGAACGTTTCAGGGACTGTAGCTGCCAAATCAGGGACACTGTACTTAATCTCACACTTTTATTAAAATTTGTATGTATATAAATTACCTGAAGACAAGCTGAAACATAACATCTTCACAGTTTAGGTCAACCAGAGTTTTAAAAAGTGACAACGACACAACACAGAGTGGCTACAAAATAAAAAGTTCATTTTTACAGTTCAATATTGTTTCAGATTTCAATTAACAGGCACGGTTATTTATGGGGAATAGTCTAATTATGGGAATAAAATTAACAAGAATAGATTTGTGATGTGGGGTAATTAATACTAAATTTGGGAATACAACAAACAAGAAAAGATTTATGATGTGCCAAATGAGGACTTAATTACAGTGTCCTTATACAAATAGCTTGTTATAGTGTCCTGATACCAGTAGTCTGTTATAGTATCATGATACCAGTAGTCTGTTATAGTGTCCTGATACCAGTAGTCTGTTATAGTGTCCTGATATCAGTAGTCTGTTATAGTGTCCTGATACCAGTAGTCTGTTATAGTGTCCTGATATCAGTAGTCTGTTATAGTGTCATGATACCAGTAGTCTGTTTTAGTGTCCTGATATCAGTAGTCTGTTATAGTGTCCTGATACCAGTAGTCTGTTTTAGTGTCCTAATACCAGTAGTCTGTTACAGTGTCCTGATACCAGTAGTCTGTTATAGTGTCCTAATACCAGTAGTCAGTTACAGTGTCCTGATATCAGTAGTCTGTTATAGTGTCCTGATACCAGTAGTCAGTTACAGTGTCCTGATACCAGTAGTCTGTTATAGTGTCCTGATACCAGTAGTCTGTTATAATAGTGTACTGATACCAGTAGTCTGTTGTAGTGTCCTGATACCAGTAGTCTGCTACAGTGTACTGATACCAGTAGTCTGTTATAGTGTCCAGATACCAGTAGTCTGTTACAGCGTACTGATACCAGTAGTCTGTTATAGTGTCCTAATACCAGTAGTCTGTTATAGTGTCCTGATATCAGTAGTCTGTTATAGTGTCCTGATATCAGTAGTCTGTTATAGTGTCTTGATACCAGTAGTCTGTTACAGTGTCCTGATACCAGTAGTCTGTTATAGTGTCATGATACCTGTAGTCTGTTATAGTGTCCTGATACAAGTAGTTTGTTATAGTGTCCTGATACCAGTAGTCTGTTATAATAGTGTACTGATACCAGTAGTCTGTTATAGTGTCCTGATACCAGTAGTCTGTTACAGTGTCCTGATATCAGTAGTCTGTTACAGTGTCCTGATACCAATGGTTTGTTATAGTGTTCTGATACCAGTAGTCTGTTATAGTGTCCTGATACCAGTAGTCAGTTACAGTGTCCTGATATCAGTAGTCTGTTAAAGTGTCCTGATAGCAGTAGTCAGTTACAGTGTCCTGATATCAGTAGTCTGTTATAGTGTCCTGATACCAGTAGTCTGTTACAATGTCCTGATACCAGTAGTCTGTTATAGTGTCCTGATACCAGTAGTCTGTTACAGCATACTGATACCAGTAGTCTGTTATAGTGTCCTAATACCAGTAGTCCGTTATAGTGTCCTGATATCAGTAGTCCGTTATAGTGTCCTGATATCAGTAGTCTGTTATAGTGTCCTGATATCAGTAGTCTGTTATAGTGTCCTGATACCAGTAGTCTGTTACAGTGTCCTGATACCAGTAGTCTGTTATAGTGTCCTGATATCAGTAGTCTGTTATAGTGTCCTGATACCAGTAGTCTGTTACAGTGTCCTGATACCAGTAGTCTGTTATAGTGTCCTGATATCAGTAGTCTGTTATAGTGTACTGATACCAGTAGTTTGTTATAGTGTCCTAATACCAGTAGTCTGTTATAGTGTCCTGATACCAGTAGTCTGTTATAGTGTCATGATACCTGTAGTCTGTTATAGTGTCCTGATACCAGTAGTCTGTTATAGTGTCCTGATACCAGTAGTCTGTTGTAGTGTCCTATTACGAGTAGTCTGTTACAGCGTACTGATAACAAGTAGTCTGTTATAGTGTCTTAATACCAGAAGTCTGTTATAGTGTCCTGATACCAGTAGTCTGTTAAAGTGTCCTGATACCAGTAGTCTGTTATAATGTCCTGATACCAGTAGTCTGTTATAGTGTCCTGATACCAGTAGTCTGTTGTAGTGTCCTATTACGAGTAGTCTGTTACAGCATACTGATAACAAGTAGTCTGTTATAGTGTCTTAATACCAGTACTCTGTTATAGTGTCCTGATACAAGTAGTCTGTTATAATGTCCTGATACAAGTAGTCTGTTATAGTGTTCTGATACCAGTAGTCTGTTATAGTGTCCTGATACCAGTAGTCTGTAATAGTGTCCTGATACCAGTAGTCTGTTAAAATGTCCTGATACCAGTTGTCAGTTATAGTGTTCTAATATGAGTAGTCTGTTATAGATCTTTAAAATTATCATATGATTTTTACTGCCAAAACATGTGTTTTTTAAAAAGCTTACATTGCAGGGGTTTTTTTTCAACTCTGAAATTTATTCTCCATTAAATACCTCTTACCTTTGAGCTGCTATTTATACGTGTAATAAGGGAATCCAGAATGACTATTTCATCATTCTGCTCCATAAGGATAAACTTCAGAAAAGTGCGTAGCAGGTTGGGTTCTGTTGTTTTTCTCAGGAACAAATCTAGGTAGGCAGTAGCAGCTATAACCTCCTCTCTTGAGTTCTACAACGATTTAAATATACTTCTGTAACATACACTCCCATCAACAGAGAACTATAGATATTTTTACAATATACTCTTCAACGAGATATGTATGGATAATCTGGAAAAAATATACTTTCAGTGTAATTCAGACCCTGTTTAATATTTCTAATCTCTATGTAGCTATAATCATGATAATATACAATACAGTAATGATTTGCTTTATTTTTGGTCACATTTCACTTTTACAATACAATTACAACAGTTGCTGGTAGAAATCACAGCAGCACAGAAACAAGGGACTCTCTAATTGGCTTAAGGAGTCTAACTGAACAATACAGGCATAGCTTAACAGTGACAAAGATCGTTATACTATAGAAGGGTTAAATAGATGCAGCATTCTATACAAAACCTTACATTTTTATTCAATACTGTTGACTGAATATGACAATCCTTTTTTTATATGAATCTTAGAAATATTAAAATAACTTCTATTTTATGTAATAAAATTTGTTTGTTTAAAATAGTTGAACAATGGTGTTTTATGTTCATTTGTTTGTTTTTACTGTGCACCAACAAACTGATTTCAGCTTTTATTTTTTTTATTTTGACAAATTTCTTTTCTTTTTAACTATCATTAGGAGGAAACTTAAATAATTGCTATTTAGTATTGCAACAGATCTAATTCATTCAAGCAATTCTCATGTAACACAATAATTAGAAATTTATAATAGCTAGACATGTCACAGTTTAAATATGTTAAAATAAACTTTATATAGTGTCTAATAATGTAAGTTGGTGACAATTATTATCATATATGTATATTAGGGTTCAAAAGAATACCCGGTATATAATAAGTGCATATTGAAGCAAATATGTGATCATATTTTCTTTTATAAAAAAGAAAACAGACGAGTGTAAAAAAAAAAATACTAACAACACTCTTCTTCAACTAAAAAAAAATCAATTTGAATCACAGACAAACTCAAGAAGATGTAAAACCATCCCATTTCTCTGTAAAATGTATAATAAAACAAGCATGCACATATAATAATTCAAAGAAACAAAAAGCTGAAGCACAGGGCGGCCATGATGCACAAGAAGACAAAAATTAAAAGCTTACTGACCGAAAACATGGGTGAATCGACAAGTGGCAATGGAAGCCCCGAAATGTCCTAAAGGAAGAGGCACAATGTGTTAGTATCCAAAACATCAACAATGTTATCACCCCAGTATACCATATATGTTATGCAGAGTGCAGTAAGAAAACGTACTATTGTAATTCAGTAAATTTTTATGAGTAAGAAATAGTGAGACTTGCTTTTTTCATAAGATTTTTTTCCTCCTCTTTGACCATATGAATAAGCTAAGTTATTATATCTTTTTGTGCAGTAAGAATATTGCAATATGACTGGATTAAGCCAATAATGTTATAAATGGTCTTTCAGAAGATAATATGTATTATACATTACATGTACACTTATAATACAATAAAGTACACAGATTACGGGTAGTGATATATAGAATATTGTACCTTATGAAAAACTGACATGCATCTTACTGAGTTGATGCTTTGAAGAATAAATACTGGTTACTTTGATTGTCGTAGAGATTCTATAATCCAATAATGCCTATATGGATTACTGATCATATTTTTTTTAAAAATGTTCAGGGAAGATAAACTCTGTGGGCACTATTCAAATAGCTGCAAGTTTACAGGCGGTAAAGAATCAGCATAAGCATGTGAATCTGTAAAGTTATTGTTCGGTAGGATGGAGAGATCTATATGTGTGTTAGAGGGTGTTTTCTCTGTACTGCAGGATTGAAATTGAGTTTAACATTCAGATCTTAAACTGTATTAGCATGATTAAGCAGGTAGTGTTGGGAAAAGTGCGCTTAGAATGAACATAAATTTAACATAATATACATGTATGCTTACTTTTGATTCATCATTCATCTTAAAAACACAAAAGAAAATAAACATTCCCCTATTATAAGCATCCCACTAAAGTATTTAAAAAAAAAAATAACCAAGGGATGCAACCTCTGCTGTTCCCAGGCCCTGATCTTACACCCTGGCAAAAATTATGTCAAAGAGAAGCCTCTGACCTACTGAACAGGCATGCCACAGAAAATTTGACCCAGTGATAAAGAACACATTCTTACAGGATGGTGGACCCACTGTGATCGGCATGCCCATTTACGCACAATACAAAATGGAAACTTTAACAAAAAGAAAATCACAATGCTTTAGTGATTGATGCATTCAATAATTTTCACAAAGAAAGTAGGACTACCAATATAAAACAATCCAATTTACTGCTGTAAATTTGCAATTATAATTTGCCAAATCAATTAAATCTTTAAACAGAAATTGTATATCAACTCAATGAAAGCCATAATTTTGGTATAATACTTAAGTTTCTGTGTATTGTCTCGCAATCATATATGATAGCATAAGTGTTTTATATCAAATAAATCAGTGACAGTGTTAATACTACGAAATGTTTAAATTGAGAAAATGTCATGACTTTAATAGTTGAAAGGTTTAAAATATGATAATGTTCTATAAAGGATACAGAAATAATTAAAAATGACAAACCCATATTAAATAAATCCACATGTCTTATGCTGCAATTGTTACAGAGCGAAACTTTTATATTCTAAATTATCTTAATTCTGCAAAATCTTAAATCACTAGGTTTATATCAGATCAAACTGTCAGAATTCATGAAAGTTATTATTAAGAAAGTAAATGTAAATTGAGTTTAAATATTAAGCATCATGGAAGGAGCATAAAACACATTATTTATTTAACTGGTCTGGATATGAAACCAAAGACCACAACTGACATCAATACTATATACATGTATATACACCTGTACAAAGTTAGAAATCTACATATGATCAGCAAAATACCTGATGCAATGCTGGTCCTAAAACAGGCACCAAAAAGCCATCGTAGATAAACTTAATCAGCTGAGTTCGTATTGCTGGATGACTGACCTATAAAGTAACAGAAAATATCAATGTATGAAAACTATAGAATGATGCGCTTAGATTGTCAAACAAATATTGAATAGTTTAAAACTATACTTTGATTTTATACATAAAGGACTCTTCAACTGTACAGAAGCACTGCAAAGATGGTCAAAAAAAAAAGTGAATACAAAACATGCATGATACGTGCAGTTTTGATTTTCACAGCAAATCTGAATCTTTTGAATCAGCAAACCTGTGTGACAGCATTGCAGAATTCTAGGGAGTTGAGAAACATTTGTAGTTCAGGGACCAGGCTAATATCCTCCTGAGAAAATTGATGCCATTCGTCTGTATAAACAGGGATTTTTCTTGGAAGTGAAGAATATAAACCACTTAAACCAGTTGCAAGAACCTAAAGTATAAACAAAAAAAATCCATGACAAGTTCTTGTCAGGTGACTGATAAATTGTGAGTATCAAGATAAAGGCAACCAGTTTCATTTTAATATTTCTTATAAATTAAAACTATGTTAATTTGTTAATGTTTAAGTGAAAGAAAGAGAAAAAAACTGTCACTTAATTTTACAGTAGTTTTACATGTAAGCACTACTTACTGGACAAAAGTCAGAGTTTTCTGCAATATAAAGGCCAATATGGGGATTCCTGGCAGAAATAGTCATAATCAACAAAAGAGCATCTCTAGCCTGCTGTCCAACTTTGCCTTCTCTATGTAAGTATGGAATTAAAAGTGAAAAGATGAGGAATTTAGTAGGACCATGATTTGTGCTGGCATTGAAGAAACTCTCAAGAATGACGGTTTCCTGGGAAATGCACACACACAGCTGATGAAGTACCAGTACTAGACGACTCTCAATGTCACTTGTCTTACTCCCTTCAGCACACAAGTACAGAAGTCTTAGTAGGGGCTGTATAATGGCTTTGTGAATCAAAAGTAGCTGCTGAGATTGACTAATTAGCTGCTCAAAAATCCGTAATTGCTCACATTTAAGCTTGTCACCATTCATTGAATTGTAATGACACCAGTTACAAAACTGTTCAAAGATATCCTCTTCTAAAAGGTAATGAAGTATAGGACCAGGCATGCCTTGTCCATTTTCATCTAAACCTACTTCACCAACCAGCAAATTAATCATTTGTTCTACATTCTGCAGAACTGCCTCTTGTTCATCTGTACTGCACACCTGACTGTTACTTGATCCATTCCCTCTTTTGATAATTGATAAGGCCTGTTTCCAGTGATTCTGAAAGACTTCCAGGCATGTCTGAGGATCTGTATCTGCACGAGACCGAGCTTCTACCGAATCATCACTGGACTGACCCGAGGCCTTTGAGTCATTCCTTCCTCGCTTAAACCAAGACATGACACTGGGAGGCTAAGCTTCTTTTAACATCTCTCCTAGATTCTGAAAAAGTGTATTTCAGCTGTTAATGTACCAGATGTATTGTAAAACTAATACATATTACACTTTTATCCTTCTTCATAAACTTGTATGATTCCATTGTATACAAAATGTTCAGTCTTTATTGGTATTTCATAGAATTCAACTCTTTCTCCAACAGATGAAATCAAGGCCAGCTATTGAGTACATCAAAAATGCCCAGCAACAATCCTCTTTTAACAGTATTGATTATAAATTTACAAAGAAGCATTGGAGAAAGAATATCACTGCCAGACCAGGGAGAACAATCCTGTCTGATCATCACATATTTTTCCATTGATCAGAATGGTTTTGGTCCTAGCCTTGCTCAGCCTTGACTACAAATGGGGGAAAGTGCAGGGCTTAATATTGACCTTTTGTAATACAGGGTCCTGTACCCCCTTTTTAGTTGGGAATTCTAAATTGAAATGGGACAAAATTTGGAATTATTGATGTCTTATGTTATATTTAACTGTAGAATAATGAGTACGATAGTAGGTTCATTTTTTTATTTACATCTTTTTGAATTATTATAATCTCAAAATTTAAGGTTTTTTTTTTTTTTTTAAAGAACATTAGTCACTAAAAAAACCAAATTTTCTTGTCAATTGGGAATTTTTAGCTAAATTTTGGGAAAAAAGAGTTAATTTTCAATTGGAATAGGATCCATTCGCCATGCAGACCTGGATATTAAGCCCAGAAGTGGCATCATCAAAGATAAGACAGGGAAAGAGAGAGAAGAGAGAGAGAAAATAAACCAGATCATAATAAGGTTGAAAACCTGGCCTCCTGAACAATGAACAAATGCCCTATCAATGCAGCTTTAATCCATTTAATCTGGTCAACAGGTCAAGGTGAATAAACATATCTGTCACATTTTGACTGAACATTTAAACCAACTGCACTCCTAATTATAATTAGAGGAAAAAAATATATATCTACAATGAATTCTTTACCAACAGTGAAATAAAATTGTGAGTGCCAATGCCAATGATATTTCTTTCAGCATGAAAATGTGGAATGGTCTTCTTTAAAATAACCCAAATTCTTGCTGTCAGTGAATCATTGACATAGTGTAAACAGTAATATTGCAGCTTTTAGTAAGAAAGCTATAGAATCGGATATCGGTCGCATAGAAATATACAAGTACCGAGCTTCACTCATTTTAATAACATTAGTATTTTACCATATGAGTGATGAACTGTCAAATACTGACATAGTTTCATAAAAAAAACACCTAATACTTACTTAAATCAACCACTGCACAGGACAATGAAGTTATATTTTATATTAAACAAATTATAACCATACGCTTACCATGAAATATTCTACTGTTTACATATTTGGGGTGTTGTAGACTGTGTGGCAATTCTGTCGTCCATTTTGCTTAAAGGTCAAGGCTAAATGGTGATGAAGTTAATAAAAAAAATATCTGGAGTAGGGACACAGGGACTTAAAGTGATTAAAATTTATCCAGTGTCCTCAAATTTCAATGCGTTGTTTTATTTAAATCATTTTAAATATTGAGTGAGGAACTACATTGCGGAGATATATCGAGATCGCACCATGACTTCCGGTTTGAATTAAGATGGACGTTGAAGATCTATGGAATTTATTTGCAATGAGTAATGTAGTGTTTTTAATTGAACCCGTGAATAATGAAGAATGAGTCACCAATTTTGTGACACAACGACAATTTTCCTCTCTTTTAAACATAAACATTTTCTTGAAAAAGGAAGATGTAAAGTATAATCGCGATGTTCATATCTGTAGGATGGATGAACAATCATTAAATGAGTTGCTTGAATGCTCTGTGTGTCTTGAACGTTTAGATCACACAAGCAAGGTTCTACAGTGTCAACACACATTTTGTAGACGTTGTTTGGATGAAATTTATAGCACAAAACGCGAGCTTCGTTGTCCAGAATGTAGGACTTTAGTTGAAGTACCAGTGGAAGAGCTACCCTCAAATATTTTGCTCATTAGACTGTTGGAAGGATTAAAAACAAAAAAATCTGAGCGATGCAGGTCTCCACGGAGAAATCAAGAACATCCCTCTTTTGGAGATCATACATCAAAACAGGTGAAAATGATATAACATTGAAATCTTATTACAATTAGGAAGTTTGGTAGCAACCAATATAGCATGATTTAGTCAAACCTAAAATAGAAAAGGTTGGTTAAAAAAATATAAAATTATAAAGGTTCCTGACACTCGAATATCTACATGGTAGACAGACATCTCGGCCCAACGACACCTCGGCCCATCACGCTTGACATCTCGGCCCTGACAGGTCGGCCCAAGATTGTTGACACGTCGGCCCATATAAAAGACACCTCGGCCCAAGCAAAATTTTACGATAGAAAAAAAATTAACAGATTAACCCAGCATTTGAAATGATATTATCATTGGTGTTATTATTCTTTCTGACAATTAAATGATTTTTTAAAAATAAAAAATGGGGGTCTTTGATAGATATAATCGTTTTATTTTTCCAACTTAATTAGATCAGGCTTTCATTTACATCTATTTCTTGTGGAAAATGTAAATTTTTCCTGCAGTATCACGGTTGCGCGCGTTAATCTTGTATTAGCAAATAAAAAAAAATGCTTTGATACAAGTAGCCTGGGAAAAAATGGACTCGAACTAGTTATAAGCGACGATAATATATTTATGAAGGGAAATGTTTTTCTTAAGAAATTATTCAATTACTGTCTCCCAATTAGGTCTGCTCGTAATTACCGTAACCCCCTGTTGTCACCAATATAACAAGCGCTTGACCCTCAAAAGGATGGGCTGCGGTATTTTGTTTGTTTATCAATTAGCACTTACTTAATAGCATTAAATTGTCTTCTCATTCCTTGAATATCGTCAATGTGCACGTGGAAGATCTTTTTTTTTTTAAATCTTGATAGTTTATTCATGTACTTTTTTCAGTCAACATTTTAATTCAAGTCCCAAAATTGGAAATATATACATGTATTTCATAGTTAAATTTTGCTTGGGCCGAGGTGTCTTATGCATGGGCTGACCTGTCTTAAATCTTGGGCCGACCCGTCTGAGCCGAGATGTCATTGGGCCGAAATGTCAATGGGCCGAGGTGTCGTTGGGCCGAGGTGTCTGACATTCATCTACATAAGACTGATAGGGTTGCACATTCCCATCATAGTCCCATGCTTACTGGTCTTTGAAGGGAAGGTCAAAAGAATGAAAGTCTATAAACAAGAATATGTGGAAAACAATAAGGGAGTACCACTGCTAAGCCTAGGGTGATTTTGATTAGAGCAAGGATAGCAGAGCTAGGGAGCTTGTATGTGTCGGAGTGGGAGCAACAAAGTGAATGAGCAGGAAGGAACATTCAGAAGGAAAGGTGACGAAAGTGAGGGCATTAAGACTGCCCTCACCTTGTTGCTGCCATTCTCATAAATTTACATTGCTGTTCTCACATCCTTGCTTCTTCAATTTATTGCCCTTGACTCATACTTTGTCTTCCTTGCATTCAGATTCTCACTCACTCCAATCTCTTTAACCCCCGTCATTGTGAAGGCAAGGTAGCAAATGGTTTTGTACTCCTTTACATGTATAATCAGTTGTTGCATGTTTCTCACTTAGATTTAAATGTGTATTCCATATAAAATAATATTTTCTTTCTTTTTAATTAATTTTAAACATATAATCTGAGAATTTCTCTAGCATGAGTAGAAATTATTTTGATTTTTTTAATACTTTTAGCAGAGTGGCACTTCAAGTCAGCCGTCAGCCAGAGCATTGTACAATTATGAAGCTTCAGAACAAAGGTATTTCTAAATTGTTCTATAAAATATGATATTGTTGAGTAAATAGAGTGAGTATTGGTAGAGCATATCAGTCATGATAGAGAGTGCAGTAAGCATACTTTAAAACCAAATCTGTGCTATAAGATGGAATATTCTCAGTCATTCATGACTTTTCATCAATTATGAATATGATACATGTACCTAGTAACTGTACAAGTATTTTTTTTTAATATTCTGTGAACTAAGCTAATGCATTTTTCTGTTGTATTTCAGTGATCTATCTTTTAAGAAAGGGGATGTAATATTACTCAAGAGACAGGTAGATGAGAATTGGTATCAAGGTGAATCAAACAACCAGCAAGGATTCTTTCCTGCTTCCTACGTTAAGGTAAGTTAAATATGGAATTCCTGCCTCTTTTGTTAAGGTAAATAATATAGAATTCCTGCCTCTGATGTTAAGGTAAATATGGAATTCCTGCCTCTTATGTTAAGGTAAATGTGGAATTCCTACCTCTTATGTCAAGGTACATATGGAATTCCTGCCTCTTTACATATGGAATTCCTGCCTCTTATGGTAAGGTAAATAAAATATGGAATTCCTGCCTCTTATAGTAAGGTAAATATGGAATTCCTGCCTCTTATGTTGAGGTAAATGTGGAATTCCTACCTCTTATGTTAAGGTACATATGGAATTCCCACCTCTTATGTTACATTTATTGATTTAATAAAAAATGGAATTCCTGCCTCTTATGTTAAGGTAAATATGGAATTCCTGCCTCTTATGTTAAGGTACATATGGAATTCCTGCCTCTTTACATATGGAATTCCTGCCTCTTATGGTAAGGTAAATAAAATATGGAATTCCTGCCTCTTATAGTAAGGTAAATAAGATATGCAAGTAGACTGCACTAAGATACATAATTATATTTATCGGTTTTTGATTGCAGTGAACAGTGTTGCCATGGTTACACACTTACTAAAAATAGAAATTTCTGTGAAATACCTTCAAAATGCTACTTCTCCTAGAGTTTTGGTCCAATTTCAATATAACTTGGCACACAAGTAGACTACACTAAGATACATAATTCTCTTCACCAGTTTTTGATTTCAATGAACGGTGTTGCCATGGTAATTAAAAATAGAGATTTCTTGGAAATACTTTCAAAACGCTACTCCTCCTATAGTTTTGATCTGATTTCAATAAAACTTGGCACACAAGTAGACTACACTAAGATACATAATATATATAATCAGTTTTTGATTTTGATGAGCAGTGTTGCTATGGTTAATGAAAATAGAAATTTCCTTGAAATGCTTTCAAAATGCTACTCCTTCTACAGTTTTGGTCTGATTTTAGTATAACTTGGCACACAAGTAGACTACACTAAGATACATAATTCTCTGTACCAGTTTTGGATTTCAGTGAACAGTGTTGCCATGGTTACTAAAAATAGAAATTTTCTTGAAATACATCTGAGGTTTCTTGTTATCCATGTAGGTGGTAATGACATTTCAAAACGCTATATAAGAAGTATCCTCCTTTTGTCTGATTTCAGTATAACTTGGCATACAAGTAGACTACACTGAGATAAATAATTGTCATATTTGTTTTTTTTTTTTTTATTTTGTTGAATGATGTTGCCATGGTTACTTTAATCGAAAGGTTCACTTCTATATAAATAGGGATCTGACCTATAGGACTGGGCTTGGTTTTTTTCTCTACAAAAAGCTTGTCGATTTCCGTTCCGATTAATGACATTAGGCTGAATACATGTAACAATTTGTTTTTCATAAATCTTTATTTCAGTGAGTAAAGGTAGGAGGAACACTTTCATTGATATTCTGAGTTTGTTATCTCCAAATGTAATTATAATTGATATTTTTCTTTACTTCTTATTGTGCATAATGGTAATGTCTACTGTCTCTGGAATTAAATTTTTTTATGTCTAGCCTATTTATTTTACAACTCATATTCGTTGGATATAATAAAAACATGCCTTTAATGTGTGCAAATCATATAGGCCTAAATGAAATCCAAGGGAGTACAGTTACTGGTATATGTAGCCCTACTGTTTCAAAACTTAAGATCTTAGAACACTGACTGCAAACAAAAGAACATGTATGTTATTCTAAATATATTAAGCTCAAATAATTCAAGCAATACGTAACATACTACATGTAACCCAGACAAGCACTAGTAGCACAAACAGAATAAAAGCAATGTGATTAAATTCTAAGAAATATATACAATTGAAATTCATCGCAGCTCAATGCTGCCGAAAATACCTGTATCGAGTAACACAGAGTGAGTTATTCTTGTCCTCGGAGAAAGTGTGCTTATACTGAGATTTGTTCCGCCTGACTGACAACTGTACATAGGATTGTTACGATTTGATCTCTCTCTAGTGTTTCTTATATCAAGAATGGGAATGCATAAAGGATAGCTAATTGAAGGAAAATACACAAACCTATAAAAAATTTAAAACAATCTTTCAAAAGGCGAAAATTTAAAACTATAAAAGTGTGGCACCAGGTGGATTCGAACCCCCGACTTTAAAAAGAAAGGACCCACGATATAAAAGTCAGCGCATATATCAAATGAGCTATTCTGACTACTAGATTAAATGGTATAAATTTGAAGCAGATTGTCAAAATCAGGTTTACATATTTTTTCAATTGTAGGTTTTTTGTGAATTTCGACCCTAGGGTAGGGGTGCCCCTAAAAAAATCCTATCTTAAATTACTCCTTACATCCCAACCTATCAGAATATCACAATTTTATTTAGGGGCAGGCCTGCCCTGAAGGACTTCTAGGCCAAAATTTATGCAAAAATCAACGCTTTAACGGACAAAATGGTGTTTCGGCCAACTTTGGAGGTTTATTGTAAAGTTGTAAATAATAAATTTTAGTTGTAAAATACAAATTTGAAAAATTAAGACATATATACGGCAGAAAACAACAAATAAAGATTGATTTTTAAATGTCACTTTTTCCGGGAAATTGTTCTCTCCTATAGGTCAATTCTTTTGTAATAGTGAATACATCCTTTCTGTAAATTTGTTTTAAAAGGCTACTCCTCCTACAGTTTTAGTCTGATTGCAATAAATCTTGCCACAAAAAGAGACTTAACCAAGGATCATTATTCTATTTATTGCTGTTGCAAAGTTTCAAGTCCAAGTGCTACTTTTATCTTCCTTTGTTAGAAGTACAAACCATTAGAGCTACAGTCTCCTCAGAGACTTCTGTTTTTTTTTTTTTTTTTTGCTATATCCAGCTTATTGCATACCTTTCTTTATAAACTTAATTCAGACAATAGGAATGTAAAGTTCTAGCTGTTGATGTTAATCACCATTCACCATCATCAGTATATAATGACAAAGATTGTACATGTATTTATGTATCACAAAAACATTTAAACTCTTATAATACTGCTTTGTGCTCATCTGGAAGTGTTTAATATGTGTACTTTTTGAAGGTGATTGTACCGTTACCTGTGACTATACCGCAGTGTAGGGGGCTGTATGATTTTGATGTCGAGGATGAGGAGGACAAGAAAGATTGTCTTTGTTTTAAAAAGGTAAGGAAGACTTAACAACACATCCATGATGTCTACACTTAAATATCAGGGCATTGTTTTAGTAATGACAGGAATGTTACATAATTGTTGTTTTATTTTGAACATATTTTATTGACAATATGTCAATGGAATTGGACACAAGTTCCAAATCTTTGGTAGTCCTCTCCCTATTATTATTGTAAAAAAAACAAGGCACACCATGTAGAGTAACAGCTCGTACCTGTTTCTTACATTTAAAATCCTAAATTTATGCCATTTGCTTCTTTAAAATGATAGTAATTTCATATATTTACATAATTTAAATTTAAAATGAGTGATAAAAATCCATGATAAACCCTATTGATCTGAAAGTGAGAATATTAAGCTCATATAGCATGTATCATGATGTAAAGTGAGACTAGAAGCTTGAAAAATGTTTCAAATAGTTTAAAATATGAATGTAATCAGCAACTGTGTAGGTGTCTTACCTGAGCCATAGGCTCCAGTAGGAAAGTGTCTGTTGTGTGTTTCTGTAAGCTTTTCACATCTTCGTCATCTTCTCTAGAACTATTAAACCATTTAAGCATTTTCAAGCTAAGATGACACAAAGTATCCTTGGATGATGAAGATTCAAATTTTCAAAATTCACCCCCTTCACCCAAAAGACTAGACAATTATTTCTTAAATGCATAATTGGAAAATTTAATTGCTTAAAATTATTAATGGCTTTCTTGCAGGATGAAATATTGACTGTGATAAAAAGAGTGGACAGCAATTGGATTGAAGGGAAGAAGGGAGACAAAATTGGAATATTTCCAATATCTTTTGTTGAGGTTTTTATTTTTTTATTTTGTTTTTATTGTATTTTTAGCTCACTTGAGCCAAAGGGTCAAGGAGCTTTTCTGATCAAAGTTTGTCTGTTGTCCATCTATATGTCTGTCTGTTAACCTCTCACATTTTGGATGTCTTTCTAGAACCATTGAGCCAGTGAGTTTCACAGAGCATCATTGGCGAAGGGGACAGTTTTATTCAAATGAAGAGTAATGTCCCCTTCCAAAGAGAATAATGCATAGTAAAAAAGGTCATTTAGACCACAGCAGCCAGAAAAGACAAAACTAGGTATAAGAGAGATGATTATAATAATACAAATTCAAATTTGTTTAAATCATGGCCTCTGGGAAGGGTAGGGTGCAACAAGAGGTGAAAAGTTTAAATACATGCACATACTGATACAGTACTAAAATTCTTAAGAGGCTTTATTTAATACATGTATATAGACAGTAAAACCACAATCAGTCTAATTCCTATGTTGTAGGGATTCAGCTTTTTCTTTCTTTTTTTTTTTCCATAGCATTTGGAATTGGAAGAGGCCACACGTTTAACATAGGAATATGGAGTGAAAATCTTGAAGTGTCTTTTGTAACATTAGGCCAACCAAGTCAATATTTAAGCAACCCCATGAAGTGTTAATTCTAGTTTGTTCAAATCATAGTCTGAGAGGCTTGTAAAGGGATACTAAAGATAAAATTTGCTAAAGCTGTGGGCTTTAAGTTAATAACTACAATAATGCAGAGTTTCAAGAAAAAAAAACCCATAAATCCTATTTGCAAAACTGATAGAAAATTGAAATTTCTGATAAAATTTGCTGTACAAGTCTACATGACCAATTATTGCCTTCCATAAAAATCCAAAATATTTTGTTTTACCCTATTAAAAAATTTTTTGTCTTTTTTCGTCATAATCTCAAAAACGCTTTATTGAATAAGCTTTTTAATTTTCTATGAAGAATTTATTGTACTCTGATCTATTGCCATGTCCCATAATCAGTGTTGTAATGATCCACAGAGATATTTACTCAATTTGAGTATTTACAAGGTCAGGGTTGGCATTGATGTTTCTTGTTGGTTTTTTTTTTTTTTTTTTTTTTTTTTTTGAGTTAAATCATGAATTATATTAGAATTTATTCAGACTTGTAGAATTGCTTCAGACTTGTACAACACACTAAGTCATCAGTCTGAATGACGGATAGGAATATTGATTTTCTGAAATTCTGATAATGTGTTTCATTTTTCTGCTTAGAAATTTCTCAAGAAGGTAGATACTGTATATGACTCAGGTGAGCACTGTGGTTAAAGGACCATTTGTTTCTTTTATAAATGTCAAATTTGTTATGATTTTGATATTCTAAGACATTGCTATTTGACTGTATATAACTTCCACTGTCTTTATATAACTGCTTGTCATGATTTTCAATTTATTGATCAACAGTTGAATGATAATGCAAAAGCCTTGATCAGTTCCAAGAATTCCACCAACAGGTATGTACAAGCCATAAAAAATAAAAAAGTTGATCACATTACATGTATTTGTTGTGCTTTATAAACATTTTATATTCATGTGTTACTTGAAAAATGAATTTGTTTTTCAATACAGTCTTGTCAGTTTATGGGTAGATAAAAATTAAAATCCTACATGCAGTGTCCCCCACCACCATATGTAGGAAATGTGAAAATATATGAATACTTCTGGTGAATAAAAGTGTCAGGGAAAAAGTTCCTGATTTTGAAAGTATTTATGCTGATTTTTAAATCTTGTAACATGATGTCAGACTTCTTTTGTAAAAATATTTTGAAAGTCAAGAGCTTGACATGAAAGAATTGTAAATGTTTACAAGTGTCTAGTTAAAATGAGCACTGATCATGTTGATGGAAAATAATTATGTAATAGTTTACTGTGTTTATCCTTGTAAGCATCTTTAGTGCTTGGAAAATTTGATAATAGGGGTGGTAATTACATTTACCCCTTATAAATTATGATGCATTGAAAGGGAGAAAATTATAAATACTAAAACACATTAATGAATGTATGATAGTATAAACCATTTGAAAATAAACAACTACAATGAACAAAAGAGCAACTGAAATTTGATTTTTAATGATAAATTTTTTATCAAACCAGTAAAATCAGGCATATGCAATATTTATTATATTTACATGTACTGTAGATTCATAAATATACGCAAGGAATTAATTTTCACGTAATTACTCGAGAAGCACCACTCATGTATGAAATTACTCGCTTTTATTTTTATGGTGCTGAAATCCATGTAAAATCTCTTGTTCAACTGTCCACTCGCAAAATATTGTTCTCGCAATTTGACGTTAATGAGCCAATTTAAGTACTCGTGAAAAATAAGGAATGTACAGTATTATATTATGTCAATGACATTGGGTTGTTGGGAGGGGGTGCATATTTCAGATTGGAAATCACCTTTTGGGGGGACTTGTCGGGGAATGGACACTTACTGGGACAAACATGGTACATGTATCACATTTTCCCATTATTCAGTTGATATCAGACATATGATAAATTTTATATTACCTATCTGTACTTTGTAATTAACATGTCATGATATAAAAGAAATAAAAACATCTTTGCATTTATAAGCACAGAGATCCAGGTACATGTAGATATTTCAGAACTATCCATTTTAATAGCTTTTCGGTGTGTTGTACACAGACTCTGGTTTCCATGTTATTACTTACACAAACAATGAAAATTTAGCAGTGTAGTACTAATAAATTTGTGTATGAAAGTGTTATACCATGCTTAAATGTGTAAACTAACCAATGAATAATTTTATGTTCCTTAACCTAATTTGATGTTTATACAGTATTCAGCCATTAATTGTTAAAGCTGAACACGACTCATAAATAGCCATATGTCATGTAAGTTTTCCTATCTCTGATATCAGTACTAGGGTATATATATATCCTAAGTATTTTTTTAAACCTGATTGCAACTTGAAACTCATGGCAAATTTGTTATATTTTATTGTTTGTCTTGGTGTTTACATCTTTTTCTGTTGTTTACGTGCATTTTGTGTTCATTTGCAATGCATAGACTTGTGCAGTTGATGTTTCTCCTGACGTGGTATAGCTGCATACATCTGATAATTTTATCACAACTGAGCTCTTATAGGGGCTAAAGAAATAGAGAAAACAAAGAGAAATATTGCAGACAAGATATACATGTATCTCTTCCTTTCATGAGTCATGTTCAGCTTTAAGGTCAAAATATCACATGATTAGTGATTTCAGTTACTTAAATAATTCTGAAATAAAGTATCAGTCTATATATACCTGTACATGTATAGGAATATTTTTTTGCATGGAATAATGTATAGATCAAAGTACATGTAATGTGTTTACATTGTATTTTGGATTCTTAGTAAATATTGTGTTATGGGTATAATTTCTGTAGTTGTTTGGTAATTCAATCAAATTTTCAGAAATGTGCAAATCTACTTTCATATCACAATAGTTTGAATGCTAAAGATAAAAGCTCAAATCACACACAAAAAAATATTTACACTGCAGAAATACCCTGTATATACTCACTGTTTGATTACAATGTATTGGAATCTCTACTCTTTGCTATATTGTATTTGCTTTCCTTCTTTGTACATATAATCACCTTGTGTTGTGTCCCATCTCTTACAGTTTGGGTGGAGGTGATCTTCTGTCACCCCATAACACCCAGTTTCTTAACCCCGCCTCTTTGGCGGGACAACTTCCACAACAGAAGCGACATTCATTTACTGCCATGCAGGACACACCCACTCAATACCAACATAATCGCAGGTAAAAATTAGGTCAGAACTGCTCAAATTGGAGATAAACATTGCGTCAGAACTCATAACATTTGTTTGATATGCCAGCTTCATAGTTGTACACTGTCTGTCAAAAAACTGCAAGAAATGGTGCAAGGTAGGAAACAACTAAGTTGCTTCTAACTGACAATAATACTTCAAAAAATGCCTTGATTACTTTTTAGTTAGTATCTAAAGAGTGTAGATAGTTTTACTTATACACATTGATAGCAATTTAGTATTAAAATCCAAAGTTTATATTTAAAAAAAAAAAGTTAATCACTCAGTGGCTTTTCGTAACAGTAGAATCTGATATAATGAAATGTTTCTCTTTTATGTGTTGTGTGAAGAGTATGGTGCATGATTTGCATGTTAAAATGCTGTTAAGATGTTTTACATCTGAGTATTTTGAGTCACAAGTCTCTATGCATATCTAAGCCTGCAATATTTAAACATTATTAGCCTGTACTTACACATTCTATTAGAAGAATTGTTTCTTTTTTCTGTATATACTAAATTTACATGTACCATATACTGGCATCCAGCCTTTGGAATACCTGCAGAACTGTAGCTCTCTAGTTGAGAAAATCTGGACAGACAAAGCAGAGACTTAGATACAGGCATTGTGAAAAACTTTGATATGCTTGAAGCATGATATCTGTTAATTAGCCATATATTTTACTCCTATTCCTGATACTTTATTTACCGTTCAATGGTTCCAAACAGCCCTTTATGACCCTGGAATGTCAGTTTTAAAAATTCACATTCTGATGTCCATGTTGGGTCATGGTAGAAAAATACGCCCAAGGTTTATACACCAGGGCTAATTTCATTTTTACATGTGTTTAGGTTTTCTTAGCATATGTTTGCTCTTTGACAGAGGTATTTAGACACAACCCCCAGACATTCCAAGGCCATATAGGGTTTTTTGGAACCATTGAAAATAAAGTTTCAGGAATAGGAGTAAAATATATGCTTAATTAATGTGCCATGCTTTTAGCATAAGGCAAGAACTAATACCCAAAGCAAGTGACAAAATAGCAGTAAATTGAAGGTGTTTTCAATGCTTGGATCTGTAGCTCTGGTTCGTCTGTCCAAATGTTATCAACAGTTCTGCAGCTACCTTTAGAGAACTCTTTCTGTTATAGATCTCTAGAGTTGAGCAGCAAAGGAAATCTAGTGATCCCACCAACGTCTGCATCAGGCCAAGTAAGATCCCCACCCCCACTTCCAAGGACAGGGCCAGAGAGGTCTCTGAATGTCACAGACCAGGCGGGGGGAAGCAGCAGGGAGAAGGTACAAGTATAACTAAAAATTTCACCATAAATTAATGTTCTTTGCCCCATATGGTGCATTTAGATATAAAACAAAATATCAACATACTTATTGATGACATTTACCAAAATAGAATGCAAGCTTTGTAAGCTTCATCAAATAACAGTATGTAAGCCATATTGCCAGTTTAAATGTAGTATCTGTGTATTCATTGCAGACATCATGTAGTAGGGGAGCTACACAACTGCAAGAAAACTCCAGTATGGGGTCTTCAAAAACTAAAATGTAAGTAAGGGAATTGAAAAGATAGTGAAACAGAATTATAGATGTCAGGAGAAATTTTCAGATAAGAATGTATTGAAGATGTGTATCAGCTTGACTATACATTACTTGTACATGTAATTCAGTTTTGTTGATTGTTGACCTTCCTTTTCTTAGCTTTGTTGCCCTTTATCACTACAAACCCCAGAAAGAGGACGAGGTTGAATTAAGAAAGGGAGATTACTATAGTGTGATAGAGGCATGTCAAGATGGATGGTTCAAAGGTCGATGTCTCAAAACTGGCAAAGCTGGGGTCTTCCCTGGAAATTATGTACAGCAAGCCAGGTTTGTTACATGTAGTTTAAAACCTTCAAATGTTTACTGAAAGTGTGCTTTATGAATATTGTTCTAAAAATTTTAACTAATTTTTACAAAGTCCAGAGAGCTTTTATAATACCATCTAAATTCATCCCACCTTATTTTGACTGGAAAAATTAAAAGAGCAAAGACTTGAATACTGTCTTTGAAGGATGAAATTGCAAAAAGAAATTATGACTAGAAATTACCACTTAAACAATGAATGTAATTTTTTTTAGATCTCCTTCTGCTGGAGGTGCTCCCAATAATGTCCAGAATGTACGTGCCAAAACATCATCATCCAACTCAAAATCTTCATCAAGACAGGAAATGTCCTCCAGACAAGAACAGCCAGGTTCTGTCAGACAAGACAACAGTGTACTACATAAACAGGTGCCCCTAACCTCCTCAAGGCTAGAAGGTCCTCCTTCGTCATCCAGACAAGAGTTGTCTGCTGCCCCTGTACCTACATATACATCATCATCAAGTTTATCGTCAGGATCACAGGTGCCTCCAGTCAAGTCTTCTCATAAACCTCATTCTCATCCCCCTTCCTCAGCTTCCCTGTCCACAGAGGCTAATCCTGACAGAATCTTAAATTCCCAAATGTTGTCCACGTCTCATACTGCAGATCATTTGTCATCACAAGCTAGAAGTGTACCCAAACCTGTATATGTCAAAGCATCCAAAATGAGTCCTTTGAGAACTGCTTCATCTGATGTGCAGGCATTAGCTGCTAACACAGTGGTTATACCACCTAACTCAGTGATAAGTAAGACAGGACCAGTGGTGGGTGGAGTCAGTGGTCCAGTGTCTGTGGTCCCCAGTGCACAGATACCAGATGCTGTAGGTGCTTCAGGGGAATCTTCATCCTCAAACAAGGTATGTGATACAGTTCATTGTCATTGTTATGGAATGCGAATTCTGATGTAGCAACAAGGATATTATTTTCAGGTTCATTGAATTAATTAATAAGATTATTGTTTTCTGTAATTATTCTAGAGAGAGAAAAGAGAGAAAGAAAAGATAAGCCTTGTGAAGAGACTGACTTCTGGGAAAAATAGGAAAGCCAGGTCAACTCCTCCAGACAGTGAGGGAGCTTTACCCTCAGGAAAAGTAGCCCATACAAGGTACAATAGCACATACAAGGTACAAAAGCACACACAAGGTACAACAGCACATGAAAGGCACTGATGCACCTTCTGGTTACAATAGCCCATATAAGGTACAATAGCACACACAAAGTACATTAGCACAAAGTAAAATAGCACAAACAAGGTACAACAGCATGTAAAAGGCACTAATGCACATTCTGGATACTGTAGCACATACAAGGTATAATAGCACACACAAGGTACAATAGCACACACGAGGTAAAACAGCACACACAAGGTACAATAGCACATAAAAGGCACTGATGCACATTCAGGATACAGTAGCAAATGCAAGGTTAAATAGCACAGAAAAGGTACAATAGCACATAAAAGGTACAATAGAAGGTACGATAGCACATTAAAGGTACAATAGCACATCAAAGGTACAATAGAATGTACAAGGTACAATAGCACTTAGTGTACATTCATTTGTAAATTTGTTTTCAGTTTGAATTGTAAATTTCCTAGATTTCCATAGGATTTAAAAGTATATATTTTGTTATTACTACCACATAAACTAATCTTAAACTGAGAGAACAAACATTTTCAGTTCCACGGATAAATGTTTGCTGTTGTTTTCTGTAGATCCGGATCCTATCCGTCTGAGGTGGCCACTTCTGTGGAGGGACAACATGTCAAGACCGGATCTTTTGATTCCTCTGTACACCCTCCTCACGGATCGAAACAGAGCAAACAAAAGTCCCTCAGTCGAGAAAAGTAAGCCTCTCAGTCATAATGTTTCACCTTCAGGATAAAAATAGAGGTTTCTGTCCTTGTCTCTCAGTGTGTCACACTGAACTTATGTTGCTCTAATTATCGTGGATGAACACCTAGAAATTTCATATATAGCATAAACATTGTTACAGATGAGGTTAGAGACCTTGATCATTACAGCTCATTTGTCTGTTTGTCTGTACACAAGTCTCTAATTTTGTTGAAGACATTTATCTATCACATCTATAAAGTATCTTGTAATCTTGTCAGAACAGCTCTATATGGTGGGCGAAAAGGAGATTTCTGCTAAATTTGTCTGCAGATAATTTTTTCAAATATTTTTTTACCAGTAGATGTGCAAAACAAAATATTGTTTATTTAAACACATCTTAATCTAAACCAAAGTGATTGACCTGTATGAGATCTATGTAACATGTTTGGCATCTTTCCAAGAGAAAAGCTACAGCATCTATATTTATACTAGTGCTCATGACCTTGATCCTGACCTTCATGCTTCAATCAGTCAGGTTTATTTCAGAACTTTCTACTGTAGTAAAAACCAAAGAGGGGATCTCTGAGCCACTTTTTCTCCACAAGTACTTTGGACTTGGTTTATGAATATGCATGATAAATATTAATATGTAAAAGAGGGCATATTGATAGACATCTTACATATTTATAAATAAAAACCCAAGTACCTATGTTCAGTGTACCGGTATATTTGTTTATTCTTAATTCCAGAATGTATGTTAGTATTTTTTTACCAAAGAATATTACATGTATATTATATAAAACAATATTATACATGTATGTATGTTATATAGAGAATATTACATACTCAAATACATATCATATGTCATATCAGCCCAAGTGGCCCATATCAGCTCGAGGGCCAAAGGCCCAAGAGTTGATATGACATACACTGTATGATATATATTCTATTTATCATATATTTAAAATACTTTGCTGGTTCACATAGAGTCATTTAAGCATTTTCATGCATGTATATAGCCTTTTACTTTAAAATCTAATAGAGCAAAGTTTAGGTCATTTTAAAACTAATTAAGACAACAAGTTTTAGTACATGGATCGTATTGCATGTTATTTCAATAAATCAAGCTAGTTAACTTTTAAACTTTAAAAGTGATATAGGTTTTTGGGCGCTGGTCTGATACATGATATGAATTTCGGACTGGTCGTTGATATGGGGTATTGTGAGGTCACCCGTATCACACAGTGTGCAATCAGTGTTTTTACTACTAAGTATATGATAAATAAAAAATATTACATGTATATGTAATGTAAAAAAGTAATACAATATGTTATGTAAAAAATATGCTGATTGTAGATACAGATGTAAGGAGCCTTATCCTGCACAACACGTGGTAGAACTGGACTTAATGGTGGGAGACATTGTTTATGTGACAAAGAAGCGCGAGGATGGCTGGTTCAAGGGAACATTACAGAGAAGTGGAAAGACTGGTTTATTTCCAGGAAGCTTTGTGGAAAAAGTGGATTTATAGGATCAATAGCATTACTTCTGTAGGGAGAATTTGACTAAATATTCAATTGCAGAACTTTTCAAGGCAAAGGAGAATGGAAAGTATGAAGACTGTGGATTATCTTACTGCAGGTTCGCTTAACAGAATTTTAAAAATGCAGTGCAGTGATTTTACAAAGTAGACCTGATACAAATGTGATAGTGCAGTTGATGTATTTTTGTACAGTGGAAATTGCATTAAGTTTATCATATTAAGTAAGGTTCATACAAACTTCAGGTTGTGTCTTAATATTAAGATGTATTTATTGTCATCCTTTTCTTACACAAATGTGCTATTGTACTTTAATACAATTTCTTATTATTTAGTTGTAACTGCCATTTTGTGCATTTTTGTGTTAAGATATTATTGATGCAATATTTTTGAATATTGAGTTTGCCTTTTTACATGTATGTTCATGTGTTAGTTAAATAACAGCTTAAAAATTTAGGATGTAAACATCAATGTTACTTTCCTTTTTTATATACAAGTAACTCTCATTCACTATTATTAATACTAAGGGCATTTTAAGTTTCTGGTGAGGTATAGTGATTTTTTTTCCTTATTTTTCTGATTGAGCTGTATGTTGTTAAGTATTTAAGGCTGTATTGAATGTTTCCCTTTACATAATTGATACTATAAAATGTCTTCCAGTCACTTTAGTTGTTTCACTTGAATACTGTGCCAGGCTGATTATTACATACAGTTTACATACTAGTAACATGTTTATGTTAAATATTTTATTGTTGGAAAGAAAACATAAAAAGATATAACAGTGCCATCCTATAATTTGTGTGACTAATGTCTATTTGATATATGTGTAATTACAAAAATATTCAGATAAGTGAAAAGATTTTAAAAATGTCCATTGTACAAAATAATTATTAGTATTTTGTGTAAAGACGTAATGATTGATGCATTCACATAAACTGCGTAAGTTACTTAAAGCATGCAACTTCCTTATGTCAAATTTAGAAATTATATATATTTTTTTAATTTGATAACGTGACAAACAGAGCATTGGACATACTCAAATCAGTGATATTTATGAAGATGTTGTGATTTTTACATTATTTAATTATACAAGCAATTATTAGGTTAGTGCTTTGAAGTATTTTTGAATTGATTTTATCAGAGTTTCATGTCTAGAGAAGGTTGTCTTTTTAATTCTGTGTGTAGAGTTTCTATGCATTATCGATTTTATTTTTCTCTGTTTAGCATGGAGATGTTTACTTGTCTATGCATTGTTTTGTACAAGGCTACATATGTTAACATTCCAACTGATTTGGTGTGTCAAATTCTGGTTATACCCCTAGAAAAGACCAAATAAAAATGAGATTCTCTAAAGTCATTCAATTTTTTTTCTGCTGAGAGTAAGGTTCCTAGGCATCAAAGTTCACCATCTGACCTTAGAATCTTGAATTGCCAGGTATCCTCTTACAGTGGCCACAAACTTAAAGACCAAGAAAATAAGCACCGCTTTCAAATTTTTCTGGTTTGGGTACCCCAGTCAATCAAGCTAATTAAGGTTCAGGAATGGGTGCTAGAAATTGAATGTCATTTGGTTACTAGTCCGTGTGTAGTCCGAAATATCTGACGTTTTCCTGGCTTTTTTATGATTTGATGTTTTACACGCCAGGAAAACGTCAGAACCAGCGCCATTACGAAAATTGGAAATTTCGCCGTCTGAATTTAATTTGTTAAAACGATTTTTTTGAATTCGTTATAATGAATTTAATCTGTTATAACAATTTTGTTGAACTCGTTATAACGAATTCAAAAATTTGTGATAACGAATTAAATTCGTTATAACGAATTCTAAACTTGTTATAACCAATTAAATTCGTTAAAACGAACTCTTTAATTTGCTTTAACGAATTAAATTCGTTAAAACGAATTCGACAAATTGTCATAACGAATTCATATATATATATTTTCTTTAGGCCCTGATTGTTGAATTTGATTTAACGAATTTAATTCGTTATAACAGATTTTAGAATTTGTTTAAACGAATCTAATTTGTCATAGCAAATTTTAGAATTCGTTTAAACGAATTTTATTCATTATAACAAATTTTAGAATTCGTTATAACGAATTCAACAAATTAGTTATAAGCGATTAAATTCGTTATAACGAATTCAAAGAAATTGTTATGACGAATTAAATTCGTTATAATGAATTCGACAATTCGTTATATCGAATTCAAAAAGAGATCTAGGAGAGAGAGGGAGAGTCCTCATGGAGAGAAGCAATAATTGGTCAAGGATATTCTATGAAGCACCAACCACACCAATATATTGAATCTTCAACGAAACAAACATACCCCGAAAGCGTACCACGGCTTTTAAGATAATGGCCTTATTATTAAAATAATTCAACTTTTTCCGATTCTTTCTTATTTATAAGTATCTATTATTTTATTAACTAAATGAAATGACAAATGCATGCTAAATTATAATATAAAGGAATTTTTTAAAATTCTTTTCTAAAGATTGTAACGATAGTATTCACTATATATTAAAAATAGCAAATAGTATGAAGTTCAATCAAAACATTTATTTCAAATTTATTTAATCTATGTGAAGTTATGATCTGATAAACTGAATCAAAAATGTTTTTATCAGATTATGCTCTCACGAAAAACTGGAATTTCTTTTGATCACTTTAATGTAGAGCTTTGCGCCTATATTGTGGTCCCACCCTACCCTTAGAACTATGATTTTATCAAAGTATCTGAACTACCTGAAATTTTCGATATGATTTATCATGGCCCTCCATTTCTTATCCGATTTTAACTTTAATAAATATCACGGCCCCAAATCACCCATTGGGGGAGATGAAACCGCACTACCCGAAAATTTTGCTTAATCATGACGTCCTATCAACATTATAAAAATGGGTTATTTACTACTTTATTCTACCCTATATATATTTAAGAATTGAAATGTATGTGGTATATGTACTGGGCCAGAAACGATGAAACTTGCAGGAACATTTTAAAGACCACAATTTACTCATTTTAAATCATTGTACGCACGCATCCCAATGCTGATTCAAATTTTATTCAATCACGGACCCGACAGCCACATTAAAAGATCAAATACATTAATAATTAAATAAATTACATGAGGGTATATGGGATTTAAAAAAAAGCAGTGTAACACTAAATCATATTGATATATATGCAAACATTCTCGCTTCATGTGGATTCAAGTAGGTCAGAATTAGTGATGCTGAGCTTAGGCTGAAATCATGAATCAAACTTCACATTATAATACATAGGGAAAATCTTTAAAATCTCATCCAGACCATCAGGGCTCCTTTCGAAATTTTGATTTATAACCACTATGTAGTGTGGAATCTTGTTTAGATCTTTCTTATGAGAGACTATGGAAAGGAAAAGTCTGAAGAATAGCAGAGGTAAATATGGTGAGCGTTGTGGCCTATGGGTCTCTTGTTTTCCTTTATTTTCATATGACCACGTACCACGGCCCTATTCAACCCCAAACCGTCTCAATGTTTCAATTCCCAGACCATGGTTTGATGAATTGCCAATACGCTGGAATGCTCGCATGTTAATATGACAAATCTTGATACTGCTATTTTTGACTTAAAGAGTTTTAAAGTTTTCCCTTGTAAAATTTTAAAAATCCCCAACTGTGACCTCTCCCTATCCCATGGGGTCATGTTATGAACAATATGAATCTGCAATAACTTACAATTCTTGCACTATGAATAATTATGGTCGTGCTGTATTTTGAGATTTTTTCTTAAAAATCTTTATGGATAACTGCTAGGGTGGTGCTCAGTTTTGACACAATATAACACAACTCATTGTTAAGGAATTGGAACGGTCATTTATTTAACTAATAAATGACAAAGTAATATGCCAAGAAAAACATATAAAACAGTTAAAAATACAACAAACTAAAAGCACAATACCATAATTCAATAGAGGGATTTGTGGCTTGTTAAAAATTCCAAAAATGCCACAACCCTAAAAATAGAATATAAAAAGTCATACACACAGTATTGTGACTAGAATAAACCTAAAGTTATAAGACAAGATAATTTGGCAAATTATATATATAAAAAGTGTCAAAGATGGGGTATCATCTTTTTGTAAAATTTGGATCTCCTATTGTGGATTTACACTATCCACAGAGTGTGTGTCATGTTATGAACAAATAAGAATGCATGTCAGAAAGGTTCTAAATGTTTCATCTTTGCTAGAGCAAATGTTCTTGAGAGCAAAATTTTCAACGGCTTCACCCTGTTTTTGTCTCTTGTTGATAATTTCTCTTTGGAAGGGGATGTGACCCTTTATTTGAAGACTTTGCCCAAGTATGCTATGTGCAAAGTTTATGTGAAATTGGCACAGTTGTTCTAGAAAAGAAGTTAAAATGTTACAAGTTTACACTAGTATCCGGTTTTCATTGAAACTTTGTCTAATCTATACAGTAGACTATTCCTTACTTTGGCCGTTACAGTTACATTATTATACCCTGTATATTTATTCCAAATACGATTACCACTTAGTCAGGGGATGTCCTGTCGAAGATCATTGTCCACTGCGGAGGACGAAGTGCTGTTAATAGTTTATTATGTTTGCGGATGAAATCACACGAAAAGTTTTTTCTTTTTAATTTTGTTTATTTAAAAAAATAACAGGAATAACAATTTCTTTCAATATTTAGTTATATAAAACCATAACAACTTTTTGTCATATAAATTAAACACTTCTAGACATTACTTTGTAGATGATCTTTCTTTGTAAGATTTCAAGGTATCCTTGCATCCCCTGTATTTACTAAAAAACAAAATATAGCAAAAGAATTAAATACAGATAATATTATGTGTATATCTTTAATAGAGTAAGACTAAGCTTTATACTGTAAATATGGTCCAACAAAGCAAGGGGTTAACTAATGCACACAACATAAGGATGCTTCAATACCAGCATGACTAACATAGCTCGTTGTTCTGGAGAAGAAATATTTAAACTAATTTTAACCCCAGCTAGTTTAATCCTTGGGCCCAAAACTTAAAAAAAACAGCTTCCTAAGAAAGTTTTTAATGATACTATTGATATATTGTTTTCATTTTTAAATTCATTTATTTTTATGTAAATTGTAATACCCTTTTGTAGCTCCATACTAGCCATAGTGGACATGATTTGAACAAACTTGAAGCTACAATAGGGGATCAAAGTTTTACTTTGCAATGTTTAGGAAAATATAATCTTTTTAAGATAGCAGAGCTATGCTTAGTCATCTTTTGGAAAATGCAAGCATTCCCATGTAGTGCAAGATTCAAATATGTTCAAATCCTCGCCCCTGTGAGTAGGAGTGTATTCAGAATAGGAGATCAAAGTTTTGCATAGGAATTTTTAAGGAAAAGCGCCTGTGTAACCCCTGGTAAAGTACTTCAAGTGATGCTTTACCTTGCACTGTACAAAACTTTCTATTCATGTCTCATAATAAATGGTTTTAACCCGTCTATCTTCAAGTATTGAATTCCCCATGTCCGATAATGTTTTTTGCTTAATTTGTTTTTAAAATAAACTGTTACAAAAGTAAGTCATAGAGACAAACAGACACACGTGCATCCAAACTGATCAGAGAGGCTTGCTAAGGGAAGTTAACATAGAAATACTGCATACATACCACCCATACATGTAGAAGTTACTGCGTCGAAGCAAAACTCATTCTCAAAGCATGTCAGCTAAAACAGAAAATCAAAAATAGATGTAAATCATTCTAAATGTGTGTGTGTGTGTGAGAGAGAGAGAGAGAGAGAGAAGTACCTGTCCACAGTTATCGCCTCTTCCCGCTGTATTTTGTGGAACGACTGGTCTCGGATTAAGTCCAACGTTTGACCCTTAACAAAACAATCATTAATACTTCAATTTTTAACTTAGACATCATACTGCACGAAATCATATTTTTCAGCTATATATACATGGTACTTACCAGGTGAAAGTGGCGCCCCGACACAGTTATTACCCTGGCAAACCTCCGCAATATCAGGAATGCGGATCACGTCTGCTACAGGTCCTGGTGGAATGGGCTGTTGGGGAACCGCCGGTTGCGCAGGTCTATTCTGTATAGGAGGAACTCCACCACCGGGCAGCAAATCACTTAGTGGTGGAAGAGACATCCCTGTGCCAGATTCTGATGTACCACTCAAAGCGGAAGTTCCAAAAACGCCACGTGATTGAGATTGTGGCACAGCTGCTGGTACATTATCAGTCATTGGAAACAAATCTGTGTCGGAAATAGGATTAAGATCAATAGGCCCGGAAGAACCTGGAAATGGTGAGATATCAGAAGAGGAACCAGGTCTTATTATGATTGGTGGGGGTCTTGCCCATGGCACCCTCGAACCTGACGAATCTCTGACGTTCCATCTGGAGTTAGGATCAATAGATGTCCTCGTATTTGTCTGACTGTTTGGAATAATGGATGAAAAAGGTCCATTCTGTGTGTTTCGAATTATGGGGGATATTGGTCTGTTATTTGGAACTACAGGTATTATAGACGCAGTCTCTGAATTTGGAACAAGAGGAGATATTGAACCAGTCTGCGGAAAAAGTACATTTGGTATCGTCTGCACAGGATTGACTGGGCGAACTTCGTTCGGAGTTACGGCACCTGTGTAGAAGAAAATATACCATCTTGTTTTATACGATTTATTTTCGATTTAAATATCATCATAAAGGAGGAGGGGATAGGGTTGTGAGGAATATATTATCGACGGCGACATACGCCTTATTTCCCCTCTGCAAAATTGACGACGTGTGCAGCGCAATTTTGCACACAATATCGCCGGCGACAATGTGTGCCTTGAACTTTTGAACATATTGTCGCCATTTAAATATTCTTAGCAAGCCATTCTCTGTAAGACTTAAATTTATTTGACTCTTAAACTTTTACTTTTTGGAAACATCAGGCGCAATTAAATCTTTACCCTTCAAACTTTAAGCAATGAATATTTGGTTGCTTTTCTGTTTCCTCGACAATGGGCCTTCAAATTTAAAAAAGAAATAGACATAGACATTTTTATTTCCTTGGTGTGGCTTGATGAATGGTCATGGAGTTTAATGTGTAAGAATGACATCATATTTAAAAGATGTTACGAAAAATAAATAACGAAAAAGAAACAACGAGGAATCAGCGTGAAATAGGTCGTGCATGTAACTTAAGTTACAATTAAATAAAATCTTGAAAAAAAAAATTTGTTATACCTTTAAAAATTTGTTCCTATATAAATCAATACTAATAAAAGTCTAACATTTCCAATGTTTTACTGAGTGGGCATAAAAAAATCGATGTTTGACCGCGGAGTGAGATATTGGACCGCTTGTACACGTCACATAATGGGCAGGGTCAGCTAAATCTCATTTGCATTCATTGGTGTTCGACATACATGTATGTCAAAAAATAATAATAAAATAAATAAATAAAAGGTATAACAAAACATTTATTGACTGTGTTCTCGGGCAACATGCGTTTTATTATATATTTGTTCCATAATACAGGATTTTTGCATCCCTGATATGAACACAGGCACGCGCCCTGTATTACACACCCTGTATCAGCACCCTTTATTTTACCCTTTATCACACCCTTTATTACACCTTTCCGGAACATCTCTGTATTTTTCATTCAGAGTACCTCGGATCTTTTTCTATTAATTGTTTATAAAGTTTATTTAAATTGTAAATTTTCATCAGATATTTTATGCTATTCAAAATAATTATTTGTTTAATTTATAATTATTTCATTTCTTATCACTGTATGCATTGCCTTTGGAAAAAAATAATGAGAAAGGAAATTCAACGAAAAAAAAGAACATATTCAATTATTAAGAATTAATTAATTTACAGGTTTATATATATGATTTTTTGACACTATTTTCAAATATATAATAAAAACAACAATACATGACAAAATCTGTATCACACCCAATATCAACCCTCGACCAATATCAGCCCTCTGGCCTTCGGCCCTCGGGCTGATATTGGAGTCTCGGGTTGATATAGGGTGTGATACAGATTTTGCCATGTATTATTCTCTATTTATCGACCCCTCGAACCAAACTGTTTGCCTTCGGCCTAACAGCCTCAGGCGAACAGTTTGGTTCTTGGGTCCGACAAAACGCATGTTGCCCTCGAACCCAGTCAATAAATATATAATACTGAACGAGTAAAAAGATCAAAAGAGGATTAACACCTAAAATTCTAAAACGGAATCAACAAATATAAATAACTTTCAAGAGGATTTTACGCTATGATTTACTCAGTGAACGGATAAAATCTATAGAGGTCTAACTAACGCAAGGATGATTAGATTCTATTTATTTGATAAAATTGGACAAATATTTCCTTTAGTAACATAGAAATAATTTACTATCCTGACCCTAATACTGAATATCCTCAGTATTGTTGTATCTTATATGTTATCTTACCGACAGTTAAGGCTTCTCCTGTACAATGACCATCTATACATCGGGAGTTTGGAGGACATGGTCTCTGTAAGATGAAATTATAGGGAAAGATCAAGTCAGTGCAAAGGTCCATGAAACTACATGTAGCTGTGTTGAATAGTTTTTCAGACCCCCAAAAAGTTTGAATGTAAAAAGAAAGAATTAAAAACTGTTCAAGAATATTATAACTTGAATGCATGAAATATTATGGAATCTGTTCAAAACTGTTGTTCAGTGTACTTACATCACAGGTTTGATGTGGCCTAGCTACAAAAGGAAAATTGATAAAATGAACTGTAAACTCAGTCATATGGAAACAGAAATAAAAAAAAGTATTCGAAGAGTTGTGCTGGCTTTTTCACGATATGATCGTCTTTTAGCTGTATTTAACTTGTACACACGTTGTGTTTTAGTTGAATTAGTTCCATGTAAAAAGGTTTTTCTTGAAGAAAACAGTGAGTATGGATCAGGGTATAGACGTACCATTCAAACTATCGCAGTGACAGTCACCACGGCTATCACAATGACACACGTAGCCAGGGGGACACAAGGGCTGTCAACGGAAAAAAACTAATAAGTAACGGACCGATTGGAATATTAATATAGTAACAGATAAAAAAAACAGATATAGATTTCTTTTATTTCAAAGAAGGAATTTCGCAATATTCGGTAAGTGCTACCTGACACTTTTAAATTAAAATAACAGAACAAAAACAAAGTATTATAATACATACGCTACACTGAGTACCTCCGACTGAAAGGAAAGAAATGACGTCAAATCAATTTAATTGATATGCTGAAATTCTAACATATATACGTAATATAAAATATAACTAGATAAAGTAAAATGCATATATAAAGAGGGAAAAAAAGAAAAGATTACTGAGAACCATGAATCTAAATTATTATTATTTGAATTAACACCGTGTAATGGGGCAAATGGGGGGTTACGATTATGTATCATAGGGGGTTTCAACTCCGAAGCGGAGGTTTTTCACGTGAGAAAAGTATTTTTGTAAAGATTCTTTGCTACTGAATTCTTGGAGGCCAAACAACATGCGCACGGGTTGTAAGAATGTATTGGCGTTCAATTTAGTGCAATAGTCTGTTTGAACGCGTTACGGATTTTGCTAACACCTCTGGAAAGTTCAGCAGACTGGGAAAAATTCTGGTTCGCCGACATTCTTTAACAGCAAAAAAAAAAAAAAAAAAAAGGAAACAAATAAACGGAGGTTTAAAGCCCATTTTAAAGATGATGAATAAAGGTTAATAAAAATACATCATTTGAAGACATCTTTTACTTGTAACAACTTTTATTTCTGTTAAAAATAGAAACTTTTATGGCCAAATTCAGATGCGCCTAACGGGGTTTAAAAGTTTGGCACCAAACGGGGTTTCAACTGAAGGGCTTTTTCTATGTTTAAATCCCTGGGTTTTTTTTTTAAGAATATGGATTCCCAGTCCACAAGGAAGAAGTTACTGACCATGTGGAAGGCGAGAAGTTTGTCATCTGTGTGCAAAGACACATGCAGAAATGAATGATCACTCAAAAAGCACACTGCGTCTCTTGCACAAGGAAATAAGTTTCCCTATAGTACATATAGGCAGGAGTTTTCAATGTTGCATTTGTTAAAGTCGCACAAGAGGCGAAACACCGTGAACCGCAAAGAAATATGCTTTGTTCCATTTGCAGGACTTCCTTTGGAGGAGAACTTGAACAAATGCAAGAGTGATAAACGGCCAAAAACATGTAACATGTTCATTGTGTTCAAACTCTGTTTAAGACAACATACGGTAATTATGCATTATTTACACACTGAATTGTTGACGGATTTTTCCTTTATTTCCCGATCGTGACAAGAAGTACAAGGCGGGTGTGACGGTCGGCAGCAGGGGATGCTCACTCCTCCATGGCACCTGATCCTACCTCTGATGTTTTAGAGGTCCGTGTTTGCTCTGCTCCTTATTTGTATTGCTTGAATGGACTTTTGAGCTTAAATACTGTTCGTTGTCAATATATTTCCCCCAAAACTTGGCGTTTGTTCTTGACGCAAAGGGTGTAATTTTAAATTTTCTTTTAAAACCACCAGAAAAATGTAATTTGACGGCTACAAATCCTCTATTACCAGTATATTCAAATTATTGTAAATGGTAAAGAGTATTTTTGATCCCATTTTTTTATTCTTCTGGTATGTCGACTCTCTTGGGACTCATATATGTCATGTCGCAGCTTTTTGTTGGCCTTGTAATATTGTGATTTTGCCTTTTTAAAATTACATGCAAATTTTGCTGACAAATATTGGTTTGTCTATCATTCTGTAGATCTTATATGTTCACAAATTTGATATGAAACTTTTTCTCCAGGTAGCACTTTCGCATGTCATCGTTTATGGACGCAAGGGAGGAAAATGAAGTCCTGCAAATGGAACTAAGCATAAATGTATGCAGTTCATGCTGTCGCTTTTCATGCGTCTTTAACAAATACAACATTGAACACCCATTCCTACATGTTCTATACGGTAACCTATTTCTCTGTACAAGAGACGTAATTAATTTGCCTCTTGAATAAGCATTCATATCTGCATGTGTCTTTGCACGCAGGTGACAAACTTCTCGCCTTTCACATGGTCAGTAACTTCTTCGTCGTGGACCAGGAATCCATATTCTTAAAAGAAAAAAACAGGGATTTAAACATAGAAAAAGCTCTTCAGTTGAAACCCCCTTTGGTGCAATCCGAATTTGGCCACAAAAGTTTATATTTTTAACAGAAATAAAGGTTGTTATAAGTAAAAGATGTCTTCAAATGATGTATTTTTTATTAACCTTTATTTATCATCCTTAAAATGAGCTTTAAACCTCCGGATTTTTTTTTTTTGCTATTAAAGACCACAAGTACGTTTTCCCAGTCTGTTAAACTGTCCAGAGGTGTTAGCAAAATCCGTAACGCTTTCAAACAGACTATTGCACTAAATTGAAAGTTAATACATTCCTACAACCAGTGCGCATGGTTTTTGGCTTCTAAGAATTCATTAGCAAAGAATCTTTACAAAAATACTTTTCTCGTGTGAAAAACCTCCGCTTCGGAGTTGAAACCCCTATTATACATAACCGAAACTCCACATGTTCCCCTTTACACGATGACTAAGTTGTGAAATGTTTTTTAAACAACGGTTTAATATCGGAAACCGTGATTTTATAAGTAAACTGTGCTAGAAATACTGCTCCATATTGAAAAAAGTGAATGTTGCCTAATTTCAAACACCATTAAATTACATCATTTTCTGATAAAAAAAATTACGAGTTGCATTTTATTGGAAAAAAAAGCAGCTGTCTATGATGTAAAAAAGCGTGGACTTTTATATTCTTACGTTTTAAAATGTAAATGATATTGGTAAAAATTTGTGATTTCAAATTTTCTAAAAGTTCCTTTCAGTTTTTTAGCATCTACATCTGATTTACACTATTTCGCGAATACATTGTTGTACAGTACTCCTGAAGTTTCTCCTTCACTGCTGTTAATATTTTAGTGAGGAGTAAAGAAAGAGGCTGTTAACTTAAATAAGTCGAATGTTGACATAAATATCTTGCATGTTAAAATAATTATCTTGCATGTTAACATATATAAGTCGCATGTCAACACGATTCTGTAGCAGCTTGCTTGTATGATGTCGTATACAGGCGTTAGTAAGTAAGTTTACCAACATTAAAATTAGATTCTCAAAAAAGATTGGCAACTTGCATGTTAACATAATTATTGTGCATGTTGACATAATTATCTTGCATGTTGACATGCTTCTCTCGCATGTTAACATAATTTATCTTGTATGTAGGGGGCAGAAATATGCCACCATAAAAAAATGGATTGGAAATGATAAAAATCAATGTTTAACAATATTTTCTTTTAAACAAGTAAATATTTGTTTGACGTCATTTAAATTGTAGTGGAAGCGCTCATGTGAGATAGACTATAACAATATTTATAGCGCTCATGCGAAACATTCTATAAAAATATTAAGAAAATAGTGGAAACACTCATGTGGAACAGATTTTAACTATATTTATAGTTTGTATAGATGTAGATGGATGCAAATACCTTTAAAGAAATCAAGATATTTTATAAAAACACTTATATTAAAAGAATTACAAAACGTAGAGGAATTAGTTACCCGTATAAAGAAATTGTGTTAGTTGGATTTATAAAAGACACCAGAATGATAATTGAAATACAAACCTTTTTCGCATATCCCTTTGTTACAGATTTCCCCATTCCTGCATCTAGGCTAAACAGAAAAATAAGTAGCCATTCAAGTTTCAAATGAACTATTTTTATCTATTTTATTGCCAAGTGCTTTTGACCTTTAAAGTGTAATATTGAGCCAAAATTATACAAAAGTGATTTGCCCTTGGTGTAAGATGAAATAAAAAGAAATATATAGTAAACGACACCACTTAAAATACTTGTAGATTGCATGAATCTTAACATAATAGAACAAAACTAGATGTACTGTGAGCTCACAAAATGATACCCCCGCTCCCATATGAGAATGATGACAAAGTCCCCTTTTTGCATTGGAAACTCAAATATCTGTCAGATCAGAACATAAAAAGGGGGTGCACAATCGCACTATGTAATGCAGATTCATTAAAAGTCTCATTAAATTTATTCAGTGGTTAAGGAGGAGTTGCGGATAAGAGATCTGTACTCTACATAGTATAGAAAGAATGGCAGTTTCCTTGTTTAGTTTTGGGAAACCCCAAATATATGTCCAATCAAACAGAAAAATGGCACTATATGATTAAGTTGATGAAAGTTTCATTAAATTTTATTCAGTGGTATAATAGGAGCTGCGAATAAGAGATCGGTATCCCATTGTGAGGGAAAGAATGACATTGTTCATGTTTTGCTCTTGGAAACTCCAAATATCTGTCATATCTAAATAAAAAAAATAGGAGGTGCATAATGGCACAATATAGTAAAGATTCTGTGAAAGTATCGTCAAATTTTGTTCAGTGGTATAGGAAGAATTGCGGATAAGAGATGGGTACTCCCAAGTGTTATGAACAAACGGAAGGATATACAGAATTACTATTACTGCATTGTCCCTGAACATTTTTCTTAGGAATAAACAAGAAAAACACTGTATGTAGACCTTTATATAATACAATTTTCTCAAATCCAAAAACGAATTATTTTTCATGTGTTGAGACCTTGAAATTTTTGAAAACTCTTTTTTGTTACCTTTGCATACTTAAGTTTATGTTTTACAAATTTACGGTAAAGAAGAATTTAGTGAGCTAGCAGAAGAGAATTTAAAACTAGAGGTACTGTGAGCAGTGAGCTCACAAAATGATACCCCCGCTCCTAAATGAGTATAATTGCAAAGTCCATTTTTTGCAATGGGAAAGCCCAAATATCTGTCCGATCAAAACAAAACGTAGGAGGTGCACAAATTCTGTGGAAGTACCGTTAAACTTTATTCAGTGATGTAGGAGGAGTTGCGGGTAAGAAATGAGAACCCCAGAAATTATAGAAAGACCGACAGTGTCCATGTTTTGCTATGGGAACCGGAAAATTGTGTCCAGTAAACATTGAAATAGGATGTGCACAACTGCACTGTGTAAGAAAGATTCTGTGAATGTATCATTAATTTTTATTCAGTGGTATAGGAGAAGTTGCAGAGAGCAGAGAATGGTACCGCCGATTTTATTTAAAAAAAATGGAAGTGTCTATGCTTTCCTATGGAAAACCTAAAATATGTGTCCATTCAAAAAGCAAAATAGGAGGTGCACAATTGCACTATAAGTATTAATAAAGATTCTGCGAAAATGTCATGCATTATTTTAGTGTTATATGAGGAGTTGTGGATAAGAGATGGGTACTCCCGACATTATAGGAAGAATGGCAGTTTCTATGTTTAACAGAAATATATGTCCGATCAAAAAGTAAAACAGGAGCTGCACAAAGGCACGATTCTGTAAAAATATCGTTAAATTTTATTCAGTGGTATAAGAGGAGTTGCAGACAAGAGATGGGTCCACAAACGGACGGACACCTCCATCAATAAACTCCCGCTTTTCAAACAGGGGATATAAACAAGAGGCCCATGGGCCACATCGCTCACCTGAGCACATTGGCTAGGCAAAAGCACAAATCAGTTCAGTATTGAAAAGATTACCTGGGGGTGGGGGGCTTGAATTTTAAATTACCTGATGCTTCCATGTCAATATAACAAATGGCTTGAGAATTCGAAGATTTTAAAAAAATTTCCAATATATTCCTTTGTAAAAATTTGATCCTCCATTGTGGCTCCTCCCTATCCCAGGGGTCATCATTTGAACTTGAATCTACACTACCTGAGGATGCTTCCATATCAATATGACTAAACATAGCTTTCCTGTTCTTGAGAAGAAATATTTTTTCTATATGTTCTTATGTAAAACTTTCGATCCCCGAATGGGCCCCATCCAACCCCTGGGGGTCATCATTTGAACAAAATTGAATCTACACTACCTGAGGATGCTTCCATATCAAAATGACTAATCATGGTTTGCAGTTCTTCAGAAGAAGATATTTTCCTATATATTTCTATTTAAGACTTTGATCCTCCATTGTGGCCCCATCCTACCCACGGGGGTCATGATTTGAACAAAATAGAATCTACACTACCTGAGGATGCTTCCATATAAATATGATCAATCAGGGTTTTGCTGTTCCTGAGAAGAAGATTTTTAAAATTTTTCCTATACATTTCTATGTAAAACTTTGATCCTCCATTGTGGCCCCGCCCTACCCCCGGGGGTCATGATTTGAATAAATTTGAATCTACACTACCTGAGGATGCTTCCATATAAATATGAACAATCTGGGCTTTGCTGTTCCTGAGAAGAAGATTTTTCCTATATATTTCTATGTACAACTTTGATAGTCCATTGCGGCCCTGCCCTACCCCCGGTGGTCATGATTTGAACAAATTTGAATCTACACTACCTGAGGATGCTTCCATATAAATATGACTCATCATGGCTTTGCTGTTCTTGAGAAGAAGATTTTTAAAGATTTTTTCCTATATATATATTTCTATATAAATCTTTGATCCTCCATTGTGGCCCCGCCCTACTCCCGGGGGTCATGGTTTGTACAGACTTGAATCTACACTACCTGAGGATGCTTCCATATAAATATGACTCATCATGGCTTTGCTATTCTTGAGAAGAAGATCTTTAAAGATTCTTCCTATATATTCCTATGTAAAACTTTGATCCTCCATTGTAGCCCCACCATACCCCCTGGGGTCATGATTTTAACAAATTTGAATCTACACTACCTGAAGATGCTTCCATATAAATATGACTCATCATGACTTTGCTGTTCTTGAGAAGAAGATTTTTAAAGATTTTTCCTATATATTTCTATGTAAAACTTTGATCCTCCATTGTGGCCCCGCCCTACCCCCGGGGGTCATGGTTTGTAAAGACTTGAATCTACACTAGCTGAGGATGCTTCCATATAAATATGACTCATCATGGCTTTGCTGTTCTTGAGAAGAAGATTTTTAAAGATTTTCCCTATATATTTCTATGTAAAACTTTGATCCTCCATTGTGGCCCCGCCCTACCCCCGGGGGTCATGATTTGAACAAACTTGAATCTACACTACCTGAGGATGCTTCCACATGACTTTCATCTTTCCTGGCCCTATTGTTCTTGAGAAGAAGATTTTTAAATGTTGCCATTATTTTTTCACTAATTCCTAATTATCTCCCCTTGAAAGAGGGCGTGGCCCTTCATTTGAACAAACTTGAATCCCCTTTACCCAAGGATACTTTGTGGCAAGTTTGGTTGAAATTGGCCCAGTGGTTCTTGAGAAGAAGTCGAAAATGTGAAAAGTTTACAGACAGACAGACGGACGCCGGACAAAATGTGATCAGAAAAGCTCACTTGAGCTTTCAGCTCAGGTGAGCTAAAAAGCAGAATAACACACAGAGACACGTGAAAGTGCAAGTGATGCATTTTGCAGGATACATACTAACACAAATAAAATAAGACATTTTTAGAATGCCTTCCGTGTAGAAATGTCTGATCAGTGTGTTTAGAATATTTTTCACCATCATCTCAGACATTCCACATTTAAAATTGATCTTTTTCAATATTGCTGAATAACCATTTGGTTCATGACCTTCAGCTTTGTGACTTTCAACGTTGTAAACCAGTAGAGCTCAACTTCTCCTTAGGGATACCAGAGCACAACGTTTGATGTGTGTTATGCAAATATCAATCAAGATATTGAGCGGACATTTTTCATATGTCCAAAGTAGTTTGTCCTTTGACATGGACCCAAAAATCAGTAGGGCTCATCTTCTTTTTGAGGTGGTACTAAAGTACGAAGTTTAATGTTTATCAAGCAAAGGGTTCTCAGAAGAGGTTATTGAGTGGAAATATCTCCTCATGTCCAGAGAGTTGTTTGACAGCATATTCTTAATTTCAGTTTAATCTGTGACCTTTGACCCTGTGACCGCAAATTAAATCATCTTTTTAAGTTTGTGTACCAGTATAATAAATCTGATGTATAGCAAGCAAAGGGTTTTCAAGATATTGAGCCGAAAACATTTGGTCTACCACCCGATCGATCGATATTCTTTAGAACCAACCTGGTTACCGGCAGGTGCAAGCAAATTTGCTCTCTTTTTTCTCAGGGGGGGGGGGGGCATAAAAGTACTACTAATTCTTTGAATAAAATAGGTCTAGATGTTTAAATTCTGTTATGTAGTCTAAATAAAAATCAAGGCGGGAATAACTTAATTTGAACTTACATTTTAATGAGTTCATTGTCAATTATCTGCATATTTTAATCGCAGTGCAGTAAGAAGATTTTGAATTAAAAAAAAAAATGGTTTTACTGTTCCTCTTTTACCGTTACCGTTACACAGCTTATTGTTTTTTAAATACCTGAATCAATGCTTACCTCACAGGGCTCTGTAATATAAAATCAATAGAGATTTTAAAAAGTTGTTCATAAAATAAAAAGTAAAATGCGCACATAATGACGCAAGTTTACAAAATAAAATAAAATAAAATAAAAAACTTGACGAGAAACATTTTTTCTATATATATATATATATATATATATATATATATATATATATATATATATATATATATATTATATATATATATATATATATATATATATATATATATTCCTAGCAGTGGAAAACAAATGCTTATTTAAAACAGCATCACTAAAATCATCGATATTTTACGTGAAAATTACTTACTGTCCTCGCACTTTCCATTTATGCATCGTTGACCATTTCCACAAGCAGGCTAAATTGAAAAAAAAAGAAACTTCATGAAAAGAACTACCCCATTTGACATCACATATTTCATAAACTGATATAAATGTATGAGCAACATACCCGGCAGGGCTCTGTAAGGAAAGAGAAAAAACAGAAATTAAAATTGGAATATTTAAAATTTAAGGTAATTAGAAATAAAATATGAACATTCAATATTTAGATTTTCTTAAGAAATTTTTTTTTTAGAATTATATAAATATATAAATTTAAAAAAATAAATGAATAAAAGGGACAATCTAAAACTTACCAAAATGACAGTGGCCATGGTGACAAGTCTGACTTTCTTTACAAATTGGCTAAAAATAAAAGGTAACATAAAACTCAAAACAAATCATTTTAAAGAATATCCGTCTCTCAGCTAGGAACTATAACTCTTGATATTGTTATTAATTTGTGTAAGACTCAAGCTTGAAATTGAAATCTTTTTGTACAACAATTTTCATTTTTATTCTCCTTAATACAGTCCAAGGTACACTGAAGCCTCTGGAACAGTCTTTTGAATAGTTTATATGTGATCCCCATAAAAGGACAAGAATTGATTTTTCTTGAGAAATCACATTTCCCTACTGTGGAATACTCCGTCTACTTGATCAATACATAGGGCTCACGGTGGGTGTGACCGCTCGACAAGGGATGCTTACTCATTCTGGACACCCTGTTCACGGATTTGTATTCTTTTATTGAATTTATGATTGATCACTATTCGTTATCATCACCTTTTATATTATATACAAATGCTTATTAGCATGAAAATGAATTGAAAGTGATCTTTGATATCTTGCAATGATATATGCTTTTTACATAAAGCATTATATGAGATATGAAGATGATAAACAAACTGAAACACCACATAATTATTACAAAAAAGCATGCAATTTTTTAAAATGCATATTATGCTATAAATGTTTGTTGATAAGTTTTAACTAGAGAATGCATAATTGATGTCTTTATTCACATTTCCTATAAACATATTCGAGATTTTGGTATTTCCCCAAATATAATATGATCTACTGTGATATTAAACTTTGAAGAAAATTGGGTAGAAGCACATTACTTTGTGAACTCGGTGACTTTTTTGTGAATTTACAGTTTCTTTTAAGGTATGTCATTTCTGAAATTGGTTATATCAAAGATTTTGAGAAGCATATTTTAGATATAAAGGCATATAGCATAGCTCAAAATCGCAAAGGAAATTTTGGGTTGGTGCGCATATTACTCAGTAATGGTGCAATTAATTTGACTTTTTTGCACTTAAAGCGACAGTACGGCTACAAAATGTGTGCTTTTTCATTCAAACTTACCCAATATGTCTTTAAGAAATAAGGTATAAAGTTGATGTAAGCAGTTTGAGAAACAGAAATATTCTCTACTCAAACAAAATTAACGTAATTAGAATCTGCCGGAAAGTCAAGGGTCATACGAACTGCAGCAATCTTAGATCTGTTTATTTGTACCACGTGAATTCTAAAACGGCACGTGCCTACAATGTAGAGTTTAAATATTATATACCCAACTGTTTGTCACTCAGTTTTACTGTTGAATTTATGCAATCACGTGACGGTGTGATCCGACGTTCCGGATCACCACACTGTGATTTTCTGAATCCATATCACCCCTCTCTGAAACTGATGACGTAGTACACAGATAAATGACGTTTTTACATTCTCGCGCATCAAAAAGTTCCTTGATAAAATGGTTTGTTTAATGGATAAAAGTTATGTAATTGATCCAAAAAGTTTCCTTTTATTATATTTTGCTAGTTGTTAAGGGGTATATAATAAATTTATCATTATAACAGTAACTTGATCCGAAGAGTCGTATCACGTCTCGTTGACAGGCGCGGATCATCAGATCAAACTCGACGCTTCGCGTCTCGTTTGATCTGATGATCCGCGCCTGTCAACGAGACGTGATACGACTCTTCGGATCAAGTTACTGTTATAATAATATATATTTATATATTTACATTTCCAATAAATTTTCCCTATGATTCTTTACAAAATAGAATACAGTTCATTTTCTCATGAACTACCATGGATGAGCATGAATATCTCCATTGTTACGTCATAATACCTTACTTGACGTCTAAAACTATAGTGCAAACTGTTTTGCTTTAAAAATGGCAGTTGAATGGCGTTATTTGTGGCAAATCATCAGAAAAAAAATAATGTAAATATAAGAAATGAATTTAATTTTTGAAAATTCATGAGGACATGAACTACGACGCTTCACGCCGGCATATTTCATGAAGCGCGTTAGATAATATTGATTTTATTTATTTGTCGGTTTAATAGCATATTCCTGGAGGGAAAAAAATCTCGATTATATACAACTTCTAAAAAACAAAATGAAAGAAAAACACCAGCATGATATAAAATGTTTTTAATTTGTAGGACCAACAGAAATTCTATTGTTGGAAGCATTCACAGTTATTAGTCAAAGTTACTGGTAAAATCTTTGATTTTTGGAGACTCTATCATTTGCAGTGATGACTTAGATTTTTTTTTTTTCCCGAAATAATTTGTAATACCCGCAGGGCCGCCTAATACGTCAACTAAACATGGGTAACGTCAATCAGTCATTCTACAAAAACATGACCAATTAAGATTTTTTTTATGTCGCTTACAAATTTACCGTTGTAATATCTTAACTATAAATTTAAAGGTCGATTTCAACTCTAAGACTTAACATACACACATGGTTTTGTAAATATTCACCGATATACATGCAGTTAAAGTTTTGATATGAACATAACGTAATGTTGAAAAACGTATTCCAGTGCAAATCTTAATGTCGCTTCATTTATTTACAAATTTCAAGATGAAATTTTCAGCCGTAAAATCATTCCGAATAGATTGCACTGAATGTAAAAAAAAATGTCTTTTATCCTATATAAAAAGAAATCAAACCACTTTTCGTAAAGAAATACATGGATCTCCTTTTATGCGAAATCATAAGCCTGTCGCTTAAAATCTATTAACTTCCGTACCGATTTTGTTTTAAATTTCAATCGTAGAATGCAGATTTCAAAAAGAACTGAAACTTATCTGAAAGTGACCACGGAACCTAATATCATCGATTCTAGTTGCGAGTCGGCTATTTTAGACGATTACATTTTCGACATAACAAAATGAATTAGACAAAAACAGTTGCCTCTCTTAAAAATTTAACTTCCGTAACGGTAATTCAGGAAAGTTTTTGCATTAAAGGTATAAATTTTTTTATTATTTTTGGAGCGAAATGCTTCATATTTTTGTTTAATATCCTAAAACAATCTTTGATTTTAACTATTGAAGAGAATTTTAACTTTTATTGCTGGGAATTAACTTCCGTGACGATTAACTTCCGTAACAATATTTTTCCCGAAAATTTAATTTGATTTCGGATTCATGCGAGACTTCATGAATCATACTTTAGCGTTCTTTACTGAACATCAGAAACGAAAAATTTGTCAAATTCAGCTTTATTTAAAAAATAATAAGGCTTGATGAAGCATTAACTTCCGTAACATTACCTTAAAATCAATTGTATCTTGAAATCGTTGTAAAAAGTTCACGATACTAAATGTGTGAACAACTCTTTCTTTTCAAGTTCACTGATATGTACTTTAGAGAATTATGATGTTCATTTTGCTATTTGAAACAATTATTTTTTTCATGTTTTATACTCTGAATCGGTCCATTTATCGTAGAATGACTGATGTATATCTAGGTGGAAAGTGTACAAGATCCTTATGATTTGGGAGCATTAAATTTTTGTTTTCAAATTCTTAAATTAAAAGCCCATGCACGTAATTCAATATATCGACAGGTATAAAATAATAAGATGAAGATAAATTTGATCTAGAAGTGATTTTTGGGAACGCAACTGCCGTGTACACTTTCAATAAAAAATGGACCTAAGAAAAACAACAGATAGTTTAAGGATTTTTATTTTCTTTAATTTTACTACGAGTTTAAACTGCATATTCTAAAAATAATTGCTAACATATTTGCATCATTGTGTTTACCAGTCATAACAATCAAAAATGACGTCATCGATACATAGTTCGAAACGTGCGGGTTGCGTGAAGTTTGAGGACGATTTTAGGGTATGGACGAATTTAGGGTATAGGACGATATTATAATAAATATTAGGTAAAAGCAATTTTCAAAAACAAATTATCATAACTTTCTGATAAAATAATCTAAAATAATAATCGTAAAGATTTTAGTCTGCATTCAGGCGAATTTAATAGAATTAAAAGTACAAATGTTGACGTTTTGTGTATTGGGGTCCGAGAAAGGAAAACCAACTAATCATACGTTATCAAATGTCAAACAAAATATTTTTCTGCACAGTTAAAAAAAATTAGCATTTCAAATGGCAACGATGTTTAGAAGTCAAAGATGTATTTTTATGTTGAGTTTACACTATTTTTTTTTCTTTGAAAGCGATGGAAAAATGAGAAATGATAACCTGTCGAATAGAACCTTCGAGAGCCCTGCGTGAGTGTCGCCGAGTTCCCGTTTCTTCCTTATCCAGCGATTATATTAATTCCCAAACTAAATTTTAGTCAGGAAAGTTGCTTTTTCAAGTTCTATTTTCAGTTTCTTTTTATTTTTGGTCGACTTTGTCAATGTAGCAGGCTTACCGGGCTTCCCTCTCTAACCATGCTGTTTTGTTTATGAAAACTACGCATGCGCGCATAGCATGGAATGTGGAACCCCGAACACGTTGCGATGTATATATTTACGTCCCATAAATAACTATCAATTTTAATGAAATAATCCAAATTATTTAATTGTAAAAGTTGTAATTTTCTGAAAGTTTATACATTTATGAGTAGTAAAAAAATTCCAAATCTTGTCGGAAAATTTTATCTAGTCAGTTTTTTGATGAGATGCGCCGTACTGTCACTTTAAATTTAGATAAAAACTCTAACATATACGTCACAATTAGCATTTGGAAGGTCATGTGAGAAAAAAGATTTGTAAGATCTTTCTGCATGGAATTTCAATAATTCAAAAAGCATGAGTTTTAATTTTTTACATCACTTTTATTTTTAAGAAAAACACAGGGCAAGATTTGTATTGAAACCGTACCTTGTTCTTATTGTAAAAAAATATGATATTATTTTCTGCAAAATATATTGAATAATATATCATATTCTTGGGAGAATGCTGATAAATTGCGCGCGTAAATTATTGTGTGACATTTTAGCACTTATTAAAAAAAATCATGTTTGGGGTAAAAAAAAAAATCTAACCAGACAATAAAATATTTTCTTATATCAAGCTTTTAATGAACGGGGTACTGATCGATTTAAAGCATCTACTCTTGCATTTTCAAAACATGAAATCAAAAGTTGGGCCTAGCTGTTGATTTCAATTTATAATTTTAATGTTTATTTTATCTCCACTTGTTCAATATATCTGCAATTTCTGACAAAGCATGTTAAATAATTGTGTAATATTTGTTTATAAAACATCTCTTGAAACCTACGTTGAATATCCCTAGCATATTTTAACATAAAAAATTCTCTGAGTAAAAATATGTATGACCCAAGTTCCAACATATTAAATAAAACAAACGTGTAGATTTTGAAATTTTTCTTCAAAATATCCTTTTCCCATAAGAAATACTCTCCCCTTCTTTCTTATTTATTTTATGTACAGTTTTTAACATGAATATTGTGTAATTTGCATTGTTAAATTCAGTATTGTTATAAAAATTAATTGTTATCAATAATTTTGATGAAGAGACTCTGACGCATGCGTGAGTTTAGAGAAACACCGCTTCTTTTCAGAGAGAAAAAAATTCAAGATTTCATCCAAAAAAAGTGCATTAATACAGCCAGGACATACGTAAAGAAGGTATTTAAGGTGTTTACAAACAGTATAGAGCAGTTAAATGCCGAAATATTGTGTATTATTTTAGTATTTCTGATCTAAAATTGAACAATTCGGTGAACAATAAAAGGCACGAAGACACGATTACCATTCCGTCCTATAAATAGCACAGGTAAAAGTAAGGTGAATCTGTGATGCATGAGTGAACAGTATAAACAAACATGGCGTCGGACACGTCGAACATTATTGGTGAATGTAGGTCGGTACTATATGGCGATACACTACAAGAGCAAAATGAAAGTGGAGAATTCACTATAGAAAAGTTGTACAACCTGATGAAATCCATGGGGAATACTATGAACCTAAGATTTAATCAAATAAACACAAATTTTGAACAAAAAATTTCGAACATAGAAAGTAAACTACAGAGAGTTGATGAAATGTTCGAAAAATTCATGAGTTTATCGGCAAAAGTACAGAACATAGAAAGGGAACTCCATGAAATGAACAAAACATCCAATGATTTCCAAGAAAGTCTGCAAGGGTTAAGCAATATATTTGATGGCGTAAAAGAAGATGTGTCGAATTCCAGTAAACAATTACTAGACATGAAGTCTCGCATAGAAGAAATTGAAAACGATTTCAGTAAATACAGTTTTGAAAAAGAAAAAGAAGTAAGAGAAATCACAGAGAAAAACGAACTTCTTTCGGAACAAATCACAGACCTGAGATGCCGTTCAATGAAGTATAATCTAATTTTCACAGGCATAATGGAGGTCGAAGGCGAAACACCGAGGAGGTGCTGAGAGAGTTTTTCTTCCAACAACTCAGAATCACAGATTACATAGAAATCGCCAATGTACACCGATTTGGAAGGAAACATAGGAATAAGCCACGACCTATAGTAGCAAAGTTCATATACCAACGGGAATTGGATTTTATCATGAAGTCAGCGTATAAACTGAAAAACAAACCTTTCCAAATAAATAGGCAATACCCAGATGAAATAGAACAAGCCAGGAAAACTCTATACCCTGTAATGAAAGAACTGCGACAGAATGGCGAACGAGTGAAGTTAGTGAGAGATATTTTATATGTTAATGGGCATCCATACGATCCGACCGAAGCAGAGATGGAAGCTACCACAGGATCTGTGCAAGACAAACACGGGACAGTTCGAACTCCGGGGGCCCAGGGTTTCAAAAGAAGGCGTGTAGCATCATCACCGGAATGGAAATAGGGGCACGCAGGGGACCATGTAAGAAATGTCAATTAAATGAAATAGGAGATGAATTCCATTACATATTCAATTGTACGGCAATGACACGTGAAAGAAATAAATGTTTAACACAAAAACAATTACGATTCAAAAATACAATTACATTTAGAGAAATAATGAATTCAGATAAACAGTCATTTTTAAGAAAACTGTGTATATTTATTAAAAAAATTACTAAAACGTGCTCCCCAAACTAGTAAAGACCTAAACCTATAATTGTACTATTTGTCTATCCTCATACTCACGCATGCCATATATGTGTTTTCATTTTTCATCATTGTAGTTTACATTTATATCTCGCTATACAATTGTAAAATTGTGAAGAGATCAATAAAAATTCAGTTTCAGACCAAACTTTTTCAAAAGCTCACGAATGACATACCTTAGGTGTTAATTTTCAAAACCTATAAGGAATGGGACCCTTGAATCTATTGTTCATTGGTATTTTAAGTATCATAAGTTATCAAGTGGAGTAAAGAGCTAGATATTTGAAAAAAAAAAAATCGGCGATTGCAAAGTGCATTTTAATTCGTTAATTTGTAAATACATGAACCTCTTCCTTGGAACAGTGTTAAGTTAAACATTTTTTTGACAACTTCATGACTATGGCTGGCAGGAGTGTAACTCTCAGATCACAAGAATTAGGAACATTAACAAAATTGTTTCTAAAACAAAACTTTGATTGGGGCGAATATTGGTGGTACATCTTGAAGGTATATGTGTCTGTCGCGCATGAAACTACCTTTTGTGTTTTTCAGATTATACCATGGTAAAAACTAAGTTTAACTAAGTCTTCACTCTTGTATCATGAACTGCAACCCCATGCACGTAACATAATTTGAATATAATTGCAACTTTTATCTTCGGGTGCAATGTTCATTATGAAGAGGTTTAACTAGAAAGGTACCGTAATGTATATACACTCACTGAAAAATATTTCTTCACTGGACTCCACACACTGAATCATTTTAAAAAGATTATTACTGCAGTTAGGAAAGTCGTGTAGATTCAGTTGTTAAAACTTATCATCAGAAGTGATTAACCATGATATTCAGTCAAGGAAAAACAATGCCGAGGAATATGTCTTGAAAGGCTCTTTCTATAATTTCTGATTATAGACTGTCTGCGAACAGTCATCCCAATTTTATCGATATCAAATAATTTTTTACAATTTCGAAAGAAAATTATTATACATTGAAGTTTCATCAATTTCCAAACCAGATTTAATCAGATCAGATACACGGTGTTTTAAAGTCTACGGAAATATTGAAATTTTATACAATGTGAATTTTGTCCATTGCCGTCAAGCGCTAGGGAATCCGAGTGTGACGTACAATTTGATTCCCAACGTGTACTACATATGTTATTACAGCAAGCAATTGAATCCTGAATTGATGGCCGTTTTCGTATAATGTTAAAACCCCGTAGACCATGTCATTATACTAGTTGAACACAATGGTTGCTATGAAAGCAAGTATTTATGATTTTGAGATATAATGCAAAAATGATAATTTTGGTACCGTGGGAGAAATCAAAAGAAACCAGATATTACTGCACAATTTTTTTCAACAACAATAACAAAAATGAAAGCATTATACTTAGAAGCCTGCACGGCCCTCACTTCTTGTGATGTTAAAGTTGGAATACTTACCTAGACTTAATGCGATGGAGCTATCTTTTTTTTTTTTTATCTCATATTGTACAAATTCAAATCTTCTCTCTATTTCATATATAACAGGTACTCACATTACACAGGGAGGAACCCTCTACAAAATTGAAAGAAAGGTATAATTTGGAGAGATACATGTAAACTGAGGTAATTAATGTGTATGTATTTATATTGCATTGCTTATATCTCTGCAAATATTGATTTTTCAGAATGGTTTATTAAATTTATTTTTAGGAAATCCTTACTTCTTTGACATCCTCCACCATAACATACATATCCCTCATCACAACCACCCTAAAAAATAGTATCATACGTATATACATCAATTTAATCTTCTTATTTATGGACACTCTTCTCAAATCTTGTTCTACTCAGGTATCCTTGTCATTTGCTTGTATATATTACCTAACGCATCACTAAAGCCACATTTCTGAAGAGACAATTACATTTTGACGTTTATTAACTGATGACAAGTCTTTTAACTCGGTAACCTTCGACGTTACAAGAATTTGCTCTTTAATATATGGTCTGACACGTCTTACAAACTACTGAACAGTACAGAAGAGATTAATATTCAATTATTCATCATAGAGCCTACTCCCGTCAAATTAAAGACAATTAAATAGTTTTAAACAATGATTATAAGTGTTTGATATATTATACATTATCAGTGAAGTTCTTATCAAAAAGTATTTAAAATTTATTACCAGGTATTTACATTTACAACTTTGTCGACCAAAATTGAGTTGTAAAATAAACGGCTTTATCGTTGGTAATAAATAGTCTATAATAAGGCCCAAAAAAATAATAGTCTTGTTTCCTGCTACCAGCCTGAAAAAATAGGGTAGGTAGGTAGGAAAATTATTTTATTTTATATTTTTATTTTTTTTTTTTTCAACAGCATTTTTTGGATATGAACTAATAAAAGATAAAATTAAACACGTCAGAGGTAAATATTGTCTTTCAAAATTAAATTTCTTGTCTTTTTATGCACAACTCAAGTGGTATTTTATGAAAGTCCATATTTAGAACAAGAATTTCATGAAATGCTTATTTTGTGTTAACACAGAAAACAATTACCATGACAGAACAAAGAAATTCCGGAAATTCTTGATTTTTTTTCTTCCAAAACTTAAAAAAAACTTTAGGGTCGGGTGCAAAACATAGGGTAGGTCGGGTAGCAGGAAACAAGACTATTATTTTTTTTGGCCTAATAAAAAAAAATACTAAAAGTCTGGAGAATTTTAGGCTTCAATATCTTGGCGTTTTATTTGAACGTTGAGTTTGTATTACGTATTTATAAGAGTAATTATGCCCGAAACATTCCGAATAGCGTTCAATATTGAACGCCCCGTTGTAAACAAAAATGTCGTCTGGTCAACTTTGCAAAGGCAAATTTATGATAGGTAAGATTTGTTTGACACAAAATTGAAATTATTAATTAATGATTTAGTACGTATTAGCCTCAATAAAACCTCAATAAGCAATTCAGAACGCTTGGTAGGGTCATTTGAATGATGCGATATTGAACACTTACAGGACAGACGTTAAATTTAACTACGTACTGAAAAAAATCTTATTAAAATGAGTAATTTTATTAATATAAATCAATGGGAGATGTTTTAGCTATATAATAAAGGAGTACTTGAACTTATATTGGTGAATATTGGCTCTCGCAAGCTCGTACAATTGTACAACCAACTCGTGCCAATATTCACCAATAGAAGTTCAATAACCCTGAAGTTCATTTATGCCTGCAAAGAAAAGAACATCCACGCATTGTATAAGACTGCGATAGAATCTGACAACCAAAGAGGAATATGGTTCCCCAACCCTCAAATGAATAGTGATATTGAAATTATTAGAAATAATTATTTATCGGTTTAGTAATACGAGTTTCAAACAATACTCCGAAAGAGATTTCAGTCAGCCCTTACTGCTTTTCTCAGGGTACATTGAGGAATACCGATGTATTTCCATAGTATTTAAATATATGTTTGTGTGGTCATTGTATATTAAACATTTTCAAAATACAATGTAATGAGTTCATAAACATGTATAATTGCTAATTATCAAAACTCTGCCTGTATTTCAAAAGACCTGAGTTAAATTAAACCGTCCTAATTATTTTTTGCGAAGATGGTCAAAGGTCAAGGTCAAGTGGACTGTAACGCTAGTATTTTTCATTATGTTTTATGACAAACAGTGCACATGATTAAATAGCATGGAATTACCTCTTAACTGTCAAAAATATGCTGTATATCGGCACTATGAACTATTTTGAAAAGTAGGTCAAAGAATAAGTTCAAGGGTCACAATGTCGTAACCATGGTATTTTACAAAGTCATAGTGCCAGGCAATATATGTGCAAAATATCAAATCCTTACCTCTTGCAGTTCTCAAGATAAAAGGTGTGACAGACGGACAGACAGACGTCAGGTAAAGTAATCCCTAAGTGTCGCTCTGCTCTGCAGCAACACAATTTTACAGTACTTGAATTCCTACACTATTGTATCCTAAAACAAATGAACAAATCCAACATACCGGACACGGCGATACAGGAGGAGGTACCCTCCTAGAGACGGGAGAAGGGGATTGTGCTCTCCTTGAGAATGAAGGGGGTGGCCCTGGAACTCTTGGTACTATTCTCACACGAAATGGATTATGAAAGATCCGTGTCATTACATCTTTAAAATTTCAGAAAAGAGATGTTTGTTATTAGACAAAGATCACAAATTTATATCCTGAAAATTCCTCATTTGTTAAGGTAAAGACTTCATGAAAATCCACTTATCTTACCAGCCACTGATTGTTGAGCAGAACAAATGTGAAACAGGGAAGAAAGTATGCATATTGGTAAGTACATTTGACGTTGTTAACTGAAAGATAAAATGTATAGATATAATGCCATTCCACTGCTTCTATTGCGATTTAGATTGTAATTAATATTTCTGTCATAAACTAAGTATCTTTTTTCGTCTGGCACGCAAAGACACTTCATTGGTTCTGCCATATCACAGGCAATAAACAATAGAGAGTGTACGATAATATCAATATGAGAGTGGATTCAACGTTCCTTATGATGCCACTTTATATTCATATGTTTATTTTCTACAAATCCCCAATAAATTGATATATATATATATATATATATATATATATATATATATATATATATATATATATATATATATATATATATATATATATATATATATATATATATATATATATATCTCGATGTATCTGAAAAACAATCATACTTAAGAAAACTTGGAAACAAAATCATACCTTGATGCTAATTAAAGAATAAATCCTGTGAGAGTTCCTATTATTATTATTTTGATACCTAATAACTTGTGCTATTATGACACTTCCCTTGACGTCGCGGACCGTGTAGCATTGGTGATACCGGCAATCGCCAGGAGTCGGTCATTATTTATCACAATCCACATCAATCACACGCTTCAGTTCTTTGACAAATGTCGACGTCATAGTTACGTTGTAATTATCAGCTACAACAATGGTGACCCTTGACCTCCCACATAAACATCCGGAATGAATGGTGCGAATGTGACAGAGGAGAGAAATGTTTTTTTGTACACATGGAAATATGTGATTAGAAACACTTTTTTAAAAGTACAAAGCTTCGGAGAGTTAAGATCAAGGCGTTTTCAAGAGTTCACAAGCCAGGACTTGTGTGACGCCATTCGTGGTTTCTAAAGTCTTTGACACATTAAAATAAATCAGTGGTTTACCTACGATAAACCATTGATTTAATTAAGGAAAAGGAAGTATATTATACATCAATAATTACACTTAGATATTCCCCCTAAGTTTGTATCAGGGAAACTTTCTTCCTTGAGTAAAAAAGTTGCAAATGCAATACATTATTTCAGCATGTAAAAACTGAAAATTTCCCATTGAAAATGCATATCAAACCTTTCAGATTTTTTTTGTTTTAATAACTGTGAGTATAGGTACTTACAAGGTGTAGAAAGCATAAAGTAAAGATTACTGATGTTTTGCATAAGTTTACACTAGGGAACCTGCCAATAGTACAAACAAGATATTTTTAAGCATCTAAAGAGAGACTTACAAGAACAACTGTTTAAAAATCAAATATTACGATGATCTAACTACAAGCGCCAAAATCCTTCCTAAGAACAAATTCAATTGCATGATGACTGAGTATCTTAGTTTTCAGCCTTGGGCAACATTTTTGCCTTCAGGTTCTACGACTTATTTCTTGTATGGATTTCAGTCAATAGCTATTTTGCTATACTCTGGAAGCGACCTCTTAACAAATCTGGACATTATCAACATTATTGGACATCTTATTTGTATGATTTGTACAGTGAAATATTTAGTAAGTATGTAACAAACAATTTTGTGTGTACCTTGCAATGCTCATTTAATAAACGTTCTGAATTATTTACTGTTTATAAATGTTTCATGTTAAATTTCTATTAGATTGAATATGCTGCATGATTAAAATAATTTGATTCATCTACATACTATGTTAACAAGAGGCCCATGGGCCACATCGCTCACCTGAGCACACTGGCTAGACTAAGGCACAAATCAGTTCAGTAATGAACGGGGGGGGGGGGGGGGGGCTTGAATTTTAAACTACCTGATGATGCTTTCATGTCAATATAACAAATGAATTTGTTGTACTTGAGAAGATTTTAAAAGAATTTTCCCATTTATTCCTTTGTAAAAATTTGATCCCCCATTGTAGCTCCTCCCCATCTTAGGGGTCATCATTTGAACAAACTTGAATCTACATTACCCGAGGATGCTTCAATATCAATAAGACTAACACAGCTTTTCTGTTCTTGAGAAGAAATTTTTTTTTCTATATGTTCTTATGTAAAACTTTCGATCCTCCATTGGGCCCCACTCTACCCCGGGGGTCATCATTTGAACAAAATTGAATCTACACTACCTGAGGATGCTTCCATATAAATTTGACTCATCATGGCTTTGCTGTTCTTGAGAAGAAGATTTTTCCTATATATTTCTATGTAAAACTTTGATCCTTCATTGTGGCCCCGCCCTACCCCCGGGAGCCATGATTTGAACAAAATTGAATCTACACTTCCTGAGGATGCTTCCATATAAATATGACTCTTCATGGTTTTACTGTTCTTGAAAAGAAGATTTTTAAAGATTTTTCCTATATATTTCTAAGTAAAATTTGGATCCTCCATTGTTGCCCAGCCCTACCCCCGGGGGTCATCATTTGAACAAACTTGAATCTACACTACCTGAGGATGCTTCCGTATAAATATGACTCTTCATGGCTTTACTGTTCTTGAGAAGAAGATTTTTAAAGATTTTTCCTATATATTTCTATGTAAAACTTTGATCCTCCATTGTGGCCCCGCCCTACCCCCGGGGGTCATGATTTGAACAAATTTGAATCTACACTGCCTGGGGATGCTTCCATATAAATATGACTCTTCATGGCTTTACTGTTCTTGAGAAGAAGATTTTTAAAGATTTTTCCTATATATTTCTATGTAAAACTTTGATCCTCCATTGTGGCCCCGCCCTACCCCCGGGGCTCATGATTTGAACAAACTTGAATCTACACTACCTGGGGATGCTTCCATATGAGTTTCATCTTTCCTGGCCCTGTGGTTCTGGAGAAGAAGATTTTTTAAAGATGCTATTCATTTTTCACTAATTCTTAATTATCTCCCCTTGAAAGAAGGCGTGGCCCTTCATTTGAACAAACTTGAATCCCCTTCACCCAAGGATGCTTTGTGGCAAGTTTGGTTGAAATTGGCCCAGTGGTTCTGGAGAAGAAGTCGAAAATGTGAAAAGTTTACAGACAGACGGACAGACGGACTACAGACAAAATGTGATCAGAAAAGCTCACTTGAGCTTTCAGCTCAGGTGAGCTAAAAATGATACATCATATCACCCATGTATCTTTGTGCAAAAAAAAAAAGAATTTAAAATAAACCTTGGTATCAGTACAAGTCTAAGTGATTTATCAATTTAGGTAACAAGGATCACAAATGAACGACTTAATGTGCTTCACTTGCCAGCAATTTATGTCAAAGTAACATGTCAAGGGAAATTATCATAATAAATACTGCAGAGTTAATCATTCCAAAAATGAAACAGGATGCTCTTTTGAATAGGACACCATCAACATATTCTGCATAAATTATAAACGAAATGGATGCATTTGATCCAATTCGGAATGCCCGAAAAAACTCGGGCATTAAAGAAGTGCCCAGAAGCTAACTGTAATACTAAGCCTTACTTGTATTCTTTATATTTTATTCACAGTTTTTGTGCTTACTATAGTACGACTGTGATGATTTTTATTCTGTCATACTGGAAATTCCTGTCATCTTTTGTCTGTGTTGCATAGACAATGCGAGGTAAAGGTTGATGAATTTTGTCTTCTTCAATAATTTTTTGAGTGTGAACTATTCTCGGTATACCGGTAATATTTCACATAAATTCAAGTCGGGAAAACACTGATTCTTGATTGATACCTCAGTGGCCTTGATGTTTGACCCTGTAACAGGTACAAGTAACTGGTAAATAATTTCTTAATGTTTTTCTTATTCTGACCAGCATCTACATTGAGGTAAATCAGGATAAAACGTTTTAAACACTACAAGAAGAGTTGACCTTGATCTTTGACCTTGACCTTGATAATGAAATTGTTATCTCTATTTAGAGAAACTGTTCAGATACATGTCTCATCTTTTAACTTCTCGACTAAGCTGATCAGGATGGGGTTTTATTTCGAATACAGACATAAACTCGGAATTGACCTTGAGGAAAATAATGAAGCCGGTTGATAGCCTAACTAGATTATCTCTACTTAAACATAGGTGGAAGATACTGAAGTCGTTCCTTTAAAAAGTTTGTTATCATCACTAATAATACCGAGAAAGTTTTGGGTACCTGTCAAGATTTCTGCCATGCTTTCTTGTATATAGTTATTTGATTTCTTGATTTGTCAGTTGTGTTATCACTATGAAACAAAAATATGGAGCTGTAATCTTTAAATTAATCCTTTAAATTTATTATAGATTAATGAAATGTGTGGAGAACAATATTCGAGCTCAAAGTCCATTAAACATTACAAAATAAGAACAGAGAGCAAACACGGACCTCTAGGACATCAGAGGTGGGATCAGGTGCCATGGAGGAGTGAGCATCCCCTGCCGACCGGTCACACCCGCCGTGTGCTCCTTGTCATGTTCGGGAAATAACGGAAAAATCTGTCGACAATTCAGTGTGTAAATAATGCCTAACAATTAGTAAGAAAAAAGTCAGTCAGCATTTGATTTAATGAATGATTGTATTTCCTGACAAGATTATTGTATCGACCATAGAACTTACGAAATGGTGACTTTAAACGAGACTGCTGATATTCTTGTTTCATTAACTTGTTTGTCAATAACTTACCTCGTGTTAGAAATTGTTCATACGTGGAGCAAGCTCTGGCGTATCGAATCAACTGAGAGATATAGACCCCGTATGCAGGTGATAAAGGTATATTGCTGCATAAGAAAGGGAAGTTGACAATCAAAAAGTCAAAGTCATCACGTTTATCTTAAAGCTTGGTTGTTAGATTACCATTAACGTCTTTTTCTGTTAAAATATCCAAATATGAAACAGATGTGTCAGATTCTGTGGTATCTTTTATCTCAAGCTCAGCGGGATATATCTCGTCGACATAAGAATGGAAATAACCGTTGTTAATTTACAATACGTCGTCAATATATCTAAATGTCGAGTTGAAGGCCACAGCAAGTGTTTTCTTCTTTTCACGTAAAAGATTTTGAACAAATTCTGCTTCAAATGAATACAAAAATAGGTGTGCTAATAACGGGGCGCAATTAATAAAAAAATTGCTATTTATTTTTAAAAAAAAATCATTTTTTTTACATAATTTTTTTGACAATTTGTGTTCCTTATCATAAGTATACGAAGTTCTATTACTATTAGTAGAATTTGTTATAGTAGAAATATTTTAAATATTTGTTTAAACTTCAGACTGACGAACAGACAAACAGTTTCTGCAAGAGTGAAAAGTTCTAGTTCTTGTGTTCGAAACCAGTATATACCTAAAATTGAAAGCACAAACCTGTATAAAATTTTATTTGATATAAATTAATTAGGCATTGTACAAAAAGATTTATATTACAAAATAATTAATAACAAAAGAACAGAATATTATGTGATTGGTTATCTTGAAGGTGTACGACTGATCGAGAATACATGATGTAAATTAATTAAAACTTGTATCTAATGCATGTACAGAAAGAAATTTGTTGAACAGACAAATGAACAGATTTATATAACTGAAGACATTTCTTCAGATGTTATTGTCACATTTCCATGGAGCACTGAGATTCGTTTTCCACGCTTCTGGAGACTTCGGTTTAGAATGATGGATCTCTATCATCAATCTCTTGTATCTGCTCTAAATCTTGCAGTGAGGTTAAAGGGTCCTTACATGCACTTCTCTAGGTTTCATAACAATCTCCATGTTTTAAAAGTCTCTCAAACGATACATCTGGTAAGTTTTATATGTTTCAGCCAATCAAAAACAAAGGTCATATCCTGGGAAGGGAAGTAACACAGTGTGCTTTAATGATATAAATGGATTTCACATACAATTTTGGTGAATTTAGTCCATTTTCCAGCCAGCCACTAAATCTAGTTTACCATAGAGCATCTCTTTATTGGCCTAGTGACAAATGGCTTACGGTCACACATTATCATTTCAAGGATTAACATTTACCCTCTGTCCCGTAACTGGGTCCTGAAATAAGACTGAGCTAAGATCGATTCCTAACTGACTGTCTGGCACATTAGACTCTCTAAACTCACTGGCAATTCTAGCGTGAATATCTCCTAATCCGGAGGTTTCTTGGGTTCCAAACCGTCCAGCCTGAGTTTGTTGAGAACTTCCAGCAAAACCCCCTCCCTGGGGCAGTTGAGGACCTGCACCAAGCACACCCGGGGTTGATTCTCTGAATCTAGTGAAGAAATCAGTCACCTGTCTTCCAGGGACTCCTCCTGTCTGTCCCCCATTGTGTTGGTGATTATGGGTACCCGGGCCTTCATGATGGTGGTCATTGTGCCCCGTGTGGGTGTCATGGATTGGGATTAATTGTCCATTAGCCCCTGGTTGTGAATGATCATGCTTGTGATCCAGGTTAGGGTTTGTAAGATGTGTCAGGGTATGGGCATCTAATAAAACAATAAAAAATTAAAGTTGTAGAATCATTAATGGCTTGGTTAACTTTATATAAATAGAAATTCATTTTCTGGACTAAATTCTGACTTCTTACCGATTTCACAATGACCATTATGGCACACTTCGGGAGCAACACATGGAACCTGAAAAAAATTATTAGAGTACAATTGATACGTCCGGTAAATGTACTATTTTAAAGTATATGTTTATTGAAAGTTTGAAATTGAAGTTTTTTTTCAAAACAATAGTTAAAAAACTTTTCTCTCCATCTTTTGTAGAAATTCAATAAGATCATCTTTTAAGAAAGTTTCACAGTTCCAAGAGACAAAACACAACAATTTGTAAATACTGTACAGGTCTTTTTCTTAAAAGAAAAAAAAATCAATCTACTTACAGGACAGGTGCTTTGTGCTGCCTCTTCTGTAAACAGAGAAGTATATGCTTGTTATTATTTTGAAATTACTCACACTTTTTATGGCTAAGACAGAAATAAGAATAGGAAAAAAGGAGCTTCTCAAATTTGGCTTGACATTATGTTCTTCCTATTTCATAAATACTCAAGTACGAAGTGTGTGGGGTTTGAAGTAGGTTCATCAAACACCATAAAATAAATTGAAAATATTTTCATGAAGAGTTACACACTTATTATCTTGACATGGCAATAAATGTGTGATATATGATAACATCTCCCCACTTGGTAAATTTGAGAAGTTATAATCTTAAGTTTTCAACGCATCATTTAACAGTGTAGCTCCATTTATAAAATGGCATATTCAAAACATGAACAATAAAATAACCAAGTTAAACTTTGTTCAGGCAAAACAAAAAGTTACGGGCCTATCATACGGCCTAGATCAATATTTAGATTGAGGCAGGTTACTGACAAATAAACTGATGCAAAGTCAGCGTTTTGCAAATTCTGTGCATGGTCGTTATGTAACTTGTTTGCGAATACAACCTATCGCTAGATCGTGTTTTGATTGTTTCCTACCAGTTATTAGGCCTTTTTTTAAAATACGGGCTACTCCCGTTTACCAGATCAATACGGGGTGCTCTTGGCGGGTGTAACCGGTAGACAGGGGATGTTTACTCTTTCTCAGCACCTGATCCCACCTCTGTATTTCGAGGGGTCCGTGTTTTTGCCCTGTTCACGTTTGTATTGTTTAGAGGATTTTATGAGATTGATCACTGTTATCTTCGTCTTTTCAATCCAGACATCTATTTAATATATCAAATCCCAGTGACCTTGACTTTTGGGATATGACATTTAAAAAATATGTGTGTTCTCGTGTCATAGACAACAACATGCTAAAGTTGAAAATAGTTCCATCCAAAGATTGCAAGTTATGGTCCAGACACGATTTACAGGAAACAGCTAGGTAAACACGTTGACAAACATGCGTGTCCTCCTCTTGATGGAGGTGGGCATATCTGATTGGGTATCATCTTTGTATGAAAAGAGAGACAAAGAAATAAAATATATAAAAATTAAACTCAGCAGAATGATACCTAAATCACAATGTCCGTCGTGGCAGTAATAACCCGGAGGGCACGGCTCCTGTAAAAATTAAATGGGTATGTTAAGGGGCATGAGTAATTCAAAAAGCAATACATAACTGTATTTATTGTTTTTAACATCTGTTTGTAAAGTTTTGAAATAATATAAGCAACACTCACTACACATGGGGTTTCCACTTTCGGAGAAGGCACTAAAACAAAGAAGATAAATAAGAGTTTAATTTCATTGATTCAAATTCACTCTTTCTCTGATAGATTCATTTGTCGATCAATAACTGTTTTGCAACAATTTTTTTACATTAATTATTGTAAGAGCATCAATCAAAATCAATTGTTTGCTAAAGATAAAAAGAAATTGATGTGAAGTGGTTCATTAATATTCTACCCACAAAAAAGAGAAAAAAAAAATTAATCATTCAAATAATGAAATTTTTCTCAAATAAGAATTTGCTCGTTAGAAATTCACAATATTTGTAGTATCCAGATAAAACTTCTGCGATATTCACATACATGTGTAGAGCAAATAAAGTTTACAAAGAGTCATTAGTCTACACACAGCATAGTGAAATGAACTGTAATATTTAACATAGCAAAATACTATTTATAAGACACACTCATCTCTTTTATTTTGAGGGTTCTATTTTATACTAGATGTTTTTATTCATTCTTATGTATATATCATATGATTAACTTTTTTACAGTAACTTTTATCAGTATTGTCATTGGTTTGAACAGATTTTATTCTATAAATGATATACAAATGGTAATGTCATTCCAATGACTTCTCTTTGTTGTTACTTTATCAACAGTGACGTGTGTTACTAAAACATGTATCAGTAGCAACTGGTTTTTTTAGTGCCTTACATCACATTTAGCTAGTATTCGTAATTGCACCATTAGAACCTTCATTTAAACAATATTGGTTTTATTCAGTGTAACGAGAATCAGTGTCAAATTGTATCACTATTGCATTAGTGACAATTTGTATTACTGTATATACAGAGATATTTTCGCTCCGTTTTATTTTTGCCCCTTCAACCATCGCCGCAAGTGGGCAAATTTAAAACAGGACGAATTCAAGAACAGCATTAACATGTTGACACAACTTTGCCTGGGCGAATTTAAAACGGGGCAAAATTGTTTGCAAGTGTAAAAGGTCGAAAATAACCCTGTGTTCATCTACTAGTAACTAGAAGTATCGGTGTTTTTTTTTGTTTTTTGTTTTTTGTTTTTTGTTTTTTTTGGTATCAGTGTTAGTTTTAATCAGTTTCACTACTTGTTTCACTACTATATCAATATTGTCTTGTAACAGTAGTTACTTTACTCAATAGCAATACCGACCTTTATCACAATGGTGGCCATTGTGACAGACGTATCCCGGCGGACACGGTGGCTGAAACATCAACAAAAATATCGTTAATACACTTTTATATAGCTAAAAACAAAACAAAAATAAGAACATTCTCTCTGGCTTATATTTTTATACTTACATTGCACTGGGGCTCACGAGGCACTTCATTTTCTGGGGGAAAAAATACACAAAATGTTATGTCATAGAGTTTTCTTCCTCGTATTAAGTAGAAATACAACAGTAATATAAAATTGATGAATATATTACAAAAGTCTGCGGAACAATTCCAACGGTTAATCTCTAGTAACTAAATGACAGAAGGTATGTGTATGTGTGAAGGTGTGTGTAATCATTTCAGTATATTTGTGTGTACCTGCCAGACACCTTCCCCGGTAACACACCTGTCCAGGACAACAGGTAGGCTGAAATAAACAATACAACAGGTGTACAACAGATGTTCAAAAACATATCTATTTCTAGACAAAATGTAGGCTACGACAAGACAATACATGTATATACAATAGAAGTAAACGTGTTGCAAAAATATTTCTACTTCCGGGAATCATGTAGGCTGAATCAAGACAAAACTTATATACAAAAGGAATACAAGAGGTGTTACAAATATATGTATTTAATTCTGGAGAACATGTAGACTGAAACAAGACAATATACAACAGACAATACAAAATTATACAGTAAATTTAGGTCTTTATTTAAATATTGAATACCTGAACACATTCTCTGAGAAAATTCTATGAAGTCAAATCAGTTATAACGTTTAAGCTATAGTGCCATCTATCTTAATGATGGATGTGGTATTCTACCAAACTAAACATGGGGAACGCCTTTTTTTTCATAAGAATCTTTCTTTTTCCAAATCGTCTATTCATGGAATTTACATGTAAATATCTTTGCTTTTATAATACTTTTCAACCATCAAAAGTGGAATTTTAAATATTGAATCAGTAATTTAATATGCCCTTGATATTTATTTGAAAACCATGCGCTGATCAATTGGATTCTGCTGCCCAACTTTAATTTCTGGATGTAAAATTTGTTCTTTCTGCATGTATTTAGTTTTTGGCACTACCAAAGAAATATATATCTAACCACATCTAACTATAAATAAGCCTTGTTTTTAGAATATTTTGAATACAGAGAATAAGTGCATCCATTATTTGCATTATTTTAATATCAAAACCCCATAATTTGAATGAAAATAAAATGTTATGAATAAATTAATATATTCCTAGTAATTCTTGTATTTCAATGATAAAAACTCTGTTACTCTAAAATAATGATAATGAACTAATTACGATGGGAATCTGTTTTAAAACATCATATAGCTACAAATGATATTCTTTGATTTACACATTCAAATATAAATTTAACTAAAATAAAATTTTACTAAATCTTTTTTTGACAACTTTTTGTCATGATTTATAGGTGATGTTTACTGAGTTACTTCTTCATTTCAATCACTTTTACTTAAACACTTACACAGTAAAATCTAAGTTTTCATTTCATGTTCCAAGTCATTTTACCAGGCTAGATATTCAGAGTGAAGATTTTGTCCACACAGTAAATGTATTTTTAGCATAAAGAATACATGTAGATAAAGTTTTACAAACCTGGCAGCGACCTACAATTAAAATGTGAACATTAGACATTTTATGAACATCTATAAGCCACTCAGAATATCTATTTTCTAAAGCATAAATGTTTATCACATATATTGTCCCGAAGAAGAGTTACTAAATAGCTTTAACAAGCAGTTCCCATAATTTGTTTCTCTTCAATAAAAGAGAAAACAAAATGAGAGGTTTAAATTTGGCCGAAAAATAAAGCTAAAGTACTTTGAAAGTAAGATATTTTTTAAAAAAATTATGGCAATCATATCCCATTACAAAACGGTCATCTTACCGACATCCAGACATTTTCCATCACGACATGTTAAGCCATTGGAACATGGATGCTGCAATAGAAATATTTATATCAGTATTGCAAAGGCTATTCAGATGTTTTAAAGTAATTTAGGTTGTTGTAATATATAAGGTCAAGCTATGCTTCTTACTTGGTAAAGTGTTATGATAAAAAAATGGACAGAAATCATTATTTTCCCCATATGATAATAATACTTTCTTATAATGACATACATATGATAAAAGCATTTAAGTAATTTTACGTCTTTATGTTAAAATATCTATCAACAGTACATCTTAGAATAACTTAAGAAAATTCCGCTTGGTGATTTTTGTAATTCTTAACTGACGTTATAATTTATGAGATACATATGGTAGACGCAATGTTCGGGGGGCTTTCACTCAAATTATTTATTTTGAGATTCAATTTAAGGAACTATGTCTTTTTTGTCTTTAATTATAATATTGACGTTATTTGTAAGTATAAGATGACGCTAGTTATAGTAACCAAAAATAGCAGATAGATAGGAAATAACCATATAGGTCAATTTTTTTCATGTATATACATATTCATGCACCTAGCAAGACAAATTGCAGTGACTCGACAAAAACTATTTGGGGACATCCAAACTTTTGTGGTTTCACGTGAAGGAAGAGGATCCATCACACAATGTCGCGGTTAACTAAGGTAGATGAATCATACTTACACTACAAGGAGCTGAAAAATATAAAATCATTCAAATAAATTTATATTAAGGTTTTTGAATTGTTGATATTGAAACTTCAAAATTTTAACAAAATATTGATATCGGTTAGAAATATTTCAAACGTACCCGGCACACAAGTTCCATGATGACATTTATATCCCTGAGAACATCCAGGCTGAAAATATTAAAAGCTGTGTAAAAATGCTTGAAGTCAAAATATGCATATAAAACTGATGACATATTATGTGAACTTTAAATAGAAAGAAAAGAAAACTATTTGAAAAATAGAAAGAACTTACACTACATAAAGAATCTGCACCTACTGCAAAATGGAAATAAGAAAATTAGATAGATTTAAATGTATTTTCATATATCTACCTAATTAATACAGGAACATTTTGTAATCATAATACAAAAATGGAGTGCATTTAAACTAAGAAAGTCTATTTTTACCAAAAATAAAAAGAAGAATTCTTCCAATGTCTCATTATAAATGTATTTTCCGGGGATTTTTTTTAATTAATGATAACGTACATATACGTATTTATGATTAAAAATAATGAACTTAAAAATAAATATCAATCAAAGGAACATAACATAAATGTACTCATTTTCCGTCACCAAACACTGTTTATATGTCTTATAATTAATCAACATTACATCTAAAACTCTATTTGTATTATTTACCAAGGTATTAGAAGGGAAAACCATTATATGATTCCCACTCTAAAATACCTTACCTCGTCAGTGTAATAAAATACAGGATCCCGATTAAAAAAAGCTGCGTTATTGTGAATGACATTTAATGCTTTTACTATACTTTGACACAACAAACACGTAATACTAAACAAAAAAATTGTCGTGGTCACAAGAAAACTTACAATGGCATTCTCCTCCAAAAAACACAAGGCCGGGGGCACATGTGATCTAAATTATAGAAATAATATCATGAAATCCCCCCAAACTTACTATCGTGGCATTCTTCAGCTACAAGTCTTAACCCTCGAGCACACGAAATCTAAAAGAATAAGATCACTAGGATGTAATGGTCTTGTTACTTTAAATGATTCGATATGACCTATCAAAATTGTAATATTATTCGCAATGATTTTACAATTTTTTTTAACATGGTGAAGTTATTTTAAATGGTAAACAGTATTCGCTGTTCAAATGGGATATCTTGAAGACATTTACATTGCAGACTGGCTGGAGCTGAGATATATCTGGTATTGGTCCAAAACTTCCAGGAAACTGAGGTCGAAAATTTCCACGAGGATTTTGGTTTCCGAATCTTGGGTTGCCTTGAAAAGGTTGCCACCTAAAGTTCTGAGGAAAAGATTGCTGATTTATACGGCCATTCATTCTTCCAAAAAGACGTTGACATCTAGGCATCCAAGGATAATCAAAACAACGCTGCCAGAACCAGCGAGATCTTATAGGACGGAACAGAAATGAATCTGTTAAATAAAAATCGTTAAATTCTATTTTAAAAGTTGCATGCAGTACCCACAACGTTTTTCTTGACATGATACAGGATAGGATATGATACCCGCACAAAATATAAGCAACATGAAATTATTATTATCTTTATTTATTAATTTATCTATTTATTGAATTCCTGAATGAATATATATTTTTTCTATACAAAATCTAAAGAAAACGCAACTATTCAATATGTGTTAAATTTATTTAAGAATTTGATCGTATGTACCTGGATTTTAATTATTTTTGCAAGTAACAAGTGAAGTTGCAAGCTTGTCATAATGCTCCCAATTTTCATAGATTTCGCTCAACCCATATATTTTGTTGTCTCAAGTTATATATATATTATTTTAGCGGAGATCTTTACTACTTTATAAAACTCAAAATATTAGGAAAAAACAAGTAAAACAATTTTTTTAAAAATGCCAATTAACAATGTTTTGTAAACTACTATTGAAATCTAGATTTTCAAGCAAACAAAGGACATGAGAATCCTGAAATATGTTACGATAAATACGAAATGTTACACGCATGATACGATATGATTCACGCACAATACGAAACACGCATGATAGGACACGATAGAATTGTAAAGAAAAAGGTTGCAGATACTGTAATTTTTAATTAAAAAGAGACATTATCAATGTTAATATTAAACGAGAAAAGTAAAGCAGAATGTTCGAACATGCACTTAAGCATTCTGCATATCTAAATGAGTCTAAATAAAACTTTAAATATTTAATTATAAATATGTAATGATAAAGTATTGAAAACAACTATTATAGATTATAACCATAAAATTACCTCTAAAGAACTGTGATGGCTGCATAGGTATTATACGAATTGTTCTAGAAATTTGTGGCTCCACGAAAGAGAAACATAACGTCAACAAAAAAAGAATTTCCATTATAAGTAGCTTATTATTTCACTGTAGAAAAAGAATTCAGTTCAATGTTTGTAACCAAATAACAAGATCAAACTTTGTTTCGTAGACTATGCTAGAGGAACGAGACCTGTGTCAATCTACTAAGGCGGTGATTATAAAATTAGCACTATGACGGGAGAACGTATTAAGTATATGACAGATTGATAGCTTTAATCAGTAGAGGAGGGGAATTCCACGTGCAGTTTGATCAGGCGTAACGGTACATTTCCGTCATTAATGTCTGACCAATGACAAGAAGCTGAAAGTGTTGATTACAAATTTACAGTTACGTGAATCCAAGAGCTAATTTAAATAAAAGGATATATGGACACGTGGGGAAATATGTGAATATCAATTGTCACAATTAACATTTTTTCACTCCATTAATCAAACCGATTTAGGACGTAAAATCGGCTTTATAAGAGTTCATTATGATCAGTCAAATACCTATAAACTTTAATGATAGCAAATTATATACACTGTATTTATAAGGATGACAGTTATAGTATTGAACATAATGATATATTTTTCTTTGTTGTATTGAAAACGTACATCATTAATCCGTTATAATGATGTTAAATTATACGTCTGAAGGTCAAAAGTTCGTCCATTTGTTTTTGCGGCACATGGAAGTTCAAAAAAATCTTTACAAAAACCGTTATCATGACAATGTATTAAAACCAAGCATCAAAAGGTAGCCTACTGACATATTCGTGGTTATATAGTGGGTGTTCAATAACACAGTTTGTAATAACGCCAGTATCTGTACTGTTAATGATTCAAACCGAGGAACAATTCAAGCAGAGGAACACAGCTGAATTGTTTGTCATACTAAACAGAAAAAGGAAGAAGTCACGATTTACAATCACATCAATCTGTTATTGGTTTTACAAACACCTCATTAAAGGAAATGTTGTTGGACCTTGTCTACCAACTAAGGTGTTGATTATTCATTTTATCAATTAATACTCTTATGTTTAGATCAATGGCTTCCTCTTTTTCAAACTGAATTAATTTTCTTCGGATTTTTCAGTTTACCCGATCATGACAAAGAGCAAATGTCGAGTATGACTGATCGACAGGGGATACTTCCTCCTAAATGGCACCTGCCCCGTGTTTGTTCTACTCCCTATTTCATTGTTTCAACCACCTTTTTAGTTTAAGAATTATTTTATTCATGATATACTCAGAAGTATATACAATGAACATGCATGGATTGAACAGCAGGCAAAAATGGCCTATATTAGTTCTCTCCATTAGAGATCAAGGTACATGTACAAATGTAACAAAAAGTATATATTTGTAGTTTTACGAAGCATGTATTTGAAATTAATTTTTAAGGGGATTACAGAGTACGAAATTGAAAAGAGAGGGGAAATGAACAATAACATGGAAAAATGAAAAGAAAACAAGTCGAACTTATAACTTGATTACCGTTCATTATCTTCATATTTTATTACTTATATGATAAAAACACTTTGTCATTACCTAGTTATACTAGTATATCAAAAATATTTTATGCTTCAATATTACTACGTTATGTTCACCTGCAAGTGGCCTTGCAGGTGAACATACAGGTTTATTTTTCTACATTTGACTTAAAATAAATTGAGAACTTCAAAATTGATACAAATAGTTCTGGAAAGTTATTTCACAGGCCCGTAGGAAGCAATTTCAGTTGGGGGGGGGGGGGGGGGCAGCCATACATTTTCAGTTGGGGGCACTATCAACTACCAAAAATTCCTTGACAAGCAAAAAAAAAAAAAAAAAAAAAAAAAAAAGGTCATCACACGTTTTTATTGACGGGGCACAAGCTAGAAGTAGCAAAATTTTCTATAGTCATCTATATATCAGCAAAATTATTGGGGGGGGGGGGGCACGGCCCCCCGTGCCTCCCCCCCCCCGGTTCCTACGGCCATGTTTCACTTGCACCTGACTTTCACTTAGGTGAACATTCTGAACAGAGCAAAAACGGACCTCCAAAAACATTATAGGTGGGATCAGGTGCCAATAGGAGTGAGCATCTCCTGCCGACCGGTCACACCCGCCGTGCGTGTGCACCTTGTCATGATCGGGTAAACGGAAAAATCCGTAGACAATTCAGTGTGTAAATAATGGCCTAACAATTAGTATGAAAAAAGGTCAGTCCGCATTTGAATTAATGATAGGTTGTATTTGCTGACAAGGTTTTTGTATCGACCATAAATCTTGCGAAATAATGACTTCAAGCGAGATGTTGATATCCTTGTTTCACCAACTTATTTGTCAACAGCTTGCCTCGTTTTAGAAATTGTTCATACTTAGAGCATGCTCTTGCGTATCGAATCAACTGGGAAACAAAATAACCCATGCGCAGGTGATAAGGGTATATTGCTACATAAGAAAAGGAGGATGACGATTTAAAAATTGAAGTCGTCACGTTTATCAAAAAGCTTTGATCTCAAAAATAATTGTATATTGTCATTACTTTCAAAATATCAAAAATACTGTATCATTACCTACTATCAAGTAAACCAAAAACTTTAATTTGTCGTTACCTTATAATATATAAAAATACTTTGCTATAACCTGCTACATGTATTGCAAGCAAAAACTATAAACTAATGATTTATTAAATATGCATTGGCATGATCTTCATATACAGAGGTGTTTAAGTCTCCACATTGATTCGGTACGCAAAAGAGAATATTCTAAGGACGATCAATTTAAAAACACAGATAGGCTACTGACAAATAAGTTGATGTTATAGGGTTTTCAACCAATCTCATTTAAGTAAGCTTTTCGCAAACTCCGTTATGATAATCTTGTTTGCAAATACAACCTACCGTTGGATCGTTTTTAGACTGTCATGTACCGGTCACTGTAGCCTAGTAGTAGGGCGCTCGCTTCCTGATCGGGAGAGCCGCGTTCGTAGCTCATTCGCCGCGCCGCGTCAAACCTAAGACGTAAACATTGGTAATGACTGTTCCTTCGCTATACGCCCGGCACTAAAAGTGAAAGTCACGGGTCTTTGGAATGAAACCTTAACAACCGAGGTCACGGTAGGCGTTAGCACAATGAAGAACCCTCACTGCTAAATGACCCTGAGTGCTGAGTATAGGTCTAAATTTGAAGCCCTTCATCGGCGTACGGTGACGTCTCTATATGAGTGAAAAATTCTCGAATGGGACGCTATACAAAATACAATCAATCAATCAATGCAATCGCACGCCGCACGCAATTGGCAGTGTGGTATAATAAAGAAAAATACTGTGTGTTCAGTCCATGAACACGTGATGAAAATTCAAAAATCAATATTTTTTTGACGTCAGACAGGACCATGTATATGCATATATACAACATATTAATACCCCCCCCCCCCCCGATGCTTCGTGCCCGCGTCGGCCAAGACTGAGTGGTTTTTCTTGGATACCATTCAAAGGGGTCTGTATTCAATTCTCATACAAGGTATTTAGAGATTCTCAATTCCTATTTTTTTTAATCCATTTATTACATTTTCCTAAACGCCATAGTTCTCCTTTAATTTTCATTATAGGCAATTATTTAGCTGGTTTTCATGGGTATGTGTAAAAAAAATTGTTGTTTTCCAAGGTCTGGACCAATAATTAGGCTTTTCTTTGAACTTGCTATGCCATATACTATTGAAAAAGTCAAAGTAGATATACATGTTAACTGTGTATTGAATTTTTCCTGCAATAATTGCAACTATTTGAAAATTCCCGCATTAACAAACAGAGACATATTTATCACAGGTGGACAGGACCTTGCTTCTGCGATGCACCCCCTTTCCATTTTAATGATTTTTATGACTATCTTTTCTTTATTCAATTTTATCTTATTTCTTATCTCTAACCACTTAATCTACATTTTCCTGATCAAATTACGAGGCAGGTGCAAATTTAAATTACATTCGTTACCCCTATATAGGGTTAACAAATCTTATCAGGATTTGAATCTGGATCATAATTTTAATGTGATTTTTTAACAGAAACATGTAGCTAAAGTGGTAAGAGATTAAAAAATAAAGAAAATTATATTTAAAAAAAATAAATTTAAGAAATCATTGAAAGGGGGGGGGGGTTGTAGAAGCAGGGCCCTGTCCACAAGCACCTGTGATGTTTATCAGTATAATTATTATAAAGCATGTAAAGTGGGCGAACATATGTAAAAGATCACATTTTAGATTCATGCGTGCATTTCAAAGAGATCTTTAAGATCTGTTTTAGCTAGTTTATTTATAAGAAATAAAGGAGGAAATATTCAGTTGTTCAGTGAATGTAAATATACATATTGTTGTTTTCGAAATTATCGTAAAAATTGTTTGCTTCAAATCATGTAGTGTAAAATATCCCAGATTTAAATTTACTAGCAAGAACACACTTACATGTTTGAAATTTAAATCACAAAGCATGGATGTGTATAGTAATTTAAATGTCTACAAGTTCTGACCTGATTCTACTTTCGTTTTAATAGTGTTTATCATCGTTTCCCGATCAGTAACGTTGTTAGGGCTTTTATGTATACAATACGCCGAGGATGATTTAAGGTAAGATTTTGTATTTTTACTTCTTTTATCTGAAAAGAAAAAGCACAATACATTTGTCCCTACGCAAGGACACCAGATCAAAATTTTTAGTCCCTACGAATCTCGCTGAGATTACAGTGTTCATTAACTGTAAGAAAATTTTCTCGTCTTCACTACAATTAGGATACTTAATACTGTTCGATTTTATTATAAATGTTATATATTTATTGGACATGCCTTACTTAATAATATTTTGATGTGAAGTGTTCTCATGTTTTGAAACTTTCTGTGAAAATGACTGACATATTATATCTATAAAACAAAGAGAATATTATTTTATAACCAATTTAAGGTCATGTCATAAGTAATGCATAATGAATGTTACTAATACATTATGAAGTTCATGGTCTGTATGTCCATGGTACAGGCCCTAGGATAGGGTTCATTTCGACATGGATTAAAAATACATCACATCTTTAAACATATCTTAATTCTAGATATACTCATGGAATTTAACTAGCAAATTGTTTCCATGCATGATTATTATAAATAATTAAACCTATTTCAAAATTGTAGAAATCAGGGCCAATTATTCCCGTTAAAGAATGGGACTTAGTTGGTCCTTTATGTAAAACACATTACACGATTCAGAATGGTTATAGAGTTCTTACCAAATTGTTAATATATTCTCAAGAGATCCGGTTGAGGCCTAAATGGTCACAATGCAGCTTGAGAAGCTCATGAAACTCTGGTGACCGCAAAGAGTCACAAGCCTTTTGTTCATTTTTATGTAAAAAGATAATCTAAATAAACTCCAAAGATATTTTGTAGCTCGACACATGATATGGCTACCAGATCCAAAGGAAAGGATAAACAAGGTTTGAACAAAACCAGACCGACTAGTTCGAAGAAGTCAGCAGCAGTTTCAACGCCCTCTCAGCCGTAAATTTATATTTTGAAAAATTATATAGTTAGGTAACTTAGGTTTACTCTAATAGTGTAAGCAACGTCTATGGTGGCATATTTCTGCCCCCTACATGCAAGATAAATTATGTTAACATGCAAGAAAAGTATGTCAACATGCAAGATTATTATGTCAACATGCAAAATAATTATGTTGACATGCAAGTTACCAATCTTTTTAAAGAATCTAATTTTAATGTTGGTAAACTTCTTTTCTAACGAAAGTATACGACATCATACAAACAAGCTGCAACAGAATTATGTTAACATACGACTTATTTATGTTAACATGCAGGATAATAATGTTAACATGCAAGATATTTATGTCAATATGTGACTTGTTTATGTAAACATGCAACATAATTATGTAGACATGCGACTTTATGGTGGCATATTTATGCCATCCACATAATTTTTTTGTCAACATAGCATATCATGTCAAGTGAAGATAACTATCTCATCAAGTCATGATAACTTTCTGGTTTGTCGACAAACACCGACTTTATATCTAGTCTAGTCAAGATAAGCTATCACATTTGTTGCGTTAGCTATCTTGACATGACGAGACAACTTATCTTGCATCATGAATAAAATAGATATCGCAAAAAAAAGATAGCTTATCTTGACTAGACTAGATATAAGGTCGGTGTTTGTCGACAAACCAGGAAGTTATCATGACTTGACGATATAGTTATCTTGACTTGACATGATATGCTAAGTTGACAAAAAATTATGTGGATGGCATAAATATGCCACCATACGACTTATTTATGTCAACATGCAAGATAATTATGTTAACATGCAACTTATTTATGTTAACATGAGACTTATTTATGTCAACATGCGACTTATTTATGTCAACATGCGATTTATATTTTAACATGCAAGGTATTTATGTCAGCATGCAAGATAATAAGTTGCATGTTAACATAAATATCTCGCATGTTGAAATAACTAACTCGCATGTTAACATAATTATCAAGCATGTCGACATATAAAAGTTGCATATCTACATAATTATCTTGCATGTTGACATAAATTAGTTATATGTCTACGTAATTATCTTGCATTTTGACATAAAAAGGTCGCATGTCTACATACTTATCTAGCATGTTAACATAAAAAGTCGCACGTCAATATAATCCTGTTGTATCTTGCTTGTATGTTGTCATATAATGGCGTTAGTAAGTAAGTTTACCAATATTAAAATTAGATTCTCTAAAGAAATTGGTAACTTGCATGTCGACATAATTATTTTGCATGTTAACATAAATAAGTCTCATGTCTACATAATTATGTTGCATGTTAACATAATTTATCTTGCATGTAGGGGGTAGAAATATGCCATCATAAACGTCGACGGAAATCATGGCTAGATATTCAAATATTAGTTCTCTGATTTAATGTCTGGTTTACTTAGCTAGTTGTATATTTTATTTCATATTTACGACAGATGCTACACTTAAAAAAAAAATGAAAATAACAACTGAATTTATGTTGAAAAAGTTTAGCCGCATAAATTTTCATTTTCATTTAAATTTCTCTATAATGTCCTTTAAATTGATAAACATATTGTAGATTTATAAGTGATGGCAAAAACCAAGGATAATATAGAAAGTTTACCATTCCTTATCATCCTTATTTTGATATTTGATACATGCGTCATTTACAAACAAAATCAGCCAAAAAATATATACCAATCCATGCATCCATTTTTTCGATTTTAATTTTTTTTTTTCAATTTCAGAGTACCTACTAGCGATTTTTTGAGTGAGCTTTATGATGACCAATTAAAAAAGTAAATACATTTTGTAATAAATGGATGGCTATAATCTGTGAGATTAATTCTTGAAAAATGTGTTAAATTGGTACAGTGTCTCGGAATATTTGTTTGCTATAGTTTTGCTTTTTAAATCTAGAGATGAAGTAAAAATCGACCAATTGAATGAGGAAATTAATCGATTAAACAGCGTTGTACAAAGGTGAGATTCAATTTTAGATAGATGAGTAAGTTTTAATATTAACACTCATAGAACATTATTTGAATTTTGTTGGAACATATATTTTAAATGGTTTATAGAAACACAAATTTGCAGTGGACATTTTTAATATTTCATCATAAGCACGCAGAAGAAGCATATATATATACATTCTTTTCATTTTAGACTCTCCTCTGAAAATGAACAATTAAAGAATGAACAAAATAAATCTAAGGAGGGTCTCACATCCAAAAGGTAGGAACATCAATCACTGGGTTTTTCGGCAAAGGTCACATTTTTTTTGTTCACCTTAGCTGAATGCTCAAGTGAGCTTTTCTGATTTTCTGATCAAATTTTGTTCGTTGTCTGTCATCGGCGTCGTCGTTGTCATAAACTTTTCACATTTTCATCTTCTTCTCCAGAACCACTGGACCAATTTCTACCAAACTTGGCACAGAGTTTCCTTCAGTAAAGGAGACTCAATTTTTTTTCACATGAAGGGCCACACCCTCCACACCTCTGCCAAGGGGATATAATTAAGAAATAGCGAAAATTGGGTTGGGTCATTTAAAAATTTTCTCAAGAAGCACCTGGCTAGAAAAGTTTAAACTTATGTGAAAGCGTCATTATGTAGATTGGAGTTTCTTAAAATCATGACCCCTTGGGGTAGAGAGGGGCAGCAGGGGGCGATCAAAGATTTTACATAGGTGTACGTTTGGAAAAAAAAACTTTAAATTTATTCTTCTCAAGAACAGCAGTCATGATTAGTCATAATGATTCGGAAGCACCTTCAAGTTGTATAGATTGAAGTTTGTTCAAAACATAACCCCGGGAGTAGGGTGGGGCCACAATGGGGGATCAGCGTTTTAGATAGGAATACATATTTCTAAAAATTTTCTTCTCAATGATAGCAAAGCCATGATGAGTCATATTTTTTTGGAAGCTTTCTTAGGGAATGAAGATTCAAATTTGTTCACACAATGGTCCTTTGGGAGGGGTTGGGCAGTCAAAGTTTAACATAGAAAAAATGGGAGAAATTTCAACACCTTCTCAAGAATAGCGAAGCCGTGATTAGTCACATGGAAGCTTCCTTAGGTAGTGTAGGTTCAATGAAATAGAAAGATAACGGACAGTAATTAAGCTAAAAGTCCATTGAAACAATACAAATTGGGATCAGAACAAACAAGGACTTTTGAAAACCTCAGAGGTGTGAGATCATGGAAGAGTAAGCATCCGGTATCGATCGATTGTTTTTGCTGACAGTCCTGTATCGACAATAGAACTTACGAAATGTTGACTTCAAAAGAAACTGTTGATATTCTTGTTTTAGAAATTGTTGGTACGTAGAGCATGCTCTTGCGTATCAACTGAGAGACATAAACAGCATTTGCAGGTGATAATGGTATATTGCTACAAAAATATGGGAAGTTAACGATAGAGAACTTGACTTCATCACGTTTACCATAAAGTTTTGTTTTTAGATTACCATTAACGTCTTTTTCTTAGTAAAATATGGAACAGACGTGTCAGACACTGTGCTATCTTTCATTTCGAGTTCAAAGGAATATATCGAATCAATGTAGGAATGAAAATGAACATTGTTAATTGATAGAACGACATCGATATACTAGTATCTAAACGTTGAATTGATTGATTGATTGTATGTTGTTTAACGTCCCATTCGAGAATTTTTCACTTATATAGAGACGTCAACGTATGCCGATGAAGGGCTTCAAATTTAGACCTATACTCGGCACTAAGGGCCATTGATCAGCGAGGGTTCTTTATCGTGCCAACGTCTACCCTGACACGGCTCCTCGGTTTTTAAGGTCTCATCCGAAAGACCCGTGACTTTTACTTCTAGTGCCGGGCGCTTGGCGAAGGAACAGTCATTACTTATGTTTACGTCTTCGGTTTGACGCGGCGCCGTAAATTCAGAATCGAACCCGGGCCTCCCGATCACGAAGCGAGCGCCCTACCATTAGGCTACCCTGACCGGTAACGTTGAATTGAAGGCCATAGCAAGAGATTTCTCCTTTTCACGTAGATTTTTTTTTTAAAATAAATCATGCTTAATATGAATACAAAAATTGTCGATCAGAAACCCGAGAATCTTTTTAATATCAACTTCGGAATACTTGTGTGTACAATCAGAATGTTTTTAACAAAATAATTTTGCAAATGATTAATGACAAATTAAGTAATTTTGCGAGTTTCGGTTTTATTGAAAAAGCAGCTATCTATGATGTCAAAAGACCTTGACTTTAATTCATCGTGGGGAATAATTGTATAAAGTGTTGAAAAGTCGTTCATTTTTATGTTACTGATTTTGGTAAAATATTATGATTTAAAATTTCCGAAGAGTTCTTTGGAATTTTTAAGTATCCACATCTGATTTACACCTCTTCTCGAACAAGCTGTAGTACAGTACTCTTTTAGTTTCTCCTTCACTGCTGTTAATATTTAAGCAAGGAGTAAAGAAGGAGGCTTAGTGAGAATTTTGAAAGCTTGACTCTGTTGTGGATTATAAAATTCTAAGATCGAACCTTTGTGATCCAAAGAGGAAAACATGTTTCATACTAATTGTTAGACAAACGTTTTAATGCTAATTAGCTCACCTGAGCCGAATTCTCAAGTGAGCTTTTCTGATCACATTTTGTCAGGCGTTCCTCTGTCTGTTATCACATTTTCCACTTCTTCTCCAGAACCACTGGGCCAATTTCAATCAAACCTGACACAAAATATTCATGGGTAAAGGGAATTCAATTTTTTTACAAATGAGGAGCCACGACTTCTTCCAAGGGGAGATAATTAAGAAATAATGGCATCATATATCTTCTTCTCAAGAACCACTTGGCTAGAAAATATGAAACTTATATCGGAGCATCCTCAGGTAGTAAAGATTCAAGTTTATTTATATCATAACCCCAGGGGATAGGGTGGGCCACAATAAATGATCAAATTTTTACATAGGATTTCATAGAAAAAATCTTTAGAAATCTTCTCAAAAACAGCAAAGCCATGCTTAGTCATATTCAGTTAGAAGCATCTTCAGTGTGTGTAGATTCACGTTTGTTCAAATCAAGACCCTTGGGGTAGGCGGGGCCACAATGGCCGATCGAAGTTTTACATAGGAATTCATAGGAAAGTCTTTAAAAATCTTCTTCTCAAGAACAAGACAAAATCATGATTGGCCATATTTATATGGAAGCATCCTCAGGTAGTGTAGATTTAAGATTGTTCAATCACCCCAGGGGATAGCATAGGGCCACAATGGTTAATCAAAGGTTTACGCAGGAATGCATCGGAAAAATCTTTAAAAATCTTCTCAGGAACAACAGTTCATGATTAGTCAAATTTACATAGAGGCATCCTCCAGGGGTAGGTTGGGGCCACCATGGACAATCAGAATTTTACATAGGAATTTATACATGTAGGAAAAATCTTCAAAACTCTTCTCATGAACAGCAGAGCCATGAGTATCTTTATATGGAAGCATCTCCAGGTTGTGTAGATTTAAGTTTGTTCAAATCATTACCCCCGGTGGAAGGGTGATGCCACATCGGGCGATCAAATTTTTACATTGGAACTTATAGGAAAAACTCAAAAATCTTTTACTCAAGAACAAGACAAAGCCATGATTAAGCTGTTTAATATACAAGCATTTTCAGTTAATGTAGATTCAAATATTTCAAATCATGACCCTCGTGGTTAGGGTGGGGCCACAATGGACGATCAAAGTTTTACATAGGAATTCATAGGAAAAATCTTTAAAAGTGCTCAGGTAGGCGATGTGGCCCATAGACCTCTTGTTTTCCTGATCAATACAGTGAGCTTACGGCCGGTGAACCAGTCGACAGGGGATGCTTATTTTTCATAGGTGCCTGATCTCACCTCTGGTGTTTCCAGAAGTCCTAGTTTTGCCTTGTTCACGATTTGTATTCTTTACTACATTCATGAGATTGAGGTACTAGTACTTACCTTCATCTTTTACTTGATGTAGATTGATTATGTTATCGATATTTAGTGATTCCCCCTCAAGGCATGAAAATGCGAAGGAGGAAATACAAAGCCTTAAAGGGCAACTTGATAACATGATACAAAATTACGAAGAGGAGAAAAAGAATTTAAAGGAAGTCCAGGAAGAAGTGGGAAAGTAAGCATTAAATGTCACTTTATTGTGAAGTTCATCTTTAACATATGTTCAGTATCCAAAGTTACAACGCAGATAAACGGATAAGCGTTCATAATCAACGAAAACAGTCGAAATTAAGAGAAAAGACTATTACATTTTTGCTGTAAATTTGCAGGTATAAATCCAAAATAGAAGAATTGAAAAAAGAAGTATCGGGTTTAGAAAGGTATCTGCTATAAAGATCTATATTAAGAAATGACCGATGTAGAACGTAATATGAAGTTTGTAATATTGACCATGTACTTGTATTAAAGCAATGCAGTGGTCACTTAACCAATATCCAGAATAGAACAAAATGAGTTATTTTGTATATTGTTTTGTTGAATAAAATATGATCAAAATAAATATGATATTAGCTGTCAAATTAAGAAAACAACTTATTTTATTTGCAGGCAACTAAAATTGACAGAGGACATGCATACAAAAACGTAGGTTAAATGTCGCTGACCAGCAAGTTCAGCAACTTCTGTATTTGTTTTTATAACGAGTGTGTAATGCCCAGTGATTTAAATTGCAGATTAAGAGAAGGGACCGGGACAGAAAATCAACCGATAAGGTATAATGGTCACGCTGTATCAAATTAGTTTATTTATTATTATCATTACCTTTGGTTCACAAATTAATAAAACAATTTAAAAAAAAAAAATAAATAAATATATATTTTTAAAAAAGGAATATTTTTCAAAATTTCAACTGTTTAGTTTACCAAATAGATAAAATAAAGATTTAAAAAAATAAACGTTTCCTTCTTTTTTGATACAGTAAAATTGCAGCGACATATGCTTGAAACACGTGAATAATGATATGAAAGATGCGCTCATTCTCAATGGAAATGGCTCCTATTATTTATTTAAAGAAATGTATTAGAATATTTAAATCCTACTCTATTTAGGCGTATATATCTATATAAATTTTTGACTGATTTTCAGTGAAGAGAGATTAAAAGCTGAACTGGAAAGACAAAAGACAGACTTGGAAAAGAGCTGGAAAAAGTAATGTGCTGCTAAATCTGAAATATTCGCTATATATTTTTAAAAAATTTCACGTTGACCTTTTCTCCATGATACCAATTGTATTAAAAAAAAGAAATCCTATCTCAATATATGTAATCCAACGCCTCGTGATGTCTTGAATATCAATGCAATACCTCTAATATATGTAGTTCCAAAGATAAAATCGATAATATAAATGTGCTAGTATAAAAAGAAGGAGCGACATAGTATTCACTATGTTTATTACATAAAATTGTTGAAATACGTGATGTTATTTAAAAAAAAAACACTTTTACCTTTATTTTAGTAGGTCGTTTTTCTAACAGACTTATATCATATACGTTGTTTTGACAGTGGAAAACAAAGACGGTATAAAAAGAATCACCAAAGTTTGTTTCTTTTTTTAAATTTGAAAAGATTTTTATCCACGTTCTTGGTCTTTTCTATCCTCTATCCAAGAACTGTTTTAATCATAAGGGTGTTGGCAGTCCAGCATTCTGGAATGGTACATATTCTCTATCTATTTCCAGAGAACTGGATAAATTAAAAGAGGAGCTGGAAACGAAACATAAAGAATACAAAAAGGAGCTCGAAAAGTAATTCTTTACTTTTACCAAGTTATCTTTTCCCCGAAAAATAATAGGTTTTTTATTTTAAAAAGTATATACTATATAGTATTAAATATTATGCTCTGTGTCTGTTTTTCAGAAGAGACAATACGATACAAGATTTAAGCAGCAAATTGGCAAAAAAAGAGGAAGAAATTAGGTTATTATGCATATTTTAAGAATATCTGTCTCAAAGGTTAAAAGAACTATTTCAACTGTCCAGTTATGTCAATTTCTCATTTAGTGCTTGGATTCTCAAATGCAGTTTTATTTAAAAAAAAAAAACAAAACAAAGATTTTTACTTATTAATATAATACTGCACTTATCTTAAATTTTATTAGTCCCCTACCGGTGAAACCGGAGGGGACTATAGGTTTCCTCTGAGTCTGTCCGTCCGTTTGTCTGTCCGTCTGTCTGTCTGTCTGTCCCTCTGTCTGTCTGTCAGTCTGTCCCACTTGGTTTTCCGCACCTTTTTCCTAAACGCTTGCAGATATTGAGCTGATTTTTGGTATGTAAGTGTATCTTGATGAGTTACAGATCAAGTTTGCATTTCGTTCCGCTTCATTGATTTTTGACGGAATTACGGCCTTTTCAATTTTTAAGGGTTTTCCGCAATTTCCTTCTAAACGCTTTCAGATATTGAGCTGATTTTTGGTATGTGACTTTACCTTGATTAGTTATAGATCAAGTTTGCATTTCGTCCCGCTTCATTGATTTTTGACGGAATTATGGCATTTTCAATTTTTAGCGGGAACCAGATTACACTTGCCGGTAGGGGAATAGTATTGCTAATGCAATACTCTCAGAATGCTTGTTTTTAATAAATGACGCACAATCAAGAAATATAAGCTGCCAAAATATCATATCAGATATATTATATTTGAACCAAAAAAAGTATTCTGTGAAAAGTTAATCCAATATTTTATTTATTATAAAAATTGTTCTTTTTTCAGATTAGAAAGCTCCTCATCGCAACAAGCCGAGGGATCAAAAGAAATGCAGGAAAGGCTAAATGAAGTAAAGAACGAGAAAGACCAAACTAACGAAGAACTCAAGCAGTGAATACCTTATTATTTATGTTTTTCAAGTCTACACTCACCATTGCTAAGGAGATAATTGTGCTTGATTCTAGTTTAAGTGTAATTCTAGAGTGATTATAGTTTAAGAGAAAAGGGTATGGGTTGGATAATAAGGAGATAAAGATAATCCCCCCCCCCCAAAAAAAAAAACTTTTTAACCTATCATGCGTTTGTGAACTAATTAAATGCAAATTTTGGAAAATAAATATATTTCTACTCAACAAAAGCACAGACAAAAATTTGAGGAATTTCGATTTTTGTTTAACCTTTGTATATCAATGATTGATAAAGTACTTCGTTGTACTCAGTTGTTCCCTTTGTTGGCACAGAATAAGGGCCTCACTACAATAAGGCGTTTTGTAAACTAAGTTTTATCAGAGCTTCTTCTGGAAATGAGCACAGTTATGGTTGGAATACCTTCCACATATCTTTTAATTTATAATCTGTTGACTTGTTTTGAGGAAGATCTGGTCTTCTTTATTATACCACCGTTTGAAAAGAGAAGGTATATAGTGATGGAGGTGTCCTTCCTTCTGAACGTCCGTAACACTTGGGGGTGCCCATATCTTATCCGCAACTCCTCCTATTCCACTGAATAAAATTTAATGAGACATTCACAGAATCTTTGTTACGTAGTGCCATTGTGCACCTTTTATTTCATTTTTCAATATGGCAGATAAATAGGGCTATAGCAAAATAAGGCCACTGCCATTCTTTCCATAATGGGGGGGGGGGGTGTACTTATCTCTTCTCCGCAACTTTTTCTATACCACTTAATAAACTTTAATAAAACTTAACAATTATTATAACATAGTGACATTGTGCACTCACTACTTTTTCGTATCGATCAGACAGATATTTGAGGTTTTCCATAGCAAAACTTGAACACTGACATTCTTTCTATAGTATTGGGGGTACCCATCTCTTTGTCGCCCGCGTGGCACAGTGGTTAGAGCGTCTGCTCTAGAGTCGCGGCATAAGGAGTTGGTCCTTACGTCGCGGGTTCGAATCCCACTGTGGGACGTGGAGACCGGTCCTTCGGATGAGACTGTATAAACCGAGGTCCCGTGTTGCAGTAGGTGCTGGCACGAAAAAGATCCCTCAATGGTCGTAAGTGCCGAATATAGGACAAAATTTGCAGCTCTCCACCGGCAAGTGGTGGCGTCTCCATATGAGTGAAAAATTCTCCAGAGGGACGTTAAACAACATACAAACAAACAAACCCATCTCTTATCTGCAACTCCTCCTACACCACTGAATAAAATTTAATGAGACTTTCACAGAATCTTTGTTACATAGTGCCATTGTGCACCTCCAATTGATGTTCTGATCAGACAGACATTTGGGGTTTCCCTTAGCAAAACACGGACTTTGTCACTTAATCATATGGGAGCGGGGGTATCAATATGTGAACTCAGTGCTTACGGTACCCCTAGTATTCTCTCAAGTGTTTTTATTTAGTTTTCATTCAGGACTGTTCGGTGACAACATAAGTAAAAAACTCAATTCGTCTGATAAACTTTCCTTGTGCTTTAAGTTTTGAGTTATGACATCCAGTTAAATACTAAATGAAAATCATTTTCTGGGAAATACTAAACAAGCACACAAGGTACAGTACTAACATCTTTCAGTATTCCCTGATGAGTACAACCTAGTTTCTAAACCGCAACGCATTTCTACACTGGAGCGGAGGGGAACAATCCCAATTGAAACTCAATCTAAAGCTTTAAATGTTATATTTACGGTGAAATAGAAGGATTTTGGTAAAAATAATTCAACGGCCATTAATACTGGTGGAAGACACTTCAATGTGTACTCATTCAAAGTACAAAAAAAGGTCTATGAAAACCTAATTCATGGCAAATCTAGTGACATTTTGGCTGTTATTTGTGCAAAATGGAGAGCAACTACGTTCTTTAAAGTAATTCTTTAATCGTTAATATGAAAACTGAAATAAAATTGTAAAATTTATCATATCTTTTGTTGAAATCTTTGTAGTAGCAATTTATTTATTTCCAAAATGTGCATTTAATTTGTTAACAAAAGCATGATAGGTTAAAAAGTTTTTGAGCTGTATTCAAGCTATTAATTGGTAAGTTGCGATTATTTAATTCGGCCACTGATTTCCACTTTGTTAGTAAAAATATCTTACAGAAAAAATGTGTGAAATCGTTACAGTGCTTTTTTTCATGTTATACTTTTTAGCAGAATATTTAAAACAAATCTGTCAATCAGTAATTTTTTTTCAATTTTGGCTGGAAAAACGATTGAGCTTGAAAGAATGACCAGTCGGCTGGAAGACGATAAGACTTTAAAACGTCCCCATATTAACGTCTTATAAATAATATAGATTCATAACACTGGTTTTTATTTGATACTTTTCAGGAAAATATTTAAGTTTAATCTGTCATTCATTGTAAACTTATTTTTACATTTCGGCAGAAAAACCATAGAGCTTGAGAGAATTACTATCCAGCTGGAGGAAGAAAAGAGGTCTGAACATTTCCATAATATTTTTTTTTATTAAGGTTTTTGTTTGAAATGACAGCTTTAGATGATTGATATCAATTTGGAAGAAAAGCAGATTTATTCATTTATATATTCCTATTCATAAAAGCAAATTTATTCAATTATATATTCTTATTTTTAATAGCAGATTTATTCATTTATATATTCCTAATCATATCTAAAAGTTGAAATCGAAAAAATATAAATAATTGTTACCAAATCTTGTTTTGTACAAATTAAAATACTAATTTAATTGTTTGCAAAGTAATGAGATGGAAAAAAAATTACATACTAATATGAATGTATTATACGAGTATTTAATCACAAACACAACAAAATACTAGCAATTACATAAAGTTGTTTTTGCTAAAACATTAATTAAATCAGATTTTAGCTGAAATATAGACCTCTTATTGATTTAGTACAGCGATTTCCAAGTAGTTTTCTCCAAATTCAGATTTAACTTTAATGCACTTTTTATCCTTAAAAATTGATTCTGTTTTAAACACTCACTTGTAAATGATAATTTACAAGTTTATTAAGAAAATTGCATGTGTTGTTCCACTATGTGGTATATTTTTGACTGATTTCCTATTAAAATTGGTGATTTTAAATTTTAATTTTATTTGTCGATGATAAAAACGCTAAGAGGATTTTGTTATGGAATTATAAAATAGGATTTCGTCACTGTCACTATTATACTTTTTAAATGAATTTTAAATGATACTAAATTGAAGAAAACACAGTGCAGAACTGGAAGAATTGAAAAAGAAGTATAATGAAGAAAAGGAAATACACGAAAAAGCAATTACAGAGTAATGTTAATAAAAGAAATATTTCATTGAAAGACACTTTATTGTATGCAAATTAAACAGAGAATTTTGATCAATATTGAACTGGTTTTTTTTAATTAAGTAATATATTTTTTGTGTTTCATTAAGAAAAAAATCGAAATATATAAGTCTCAGATAATTCTTTTTTTTTTTTTTTGGTTTATTTTTATGCTATGAAAGTAATAAGAAATTTATAATAGCAAACCTCTCTGAATTTCAAGCTTTAATTAAATCTCCGACAGAATTTTATCTTCAGCAATAAGATAAATTTTAATTTTCATCAACATAATTTTTGACAGAAAAACAGAAGAACTTGAGAAATTAGCAAGCCAGCTAGAGGATGAAAAAAGGTTAGATTCTCTTTTATTGTTCTGAGTCTGAATTAATTAAAACATTGCTTTTGTTTTTCGTTTTACTCTACTATGATAATTACACGTCTAATTATTCTAAACTTTAATTTTTTTGGATTTTAAAACACAAAAATAAAAACAACATCCTTAATCGGTTCCTATTTATTTTTCTACAATGTACTTTCCTTGCTTATTTTTTTAAATGGTCACCTGAGTCATTCAGATGACTGTTTTTGTCCATTATCGTACAGTTGTGCTTTTGTGTGTCATGCATAAACTTGTCACATTTTCAACTTCTTCTTAAGGACCATCGTATTCAGTAAATCCAAATTTAATAGTACTGATTGGGGTCGATATCAATAAATTATGACATGATATTGTCGGTTTCGACATTGAGTTAGTTCTTGGACATTATGGGGTCGGGGAGCAATAAGGGATGAAATATTTTCTTGTGAATATACAAGTAAACATCTTTAAAATTCCTTTTCTTCAGAAAAGCTAAGTCATGATATGGCAGCATTCTCAGGTAATGCAGATTCAAGTTTGTTCCAATGAGGGTCCTGGGGAAGGTCAAGGCCACGATGAGGGATTAAAGTTTAATGTAGGAGGAGGAAAAAATGAGAATTGTACCTTATAGCATATTTAAACATTTTATATAAATATTAGTACTGAGAAGTGATTCTCTGAAATCTCTGAAGTAATGTTTGTCTTTTTGAACATCATTAGTAAGAAAAACGTGGGATCAGATTGAAATAATTTTGTGCTATAGTCTTTTTATTTCCTATAAGGGTAATTAGGAATTTCTGAATCTCATATTTTAAATGAATCTTTTGAATAAAGTTGTCATTAATTAAAACGCAAGATTTACAGCTTCATATTTTCTTTTCAACATAATTCTTGATAGAAAAACGAAAGAACTTGAAAAAGTAACTCGCCAGCAAAAGGATGATAAAGGGTTTGATTCTTTTGTACTTATGTAATATTTTAAACCTTTGGTTCTTTAAAATTCATTTAAATTGTTAATAGTATTAAATGTGAAAGGTAAGATTACGAACAGTGATCGATCTAAAAAAAAAATCCACAAACAATACGAATATGTGAAGCGGGCATAATTAAGGTTTTTTACTTAAAAACTATGTATATACAACTGACATCGTCATTTGTAGAGAAAAATTGCAACTTCGTGGCAAGTACAATCTGTTGTTAGGTCGAATATAGACTAACGTCAAATTTTCTGTCATTATTTTCAAACTGATTTGACTACGAATTTTCCGTTTACCCAATCATGACAAATAGCATACGGTGGGTGTGACCGGTCGGCAGGATGCTTACTTCCCCATGGCACCTGATCCCAACTTTGATGTTGTAGAGGTCCGTTTTTGCTCTGAGCACTATTTCTTTTTGTTTCAATGGACTTTTGAGTTTGATTACTGTTCGTTATCTTCAATATATATATATATGCATAAGAATAAAACTAACCCCCCTGGAGCGTGAACGCACTTATGAGGATTAGGTACAAAGTACAAATTTTGTATTTGTAGGAAAACTATAGATAATAAAGGAGTTCATGAAGATGGAAATTTGAAGAAAATTAAAGAGCTAGAAAAATCCATAGAAGAATTAAAAACGTAGGTTTACGTTGTTTGAACTTCTTTCAAAATTTTCTAAAATACCAGTATTTAAATATATTCATATACCGATAAACTACCTACTCGGTGTTAAACAATAAACAGTCAATCTTTGTACTCTTTTGAATTGAATCATTGCACCACTATACTTGTAGGCAGTTTTGTAATGATTACTATTCTACCTGTCCTGTGCTGTTTCTAAGCTGCTAGAAAAATATACATGTTGGGGTTTTTTTTCAATGCATTAAAATGTTTAGATTAATTTACTTATATTTTCCAAAAATGTATCCTTTTAAAACTTATCACCCAGGACGGGTTTTATTAAACAGCTAAGGAAAATATTTGATTTATAATCAAAGGTTCTTTTTATAGAAATCATATTACTTGCATTTATAGAGAAAATAAAGAACTTCAAGAAGATTTTGAAAAAAGAATACAGTTAAAAAAGTAAGTTGTTTTGAATTGCATGCTTATAGATCGAATTTGATGCATTGTTATTTTATATATATATATATATATATATATATATATATATATATATATATATATATATATATATATATATATATATATATATATATATATATATATATATATATATATATATATTACAGACAACCAAAACCAACAAGAGCATCAGATGACGTATCAGCATTAAAAGAAGAGAATGAATCCCTCAAAAACAGGTAAATGTTGTCATAACATTATCACAGAATATTTATGTATGTTCATAACATTGCTTCAATGTGATGATTGATATGCTTTATATTTTTCGCAACAATGCTCCAGATGATATTCTGTGTGTTGTCCTTAACCCCTCCCTTTCTTCTTACAGACTCAGTCAGCTGGCGGGTGCCAAGCTAACAGAAGGAAATCCTAATATTGCGGACCTCAGCGACAAGAACAGGCCAATAAACTTAGCAGAAAAATTCTCAGAACTTTATGACAATGAATGGACAGATGCACTAGAGGAGCTAATGGATAGTGAAAAGAAGAGCGAAGAGGAAGGAATCGATATTCTGTTTCATATAGTCAAGGTGAATCTCAGATATTTTTGACTGTATACAGGGATATTTTTGCCCCTTTTTAAACACCTTTCCTCCTCGTCGCCAGTGGGCAAAGCAAAGAATAAGTAAAACACAGAAAAGAAATCTAAACTTTATTTTGATAAGTTATTTTACGTAGTATACATATATTGTTGAAGGCTTCTCATTCTAAATACTGAGAAATATCTCATATGATAAAATATGTTAAACCTTTTGGACTTATATGATTATTTTGAAGTATACATACAGAAAGAGTGAAAGGGATTATATTCTGCAATGTAAAGGTTATAGATACTCTATATACCCTATATACAGATACTCTCATTCCCCCTTATTAAATATCGGAGCAGTACAAAAAACATGGTTAATGTATCCTCATTTGGGTGCCACAGGACTACTTATTGGATAAATTGCGAATTCAAATATTCAATATCATTATATAGAAATAAAATTTGTCAAGAATCTTACTTTGGCTGAGCAGATCATAGATTTTGAAGTACAAAACAAAATGCATATTTTGAAAGAAAATACCTTATCATTTGAGGATGCATATGAGTTTTGCAGCAAACAATCCACTACGCTCTACAAGTCGATGACCAAAGGGATAAAGGACCTTGGATTATTAGACGAAAAGGTATGGATTGTCCCGTATTTCATGAGGAGATAATAATAAATAAAATGTGTTGTACCACATATATTCTTTCTGAGACACAAACCAATGAATCGAGAACACAGAGACAATTCAGCAGAAGAGACTCATAAAATGGAGTTTTCAATTTTCGTGAACAACTTTAAAAAATAACCATAAAGAGGAGAATCTAAAATCGGTTTAATATTATTCGAAAACACGCTATAATCTTAAGCCAATGAAAATCAGAAGATTCCTGTTACTTAATACTTATTATTCTGGTTGTTTTAAACAAATACCTAGGATTAGATTTAGAAGTCCGTATTTAAAGGACCAGGGCTGCTACCCTGTGCATTACTTCTACATTTTTGTATTTTATTTGATTTTGTTTTACTAGTATTTTGAATGAAATATGAATTTAACGAATAGTTATCAAGTTCAAAAATCCATTGGAACAATAAAAAAAAGTGAGTAGAGCATGTGCGGACCTCTAAAAACATCAGAGGTTGGATCATGTGCCATGTAGAAGTAGGGATCCCCTGTAGACCGGTCACACCTGCCGTGTGTTTCTTGTCAATTTTTGGGCAAACGGAAAAATCCGTAGACAATTTTGAGTGAAAATAATTCCTAACAATTTGCGTGGAAAACGTCAGTCAACATTCGACTACTTAACGATAGATTGTATTTGCTAATGAGGTCATTGTATCGACCAGAGTTTGAGAAATTAAAAGCAATCCTTGACAATGGATGTCCCTTTGTTCATAACAAGAAAAAATAAAACAATATTAAAAGGGCTTGATTCAGAGGTATAAATCATTTGGACATCACAGTATGTATGTAATGTTTCGATACCTGTGAAATACTTGGGATATCTGGGATAATCAAGTACGCACATCAAATAGACTTCATAGCAAATTTTACCAATGTATGCCAGTAAATTACAAAAAAAGTAAATAAATAATAAATAATGGCTAAGTTATAAACTTTAAATATAACTTGTATTTTCTATATAATTAAAGAAGATATATAAAATTATAGATGTGGCCTCAAGGACTGTCCAAACAGATTAAGGATCACAGGAAATCCATTTCAGTTTTAGTTTCCAATAATCTGAGTAAGGTATGATATACAAGCCACCATATGAAGACTACCTACTGCTTATACAAGATTTAATTTATATGGACACATAAATGTACGTATTTAATGTAAAACACTTTTTTTAAACTCATAAAATTGTAGGAATTCCTAAAAAGTCAGAAGCACACAGTTGGAAAAGCCACATCGAAGTATGCAGAGGCATGTGCTGCTCTTTGTTGGTTCATGTGTGTCCAGGACCCACCTGTTTACATGGACCCTAGTGTCCCGAAAGGGAACTTTGACACAGACAAATACAGAGCATACACAAAGACTGGAAAAGATTACAAATACCTTGTGTGGCCCCCACTTTACCTACATAAAGAGGGACCAATGCTCGGAAAAGGCATTGCCCAAGGAAAATAAAAAAATCCATTAATTCTGATGTAACATCGAATATGAAAAATGTATTATTTCAAATGAATATACATTTAAGTATTGATAAATGATACCTATTGATTTTATTGTAATTTAAAAAGTTTACTTTATTTGGATTTTCCACTGTCCACTTCTGTATTAGTAAGATAATATTTACCTAGTCATTAGCTCACGCGAACACTTACAGATCTGTTATCAATTCACAAAGGATGGATGATGAAAATGAGAATCGAAACATCCATTGTTCAACTTAGCACTCTCCTTTAAACAATACAATGTCAATCCCAATACTGGTAGACATATTGACATATTTAGTTTAATTTCTGAACTTAACAAATCGCTTTTGATATTTGACATTTAATCGGTATATGTCATTAAATTTTGTTAAAGCAATCGGGCTTGTTTACTGTTAAAAAGAGAAATAATCAGGCAAGCATCACAAAGTGCTCTTCCTGGGATATACCCATACACTGTGATATAAGCAAAACTCGAGGTACGTTTTAGTATTTCTTTTGTAAGACCCTCTTTTGTTGTAACTATTTGTTAAAAACCATTTAAAATAACTCTGTTTTTTGATGATCAGATAGAACTTTCCACAGAAAATCCTTCGAAGTCTATAATGAGGTGGTCTCTAGATTTTGAATGTTTTTGTATCTTTAATTAAAATTTGTGAAAAAAAGATTAATTTTAATGCCGTGATACTCGCATTACAAAAGTATGTTCATTTGGTAAAAACGAATTTATGAATATTTATTAGTATAAAGTGACATTTTTTTTAGAAAATGTTATAAATATTTTCCTCAAAGTACCACTCTTTTGTATCGCGGTATTCTGTTTATTTTAATCCTACCTAATATGCTAAAATGTTTTTGTTACTTAACATACGCATTGTTTGCTTCCATACATTTATTGATGTAACTAAACCGAATTTTAAAATTTCTCCTTATTTTCCATATAATTTAATTTGCATATTGCAAGTTTCCAAATGATCAAAACATTTGCTTTCTAAATACCATAAACTGAGTAACATATGCATTTTCCAAGTAAAAGGTCCTGTAGGCAATTGGTTACAGAAATTTTACAAAATGCCTTATGATAATGACCCAGTCTTCATTTCAAGCATGAAAATAAGATAACTTGTATTCACGTGTCCGCCTACATCCATAAAGCAAGACAACGCTTTCTTTGTTATTTATAACATGCAAATTTCGTGATATTAAGGATTTTAATTGAAACTCTAGCAAGTAATGATGTAAACATTCCTTTTGCACTGTTTTAACGAAGAGATGCCTCAGTGCTATAATTATTCCAAATAATGAAGACACTAATGTTATATTCATGTTTTATATATCGATAATTTTGATTTTATCACTATATTAATCTTTTTAGCCGAATCTGTTTTTTTACTATTTGGCTACAAAAATCAGTAAAATGAAACTCATTATTTACAAACTTGCAAAATTTAAAAACGAAATCAATAAAGTAAAATTAAATACGTGAAAATAACGGACAGTGATCGATCTAAAAACCTGCAAACAATACAAATCTGTGAACAGGACATAAAACACGGACCCCTGGAAATTCCAGAGGTGGGATCTGGTTCCGGGGCCAGAAAACTAAGATGAGCTCACTTTTGATCTCAGTCTTACTTTTATACGATTAATTCCTTTGGTAAAAGTGAGACTGAGATCAAAGTGAGCTTGTCTAAGTTTTATGGCCCCGGAGCCTGATGCCTAGGCACAATATAATGCAGCGACGCCCTGGAATGTACAAATAGTTTTACGTGAATCTGTACTATCAGAATAAATGAAAATGTCTTTCTTCCTTTGAGTACTTAAAGGGAGAGAATTTGCTGTCTATGGCTTCGTGCACTTATACTTTCCAACACAATCTTAAAACGTGCTGGGTGTTTATGGCTATTTTTAGACTATTTAAACCCCCAAGAAAGATTTTTTTGTTCGTTGTTTAACTCCCTCTCGAGAATTTTTTACTCATATGGAGACGCCACCATTTGCTGGTGGAGGGCTGCAAATTTATACCTATACTCGGCACTCAGAACCTTTGAGCAGTGAGGGACCTTTTACCTGCCAACATCTACTGCTTATTGGGTTTATAGGTCTCATCCGAAGGACCGGTCTCCACGTCCCGCAGTGGATTCGAACCCACGACGCAAGGATCAACTGCTTACCCTGCGACTCTAGAGTAGACGCTCTAGCCATTGCTCCACGCGGGCGACCCCAAGAAAGAGAAGAGCTCTGTACATATATAGAAAATTGCATTAAATATTATAGCTGGAAAGTTTGTTTTTTCACCAAGTAATGGTTTATGGCTAGAAAAATTATATATAAAGTTATATTTCATAATTTTGGCAAAGGAAAGCAAAAGCAAAGGACCTGCCCAGAGAGAGAGAGAGAGAGAGAGAGAGTTGCTGTTTTTGTTTGAATACAGTTTTTCCTTTTACACATGTAATGTTTTTGTCATTTGATTTTGACATAACGATTTACGTTTGTTCTTTTTTTGAGAAGAACCATTATAAAAGAGTTGTTTGTAGTAAATCTAAAATTTCATGCGATTTTTTTTTTAAAATATCATTTGAATTGATATTCTTCATGCAGACAATAAGTCTAAAACATCCGTATATATACAACAGTTTTCATTCACTCCTGTATATAGAAAAAGGAGAATAGTGGAATGTAACTTTGTTAGTAGGACAATTTACATGCAACGGAAACATGAGCTTAACAGTTCTTAAATGTAAAAGGTAAAGAAAACGAACAGTAATCGATCTAAAAAAATCCACAAACAATAAAAATGTGTGAAGATGGTATAAAACACGAACCCCTGGAAATTCCAGAGGTGGGATCAGGTGCCAAGGAGGAGTAAGCATCCCCTGTTGACTGGTCACACCCGCCGTGAGCCCTATTGTATGATCAGGTAGACGGAACTATCCGTAGTCAATTTATTACAAAAACAAAGGCCTAACAATTGGCATGAAACAAGCCAGCCCAAATTTCGACCCCTTGATAGGTTATATTTACTAAAAAGGTCATTGTAACAATCATAAAATTTCCGAAATGCTGACTTTAAACGAAGCTGTTGAAATCCCTGCAGCATCAACTTATCAGTGAGTAGTCTCTCTCGCGTAAAAATTGATCGTACTCGGAGCAAGCTCTTGAGTAGTGAATAAATACCAGGTGATAGTAAAAAATTACATAAATAGGGAAAGTTGACGATGGAAAAGCTAAAGTCATCTCGTTTAATTTGTCATACAATTTAGTTGTTAATTGGCCTTTATCGTCTATAGTCAGTAAAATATCTAAATATGAAACAGAGGTGACAGAATCTGTGGTGTGTCTTTTATTTCAAGTTCACTGGGATATATAGAGTCGACATACGAATGAAAACAATTGTTAATTGATAAAGCATCGACGATATATCTGAATGTCGAATTGAAGGCCACAGCTAGTGTTTTCCTCTTCTAATGTAGAAGTTTTAAAAATAAATTCTGCTTCATAGGAATATACAATGTAAAAACAGGTCAGCTAATAAAAGAGCACAATAAGTGCCCATCAGAATTCTAACAGTTTGTTGAAAAACTTGGTCTCCGAAGACTACATAAATGTTGTCAATGAGGAACTCCAGCATCCTTTTAATAACAACTTCAGAGTACTTATGTGTACAGTCAAAGTGGTTTTTAACGAAGTAATTTTGCTGATGACCAGTAACAAGATGTGAAAATTTCCGAGTTCCGTTTTTATTTAAGAAACAGTTGTCTTGAGTTTTTGAGGATCCACATTTGATTTACACCACTTCTAGAATAAGCTGTAGCACAGTGCGTCTGAAGTTTCTCCTTTACAGCAGTTAATATTTTGTAAGGAGTAAAGATAAGGGCTTGGTAGAGTATTTGCTGTACCCAGCAATGTATTTTTGTAAGGATTTTTATGAAGTGTAGAAATCCAGTATAGGTAGGGTAGATCGAACTCACCTTGGTTGACTGGTATATTAAAAGTATTGAACACTGAAATATGATTTTGATTTTGAAGAATATCTTCTTTGGAAAGTGAACTGTGAGTATATGTAGGATTTCCTGACGTAGAATTAAAACAAAGTTCTTCCAAAATACAATTATAATAATGAGCCCTACAAACAAAGACGATATTGTTACTAGCGTTTTCTGCTGGAACCATAACATATTTTTCGTGTAGTCGCTCAAACTCTCTCATTACTTCCGGTTTAGAAAAAACGGAAGGTTAGATGGTTCGCATTTTGCCTTTTAATTTTCTAATACGAATCTTTAATATATATTTCTAAAACACTTAATCCATTCTGACAAAGTGTTCAGGTCTTCCTTTTCATATTTAGCCTAACGTTTTGCAAACCGACTTTAACAATTACACAGATAAACACACATAAATTGTACATGTGTATATACAAATGTGTATACATATGATATCAGAAGACATACGTTTACCATTCGTATAGCTACAACACATTTTATTCATTCATGTATCTAGAAAGAAAAAAAGAAATTCGGAGAGTTAAGCCAGCACTAATATATTAAAAAAGAAATTAAGTAAATTATCAAAACATAACTAATTTTTGGAAAACCTGTTTTTGAATCATTTACTAATAGAAATTTGTCTTCTGGATAATGGAAAGAAAGCGAAAAATTTTATTTTAAAATTCAGTCCATATATTCAATAATTCTGAAATTATTTTTCTTTCCAAAAATTGTAGGGCAATTATCGGATGCTTTTCAGACTTCATTCATGGAATGTTTTAATTTCACAAATATGTGCATACTATTAAAGACAAATCCAGAATACATGTTTAGGATGTAACTACTTTTTTTGCAATCATATCAATCTGCTTTTTAGTCTAAGCTTTCATGAATGATATTGATATTAACAGAGGACCGTTTTATCCGTTAATTTCCAATTGGTAAACTTTTATAACTTCATTGGGTAGTTTCGAAACAGGTGCCCCTGCAAGGAAGAAGAAACATCAAGACAACAAACAACGTAGAGTCATGAATGAAAATACGAAGATACTCCTACTTCTTGTCCTAAATTT